GGTAATACTTACTACTGACCCCGGACAAATATTTTGACATCGTGATCAGTGCAAGATATTTGATGCTCTAAATGATTTCATTGAATGGATTCTATCGGATCCTTCAATGGAGACGATTTGTTTCCTAGTGCGTTTGTGGGTGGATAAAGCCCACTCTTACTCCTGCCTTGCTATCATTCCTCAGTGAGGATTCAGCGGTTCCCTATGTGTATGGCAGCACCACCAATGTTTGGAATTCCCTCTCCTTAGTGTTCTCATGATTCTGTGAATGCTTGTCATGGATGTTAGTTAGTCTTATAATCGCTTAGGACTAGTCTGCATCGACTTTTGTTTTAAGAAAACGAAGTGAAATGGTTGAACGTGTTGACTACTTAGCTTATTTCTAGATTTGTATCAACCCTAATTACCGCTCGTTGATGAAAACTCAGAGTGGATTCAAAAGCATCATTTCGTATTTGCCAACTTTCACCATCTTTGGACTCTGGTGTGATATTTGGATATCCAGCGAAATAGGTGTCTACTCTGCTTTCAGTTTCTTGTACAAGTGAAGCAATATGTCCAGGAACAAAGAGGTTAAGAAGGCGAAGTTCATCCATGATTTCGTAAAGATGCATCGATTGAAGTGGCTAGGAAATATGTGGCCTATGCCCGGTCACTGGTTTTCTCAATGAGAAACGTTAACTGATATTGTATTACGTTGGAAAAAAGTAAAAAGACTTCAGACTAAGGCAATGGCACCGATCAATGAAGTCTTTAGCTGCTCAAATGGACCACGTGAAGAGGTATACACTAACACACTAGAGTCCTCTGAATACTGAGAATCGATGGTTGAAGGCTGTTTCTGACGTGGTGCTAAACTGTTTTCAATAGGACAAATACATTCGCATCTTATGACTTTCCAAATTCGTTAAAGATACTGTTCGCTGTATGCGTGAGTGCTACTTCCTCCAAGCATTATACGGTTCATCAACATTGTCAAGAAGAGATTTCCACACTTGGTAAGATCACCGTTAAATCAATTCATTTTAAGTATCTCATGAAGTTAGTTCCCTTCATTAAACTTGAGTATGTTAGTAGTTCTTATCGGTTGCATTTAGTATCTACAAGAAACCTTTACCACTGTTAAGTAGTTTAGACATCAGTGATGACGTAAACCTAAGCAGACGTATCTATTGGTTGGTATACAATTTTATGAATAAGGTCTGGAGGATGAAACATCAATAACATAATCGCACAAACGGATATCAACTAGACGATGATTTGATGTTAAGGAAACAATGGATAGCTTCTTCGAATCACTCGAAGACTAAAAGTTTTGTTTGCCAACAAGCTACAAGTCATTAGGAGACCATGTTACAATCATCAATATATTGGGTGGGAATCCAAGATCCCTGATTTCATCTACTGGGTAACCAAATTTTCATCCATCCTATTCTCTCTAGTTCATACTGCTCACAACCGGACTGGTGAATAGACAGGTTTATCCAGGGAGGAGTCTGAGAACTCTGATTCCGCATTAATTAAGTACATGTGACACAGATTCCGAAAGGATCCAGTGGAGTATGGAACCCTTCATCGGTCACCATATACCACGGAAATGTAGCGCCTGTCGCTGTTCGGTGAGGGGGAATAGCTCCTTAAGACAACCGCCTGCTGTGCTTGGGGTGTGACGACATTATTCCAGGTAGCACACAAACTATGAGAATTTGTTTGTCGTGTCTTTTGGTGCTCACAATACACAAAGTTGGTTATTTGATAATAATTACTATTGATATTATATAATTTTGAACCATAAATCTATACTCATACCAGTTGTCGAATACGTTTCAACCTACACTGTGGCCATTTGAAGGGATCGATGAAGATACGTAGCATTTGATCAGAGCATGCTTTGGGCAGAACCATATTCCTTCAAATGATATACATACCCAGTTATTCATTTCCTTCAAGATTCTAAACAAGAAGTAATTGCGTTGCAACAGAATATCATGAGAATTCTGTAGTACGTACTGAAACATTTTTCAGAAAAAATTTCTCCTGCTTCTTCTTCTTATTATTATTATTATCAATTTCGACTTTTATCAGTCAGCGATAACGCTATCGAAAGTGGAAGATATGAAAGCGCTAGCTGTCTTGTGACCACAGATGTTTCGTTCTATCTCCCCTGTTAAGTGATATAATATGGTGAGTAATATTGTGGTTAGGTGTAAAGTGATAGGTAAGGAGAGAAAGTCAATCGGTGAGGTTGTTAAGCTGACTGAATGGTTTCAACGTAGAACTTCGCACAGATGTACGTCAGTTCGGTGTTGCCACTCTACCTTCATGTAGCACACAAAGCAATAGAACAGAGTAAAAACAGATTTAAGAGAGAGATAATCAACAGAATTGTGAGGCGAAAATAATATTAGCATGGAAGAACAATAGGATTTTATTGGATATTATAAATCACAAAGTGTGAATGCATCCGCCCCAGCTATTGAGTACGATCATTTTGAGCCATATCACTAGTTATTTCCAGCCTTCATTGGTTTTCACTATCATGAGGATCCCAAGGGGAAGACAGTCCACACCTCCCTACGTGATTGGCTTAAACTAACTGTTGCGAATTTATTCATTAATTGATGAAGTCGTGTTTCAGCTTAACCACCTCTAACTCTTTTCCAACCTGATGCATCCTATGTCAGATAACACTGGCCACTCTCGACGAAGCCGATCGATGGCTGCGGATGCGTACGTAACGCATATCCTAACCATCTTAATCAATGTAACTTCAAATTCTCGCCCATTGATTTCCCCTCCTTAGGAATCGACCGATGCCTCACCTCAATATTGCTCAACTTATTAAACCACTTCACACGGGAGATAGAATGCAGACACCTATGATCAAAGACAGCTAGCTAGGCTTTTCGTATCTCCCTCTTTCAATGGCAATGTCTCACTTACAGTCATATAAGCGGACCATGAGAACTGCTGAGCACTACGCACGCGCTTTCATCGCAAGTCGGATTTTGTCTAACTTGGAGCATCCACTTCACCCTCAGCTTTCACCTTGCATCTCCTCAGGTAGAACAAGAAGTAACTTCAGAAAACTGTATGCTCGCACGTCTAAGTATAAAAATTCTATGATACCATACTTGGCACGTATTTTATGTGATGAAAATAGCGTCAGGCAAGAATTGACTAACCTTTTTCAATCTAGTAAATAAACAATCTCCTCCATGCATCCTTATATACCTTCAAGTTTTACTTTTATTATTTCTATTATATTTATGGTCCTGTTGATCCTTTTTTTCACTTTCATAACTGCAAACACCAACTTATCTCTATGACTGCTGTAATCTTTGTTTTTTCCCTCACCATATCATGTAAAGAGAATATCATATTCAATATTTTTAATCATGCAAGGATTTGTATACCGCATCGACAATACTGTGTGAAACAAGCCCACGGCAATTTTCACTTGTATTATTATTATTACCTTAGCTATTATCATTACTATTATTTCCATTTTATATGCTGCATGTTTTTGAAATTACCCCTATTGTAAATGTGGAAAATTTTCTGTGTGATTGATTTTTATTTATAATTTGAGGAAATTAGATGCAATATTGTGATTAATGCTGAAAATTCCATTCTGTATCACAAGTACTGTTTTTGGAATAAAGTAAATTATTATTATTATTATTATTATTATTATTATTATTATAACGTCTACTAAGCAAGAGATGGTGTAAGTTGGTTGAAAAATGCCAAACGAGCCTTCTGTATCCATGCTGAGATTTCGTCAGCGATCAACGGGCTGCTACTGGCTGATGCAACTCCCCAAATAAGTGAAATGGTCAACACGCTCAACCAACCACTTCACTCCTGCCTATCTTCAAGCTATGAGTGAGTCGATGTAGTCCAGTCCTGTAGCATCATCTTACATTTGACAGGGGAGGAGTAATTGCATGCCAAACATTCGAAGATCGCTGCTGAAGATGCTCAGGAGATCCTGTATGCATTTTTTCAGCGTCTTCACCTACTAGGACTATACCATCTGCATATTATAAGTCAACGAGATTATTCCCTGGTAACAAGTCAATCCCTAAGTTGCTGGAGTCAGTTAGGGTTAATTTCATTAGTACATCTACGATGAGATTAAACAGAAGTGGGGACAGTGGACATCCCTGACGGACACCATTAATTTTCACCACCTCAGATGAAAACTCACTGTAAACTCTCACCTGGCTGACTGCATAAATTCGAATAGAGTGAGTGTCTTGATCAGTGCAATGTATTTCTTCTGCATTCCCTTTACAGCCAAGCATCACCATAGTAACTCTCGGTCGACGGGATCGGATAACGCTTTCAGATCACCGAATAATACGATTGTTGAACGGACGCCAGTGAGTATGTCTACGTTCCAGAATCTGTCTTAGGGTGAAGATATGACCAGTACACTCTCCTCCTGGTCTAAAGCCTGCCTGGTTATCTCGTGTTTGTGCCTTCCGAGCACAGCTTATTCTACACATGATCATTGTGAAGCTACATCGACCCACTGCCCTTCATGTCAAGCAACGGTAGCTGACATAGGAATCAGGTTGGAGAAGAGTTAGTAATGGTCAAGTCAAAATCTTGATTTATTCCATGAATTCTTTGACTTTTGATCTGAGCTAGCTAGGTAAGGAGGTGTAGACCACTACCCGGTTGACATCCTCAATACGTCATTAACCAAAGGCTTAAATCCGTACTCAATGGTGAAGACGCATTCACTCCTTTGTAATCTACTAAACCGCATGTTTTTTTTCATGTTACTATTCGTACTCCCGTATATGTCTGCTCATTTGCAGTTCTTTTGAATGTTTTCTCTACATTTGTGAATCAGACGACTATCTAAACCGATTTGGACACTCCCGTCAATATATGACCTACAGCATCTAACAACTTCACAGCGTGAAGATAACACATAATATGAAAAAGACAATTCTGCTATAAAAATTTATATATATTTAAACAATCTCTAATTGAAATGCAGCAGTACAGTAGTAAATCTTAAATAGAATTCAGTCTTCTTTAAATTTTGTTTGACTATTCTCATCACTACAGTCAGTCATCACGATGACCTATCACCGCCATCACTGTTTTTTATATGACATAGCTAAACACAATTGAAGTTTCGACAATTGTTTGCCTCTTTTTAATTGACTCACTAAATCTGGTATATGAATAACAATCGGTGTAGAATTGTACAAATTCTCCTTACAATCATTTCTCCATGCAACACGGTATAAATGATAACGCCAGTTGTGTTGAACAGCATACAAACATTCAGATATGGATAACTCGAAGAGGTCAACACGAGATGGCGAATTCATAGGCTGAATAGCAGAATCAATAGTTGATTTAACTTCAATGAATATAGGACCAACGGATAATATGCCTTTGCTACATCTACTTGAATATTGATCATCACTGGAAGGTTGACGAATAATACGAACAATATTTGTAGATAATTCTTGGTGTAAATTTCTTATCATTTCATCCCATCGATTAGCATCGCATTCAACTGAATAAATATGAAGGAATACAACAAAAAATATAGAATATAGGTGAAAAAACACATTGAAACTGCAATACGGTCGTGCGTCGGTGGCACAGTGGTTAGGACTCTCGCCGACCATGCACATGGTCCGGGGTTCGATCCCCTGCCGACGCACACCCGATATCTATGGTCGGCCTGCAAAATTTGGGCTACTGATATCCAGGCTGAAAATGTCATACTTGTACTGAAAATACGGTGTGGCATCAAGCTGCTATCGAAAACAAAAATGTTATTCACACTGAGTTATTTTTTTTAATAAGGTCTAGAATCAATAAGTCATTTTGCGCCAAAACACATCTCCATTTCACTCTCACCTCTGTAGTCTTTTTTAGCTGGCTCTACCATTGCCTAAAGGCTTTCATCACCCTCTTTCACACAATCTTCTCCACGTTACCGCCCTCAGAGGCACACGCAAAACTCTTCGTGCTTCATTCAGGTTCCACTCAGGGATCTGGTGAGTGGTGTTACTCAACAGCCTTCTCAGTATGTGTCCAATCCATCTCCATTTCCATCTACATATTTGTTGAACAATAGATTCTTGATTGATTCGTTCCCGAAAATTCCCTGCTGCTCATTCTTTCTGTCTATTTAGTGTTCACTATCCATCCATAGAAGACAGATATTGGTAAACGTTCGCAGAATGAATGAGGAGTTAATAAACAGTGAAATCTGTAAGAAATAACGACTGGAATAACAACCGTAATGCATATTCGAGCTATCGAGATAAGACTCTAATAAAAAAAGGCGAAGATGAAGTGAAGCAGAATGAATTCAAATGGTAAAATGGTATAGCCCCGTTTTTTTTTATCCTTCACGTTCCTCAGTGGAACATAGGGCTTCAAGCTAGTGGCTTGAAGTTTATGTAGCAGTGTTTATTTTACAGGATGGGGTTGCTAGCCTCATGCCCAACCTTTCCTCTTCACCAGCATTATTTCTGGCTTAGTGGGGTAAAGGAATGCGTCGGCCGGGGTTCGAACCCCGAACCATGTGCACGGTCGGCGAGCGTCCTAACCCGCTATGCCACAAAGGCAATGGTATAGCTTCATAGACACCTTTAAAAAATAATAAATCGAGTGATACTGAATTACCTGGCTCAAGAAGATGTTCACAGATGGAAGATTTTGTCATTCCTACGCTAAAATTTTATCAAACAAACTGGGAGAACATATGCTTACAACGTCCAATACAATCAACTCCACAGGAGTAGACGAAAGAGCATATATGCGTACATGTAGACAGAAGAGGCAGCTTACCCTTCTACGCATTGGCGAATCTTCTTTCGACTCAAGAGCACACTAGGTGTAAGTCAGCGGTATGAAAACAGAGCTTAATACACTTGGATAAACAACTTTTAACTACCTCATCCTTCGAATGATGAACTCATAAATAGTGTCGTTTTCGGCACCAAGGTTTAGTCAGGAGTTGTATTTGCCCTCATATTTCTTTCGACAAACCTTCTACAATGCCCATTATTTAAAAGGGTAGTACTAAGGTTTTCAAGTTCTTTAACAAACCTATCTTTAGAGTAGATTTTCCACTTGAAAATGAAGTGTTTGGGAAGGAAAATACATATATTTTTTCTATCTTTATGTATGGGTGTTAATATTTTCTAGAAAACTAGCATAAGCGACATCAATACTGATACCAACAGAAATGAGTTATTCTATAGAAATATTACCAATCAATTCAACAGGCTTATTTCTCAAACAACGGTGACTAGAAATGGAATCCAGGATGCGCATTTCATCCTATTCGGGAGTCATGATCTAGATGTACCTGTATTCTCCAATGAGTGATGGTGTTCCCACCGAGACTCGAACCCAATGCCCATAGTCCCAAACAACAAAGACACTTGGGTCACGAGAGCCACCTCTCGCGATATAGATCGACCGCCATCGATGAACACCGTTGACTTAACACGTTCACGACTTCTCATTAAAATGAGTAGGAGACTGACATACAGATTTCGGATTGTCTAAGGAGTTAAATTAATTCCAACCAAAATGTTTCCCAAACTGAAGTCAGTTGCGAATTATAAAGTCATTCGTTACATGGCTGTTTCATCCCAGTATCGGACACTTCAAGAATGTGCGTCTGCAGCCTCACCATGGTTTATTGAAATTATCAAAATCTGAACTTCTTGAATTGTTCACCTTAAAAACGCTGGAAGTATTCTAAGCGTGTATATTACGCTTTCAAGTCACTTTAGTCAAATACAGTTTACCTTATAATGAATCTACAATCAGCGTCCACAATGTACACACAGTGATCCAGAAAAATATCAGAGATGTTGGTAAATCAACACTGGTGAAACACCTGAAGTCTTTGAAATTCTTCCATCTTAAATAGTCATTATTCAACATTGCCACACATTAAAACGCAACTCACTACTGATCGCCATACTAAGTAGTCAGCCAATGAAACAATTAAAATTACACATCTATGGCAAGAATCTATTGATTCCCTAAATGTCATATCAACTGAATTCCACAAATAACTATGCTAAGTGATTTCTTCATTTCTTTGAGTTCTCGGTGGAACACAGGATTTCAAGCTTGAGCTTTGAAATTCCAAATGCAGTAGTGTTTCTTGCGTCTTACCCAACCTCATCTCTTTACCGGGCTTACTACTGGCTAATCGAGGTTTAGGATTGCGCCAGACGGGAACTGAATGCGACCAACGAATGTGGTTGGCAAACAAACATAATACAATCACCAAACAATAGATAAATATATGATTATTATTCATATCCTCGTTTGGAGGGATTTGATTGGTCCTAAGTTAGTTCATGAACTCATATATCAGTTAAAGAAACCATTAAGGTAGTAATGGACAGGTATTTCGTCCTAGTTTGACTCTCTTCAACAGTACATGCCCATATAGAACTATAGATCGCTAATTAGCAGAAATTTTGACTCATGAGCCATTTGGTTGTTTCTAGTGGCTGAATTGTCAATGGGATGGCCTGTTAACTGGAAGGTCTTGGGGATTTGACCACTAGTGTGGTTATGAGTGAGTAGTGCTGAAGAGTTTCAAACGAAGACGAAACAGCTGTTGAATACCCTCCCTGGTAGTTTTCAATGGTATCGATGATATCGATTGGTGATCTATAGTACTCAGTGAATTAACATCAAATCATCAAAAATAACAACTCGGAATACCTTGAACATCCACTACTAAATCATATGGTTTAAATGATTCTTTCTCTGAATTCAACCAATCACACTTGACTATACGTCCTTCACCCAATAGAGGATGACCAGTAGGAAATTGAAGGCAGTCAGAGCTACTCTTATCACTGTTTGGATGTGAATTTATCAAACGCGATAGTGCTTGATATATGTATAATTCACCTAATCGGCCAATATCCACTCGTCTCTCCCGGGTATGCAGAATACGATTCAAACGAGTAGTTAAGTATGAGGGCAACTTTTCACCAGATGAAAAGAATGCCATAACAGGATTATCATTAGCAGATGTTGAGACGGTAGACGAGTTAGACTTGCAAAACGACGAAAAGGAAGATGTGGAAGGAGCAGAAGATTGTAGACACCTCCTCGCTGGTGGGATTTCTTTCGGTAGAGGAATAAAGTCAAGAGAATCTAAATAAATAAAAAAGAGACGAATTTAAAAAAAACCTAAGATTAATCAGAACAAATTTTCAAAGCAACATAATACTCATTTCAATAAAAGAAAAAACAGAGAATTCTCACCAACCATGCACATGTTTGGTGTGGGTTTGATTCCTGGCCACTGACGTGAACTTTTGACCTTCACAAAGCCAGTAGTAAGTACGGCATATATGGCGAAGGTTGGGAGTGTGACGCTAGCAAACCCATCCTGTAAAAACAATACTACAGCAACTGAAATTTCAAAGAACAAGCTCGAAGTCCTGTTGCCGATCTTTTCTGCCTATGTGATATTGAGTGGTATTTTGCGAGGACAGCTGTTAGTGAAAGTCTGTAGTTTGTTTGAAGTGCCATTCGTGACGTGGCGCCAAGTCTCTGATCCGTATAGTAGCACTGACTTCCCAATGGAGTTGAAAATCCGGATCTTATTTCGATTTTCTTGCTGTGTGCTGTTGACCTCCACACAGACTTGAGAGTAATGAAAGCTTGCCTTGCCTTCTCGATCCTCGCTTTGATATCCTCATCAGTTCCGCCTGTAGTTGAAATGATGCTTTCCAAGTAGATGAAGTACGTTGCTTCTTTCAGAATGCACGTATACTAATTGCTTCTTTCAGGTTTCTCTCATTTATGCTGATTGTTGTCTGTTGTTTTTGATGTTGCTGTTGGCCAGGAATCTTCATCACCTCTGTTTTCCTCATGTTCACCTGAAGGCCTATCTTCTCTGGATGCTTCTTCTGCCAATTTGTTGCTTTTTATTCGCATGTGTTCCAGTTTGTAGGAAAGCAGACACTTATCATCGGTGAAATTCAGATCCTCCAAGTGTTTGTGTGGGTCCCCTTTTAATACCTGTCTCCTCGTTGCCCGCTGTCTGTCGCATAACCAATCTGCCGCAGTCAGGAAAATCACTGGAGATAGTAGACAGCCAGCCTTGTCTTACTGCCGTCTTCACTTCGAAGGATTTCGTGAGTTTCCCGTTGTGAATTACCTGGCAAGTAGCATTATCGTACAACTGTTGGATGAGGTGTATAATTGTTGGCGGCAACCCGTAGTAGCGAAGTAGTTGGCAAATCACTTTCCGATCGACGCTGTCAAACGCCTTTTCAAAGTCGATGAAGTTGAGATCGAGAGGTGACTGCCATTCCAAGCTTTGTTCAATGATGATCCGTAGTGTGGCGATTTGATCAAGGCCTGACTTGTTCCTCCTGAATCCAGCTTGTTCCTGTTGAAGTTTTCCATTCAGGGTTTGTTTGATTCTCTCCAGGATGATGCGGCTTAGTATTTCGCTTGGGATGGACAGGAGCATTATTCCACGCCAGTTCTTGCATTGACGTAAGTCTCCTTTCTTTGGCAGTTTGAATAGGTAGCCTTTCTTCCAACCCGCAGGTAACTTGCCCTAAGTAGCTAGACAGAATTCATATAATGTCATTACATGTCACACAATATATTTAACTTATAGCCTGGTAGGTTCAGACAACACCAACGGCATGCTTTACCACCTCAATGTCTTAAAAATCTCAAATGATACGTGAAAGCACTAAATAATATAGGCTAACCAGTAACACACCAACCAAAGTAATCGAAGAGTATTCGCCCTCACATCTAACTTTGTAGACTCCACTGGTCATGACTTCCCACAAGAGAACTTCAATATAGAACTTAGGCACAGATATGCAGCAGTTCGAGTTGTCCCCATTCCACGTATCACACAAAAGTACACAAAACAGAGAGAAAAGAGATTCAAAAGCACTATGATAAGCAAAAATGTGAGGAAGAAAGATTAATGACATGGAATAAACATCAGGACTTAATGGACATGAGAGAACACAAAGAGTGTGAATGTATCTGCAACACTGAGAGAACGACTCTCAGATATATATATCTCCAATTGTCTCCATTCTGTATTCAGTCACTAGTGAGTGCTAGACTAATTTTCAAGTATTGATTTCAAAATTGATCACGGATTGACTTCAAGTAGAGAACCGTTGAAGACCAAGGAGTACTGGATAACTGTTTCGTCGTTGTTTGGTTTGGGACTCTCAGCAATACACACCCATGAATTCGTCAGAGACCGACACCAAGATGAATTCAGGTTATAAGACGAATTCGTAAACGCATTTAGGCACTGAGGCATGTCTTCTGAAACAACTGAGAAGGCTTATAGCTCTGGTGGATGAATTTCCATGTGGTTTTGTTCTCCCTAGCTGTATGGTGGTTTAATTTCGGAGCTTCTATTGTTTCTTTCTAGACACATCGGTTCAGCTCGCTGACTTCAATGTGAAGTAAAGAAACAAGGTTACTTATATTGAAGTCAGTGGCCTGAAAATATCGTGTCTGGAAAGATAATATAAACTTCTCAATTGAAGCACCAACAAGCTCAGAGAATAGAGTCACATCAAAATCCTACATTTATATATACAAACATATGAACAAAATAAGTATACTTTCAGGATTACATCATGAACTGACATCGGTTAGAGGACCATTGAAAAACCTGGGAGTAATGGCAGACAGCTGTTTCGTCCCAGCTTGGGACTCTTCATCAGTGCGCACTACTTCCGGGGTTCGAACCAAGAACCTTCTGGTTACAAGGCTAACTCGTACACCATTAAGCAGCCACTGGGACCCGATCCAATGGTCCATGAAATTCCAACTTCTGCCAATTCACGACATGGCGCGACCACTAGCGAATGTCGTCCGTGGCGAGTATTTGTCCTCACATCCGACCTGTTGCATCCCACCAATGGTCCTCTAACCAATATCACTTCATAATCAAATCCTGAAACCAATCAAATCCCTGCAAATCGACACTTGAAAATAAGTCTACATTGAGACAAACGAAAAAAAAGATCGACATACCTAAAGATGACGTAACAGATGGCGTAAACGGTCTATTTAATTCTGCATCCCTTCTAAAATATTTACTATTGTCGGAATTCGTTTTAATTGGTACTGATTGAATACTACTTGATTCAATTGGTTCAATAGTAGTGAAATTTGAACGTGTCCAATAGCCTTTACTACTAATCACCTGCTTTAAACACTTTTCATTAGATACTGGCTGAACTGAATTATTTTCATATCGAGATTGTTTTAATGGCAAATGATGAGATGATTCCTTAGGTACATATGGAACAATATTATTGTTAGTAGTAGTAGTAGTAGCAGTAGGATTTGCAGTTGCGCTTGTCATATCAAAGGAAGAAGAAGAAATTGCTTTTGTAAGTAAATTTGCTAACTTTACTACTTCACTCGTCACAGATAAAACAATCTTCAAGTCTTTTGTTTTTCGTTTTTTTTCGATATAAGTAGTATAGTGTGGTACGATAGTAGTACGCCAGAAGTCATCATCAATACGCTGTGATGATGTAGGGTACTTCCTTTTCATAGGCAGACTATTCGATGATGTACTTCTAGATGATTCAAATGTTGGAATCTTCATTCCAGTGTTACTAGATGTATATTCACATGAGTAAGGAAGAGTAGAAGGAGGATACGATGGCTTTGGTTGTGTCTGCAGTGGTGCTGACAGTGACACAGGAGGTGATTGTGGTGGTGATGGTGGCGTTATCGTCTGTGGGGGAGCTCGTGAAGCCGGTGGAAGCGGAGGTGGCGGAGGATATAATATACTCATCTCATGCCGGACTTTCGATGGTCTAATACCATGTGATAGAAGATAACTCTCTAACTGTTGATGATAATGTGAATATGTCTTCATATTTATATATTCATATAATACATTTGAATGGATTGATAGAGCTAAATTGAGAAATCCTCGTAGAAATTGTCTAAAAATATGTATAATTAAAGACAATAAATAGAGGTTAGTTTAGTCAAAAGAAAAAAGTAAGGTAAGGTAAGTTATAACAGTCAAAACCAAATCGTTGTGGTTTAAACTCAGGGAACCAATCCTGGCGTCCTGCTGTATAACTGTTCGAAACTTCCTTCAGAGACGAACAGTCAAAAAACGCTCCAGAGACAGCAAAAAGAGGATTATTCGTCTATTCAGCAACAAGAATAATATCAAAAACTCAAAAAATTACCTAAACAATGCCGTTAGGCAGCTAGTTATACAGACCAGGTAACTTTCTGAGTACAAAACAAGTAGTGCAGAAGTAAATTAGTTAACCGAAATTCAAGCAGATTATTCCCAACAAGGGGTGATCAAAACTTGGTCCACAAGAACTGGAAAACACAAACAATTCCCTCAAATACTCCAAGATCAGAATAACCTTGATTCACTTATACAAAATCCCATCATAAGACAACACATTATCAATGTATCGAACAACTACAAAGAGAAGCATTCAAATTAGAGATTAAACAAGAACAAAGATTGTACTAGGGATCAAACCTCGAAACTTCAGGATAACAAACGAATATATAGAGATTTAAATTCATCAACCATTGGATCCTGAGTAAGTGGTTCAATCTCTAACAGGGCACAGGAGCATATGCTGCTTGAAAATCCCAAACTACAATAAAACAAACCTCGCCTAGTTAACTAGCTTGCTATATTTCTAGCCGGGCCGGTAGAAAGGGAGGGTTGGGCGTGGGACTAGCAATCCTACACCACTAAACCTATCAAACCGCTAGAGAAACTTCAACGCACAGAAAATATATTAAAAATACAAAAAAAATTCAGGTGACAACAATCTTATTCTTCGCTCGAATCCGAGAAGCGAAATTACGCGTGCTGGTGAAAGCCTTCAGGAAGTCAGTTAGCCGGCGGATACATCTTCTCTCGGTGAAAGCAAGAATAAGAATGAGAATGTAGAACATCCGTCTAGTGTACGATACTGTGAAGGCTGACACCCAGGTAACCAAAGAAACGCGAAGATATGGCATAGAAGTGCTGGGTACCTGCGAGAGCAGATAGAATGGATGTGGACTGACAACATTGTCAACGGGAGAGTCAATAATCTACTCCGGTCTGGTCACCCAGATGACAGCCACGAGCACACTGAGGGAGTAGCTATTATGATGTCACCAGTGGCAGCCAAAGCCCAAGTGAAGTGGGAACCAATATCCTCCTGCAGGGTCATGACAGCAAGATTCAACTCAAAAGGCAGGAAGGAAGGTTACAATTATCCAATGCTACGCACAGTGCTACAAACAACGCAGAACAAGAGAAGAAGGAAGATTTCTATAGACAACTACAAACAGTAATGGACAGCATCCCAAATGGTGACATCAAAATCCTCATGGGCGATTGAATGCCAAACTGGGGGTAGATAATACAAGAAGAAAACTCATTATCGAATGACAATGCGCTCAATGCAGAAACATCACTCAAGCGCAATCCGAATAGGAAGCGACGAGTGGGTCGTCGGTTCGAGGGTGACATGGAGGAGGTTGTGTAGAGATGAGAGAATTTGGACAATCGTGAACTCAGCTGAAGAGGATAGCAGGAAATAGAACAAAGTGGAGATGTGTTGTTGAAGCCCTCTGCTCCACTCGGAACCCAAGGGAAAAATTAAAAATAATAATATAATAAAACAGATGTCAAGTTCTTCATGGTTTCAATGATTCTTAGTGTGATGTATGTTTGTGGTAAAACCTAGACTGTAAAACTTTGTCATCCACTATATGTTTTTTGTACATTTATACTAACGCATTTTCTGCCATATCAATTAATATGCCTGTTCATTTTTCAACCCATACTCTTTCTTTGCCCTCTAGATTATTCCTCATTGTGTGTAAATGGTTTCTGCAATATGCACCAAATTTGTGGAAGAGAAAATGGCCAGAAAGAATCAGAGACAAGAAACTATGTGAACAAACCAACCAAAGAACCTATTGCTGCTCAACAAGTATGCAGAAGAAAATCGGGATGAATCGGACACACGCTGAGGAGACCATCGAATGACATCGTGCGTCATGCTAGCCTTCCAGTGAAACCAGAACGTCTGCTACTCCGAGGGTGACATGGAGGAGATCAGAGACAATGGGCAATCGTAGGGAAAACTAAAGAGTATCACAGACAATAGGAAAAAGTAAAGATGCGCTGCTGAAACCCCAAGTTCCAGTCGGAACCTAAGGGGATAATAATAAGAACTGAAATACTTTACCACTAAAGGCTCCAGGTAATCAATCATCTGTCTTACCCACCTCCGAAGCACTTTTTTGACTACACACGCCACGGATAGGGATACCAAAGTCAGCCGAAATTGGGCCAAAAAAAACAAGACGGGTCCTCATTACTTTGAAATCAGTGTGGAGATCCTCAGTGGCTTAATACACAGAATAAGATTTGCTTATTTCGAACACTACTGTCAAGTCAGTCAGTGTTTCCTAATTGGAATTTCGAAGAGACTTCAGATTTTCATCAACAGCTGCAGCTTCGTCCAATTCTGAATGGATATGCAGTAAATAACTCTGAGAGTGTAGCTAATCAGCAGCAAACAACCTATTGCCTGATAAATCTGCCGAAATAAATGGAGATGTTTTTTGGATTAGTAAGAAGACCTTCGAGTGTCTTCATACACCAGGCCATTAAAAGTAACTTGAATAGGAATTATAGAACACAATTTAAGCAAATACGTATTTTCGGGGAATTCTCATTAGGCTTTACATTTATATAATGACGAAATATTAGTCATAGGCATCTGAATTAATATGGTCAATAAAATGTAAGATTAGAGTTCAGGGATATGAATTAATGGATAACAATCGAGGTGATCATAAAGTAATAATAATAATAATAACAACAAGGATAAATTCATTTAAGTGTTTATATAATCTAGACAACGGTGAGTGTATAGGTAGAATATGCATACTAGTAGGGGTAGAGGGGAAAACAACTATGGTCACATGGGGATTCAATAATATTATAATAATAAATTGTGAAACCGAGAATAAAAAATACAGATACGGCACACCATGATATCCATAATACAGTTAGCATTACAAATAGAATACAAATATAATTGACATAATATTTACAGTTATTCAGTGTCACCGGGAGAGATAACTATTTTAGGTTATGGGTGAAGGCCAACGGAGAAACAGAGACTGAACAAAATTTTTCTGAACATAGAGATTTGATTGAAAAATCATTATGGCAACTGACTCAGTTGTGCTTAGCAAGCGAAGACGTACCCAACCTACGGAGTTGAGGTGGCAACTTGTATAGAATTGTAAAAGCTGAATTTTTATCAATCTTGTGCTACGTATCCATAAGGTGTGTGTCAATATGGAACTTCTGACTGACTTTACAACTCCTCTACTTAACCACGATGGACAATGCTCCAGTAAGCGATAGTGGGCTTTCCAAGTCGTTTTACCTACGTGAATGTCTCCACAAGGACAGCTAAATTTATAACTGTACATTAAATTGGCCAGATTCGGTAGGTTATCCTTCACTTAAATTGGAAGTATACAACGAGTGGTGGATTTTCAACATAGTGTTGCAGCAAAGAATGTTTTAGCTAATATTTTTCTGAGTTTTGATGTTAGCAATTCAGCAGCTTTGTTTCATTTGAACGGTAGTCATATATACATATATATGCGTTTCTTTTGCACAAAAATCATCCTGGATTCCGCGGATGATTTATGTTTGATGTCACACAAAATTGAAGAATTACAAGCGAAAACCGACAAACTGGTCGAAGAAGCAGCCAGTGAAGACAGGACTCCAGATGAACATAGACAAGACAGAGGTTATGAAAATAACCAACCAACAACAACAACAGCAGCAACATCCAGTGCCAATCACCATCAACGGGAGGGATTTGAAAGAGGTTACTTCATTCACTTATCTAGGGAGCGTTGTCTCAACCACAGGAGGAACGGACGAGGATGTCAAATCGAGAGTCGGGAAGACGAGAAACACATTCATCAACCTGAAACCAATCTGGAAATCTTCGTCACTCAGCATCAACAACAGAATTCGGATTTTCAATACAAACGTCAAGTCAGCTCCTCTATACGGATCAGAAACTTGGCGGCGGGTCACAAAGAATATTTCCAACAGCCTGTTGCAGACCTTTATCAACAGCTGTCTTCGTTCTATACTCAAAGCTTGTGAACTGTTGTAGAACAAGCGTCAAAGTGATGGTGTAACGGAAAAATTGCCCCCGAGGCCTTATGTTCCACCCAGAACACAAGGAATATATCACGAGATAAATATAAATAGAGAGAGACTGTATCTTACGAAAACCTAGATTCTTCTTAAGGCAGATGACCACTCGGCGTCACGCCTACAGTTCAGTTAATTTCACCTGTGCACACTGAAGTCTTGTAGGTCAACTTCTCTTTATCTGCTTTCAGCTGGTAGCCATGATTCTCTATTGCTGATAAAATTCGGGTTTCCCACGTCAACCAGACTACCCAACTCAGTATGTTTGTTCAACAGACTCAGGGTACTTGTGCAGAATAATGTCAGTACACCTTTGTGCTCTACCACACAAACTACAAAGCTTCGATAATCATCAAGCTCCAAACTTTCACCAACCAAAAACATTCAGTAATAAGGCTATTCTACCCATCGTGGCACCATTCAATGAATTCCAGTTCACTAGACTGCTTTTTGAGACATTCTCTTAGATATAGGTGTGCGCTATTATAGATAACCTATTCTTTAAGAATATCACCACTACTGAGGAAAGTCTCTGTCTACGCTCTCCAGCCAACTTCGAGTTTAAAAAAGAAGACGTGACGACTAATTGATTTCAGTCAGACTTTTGGTTGAAGCAATTGTTTCTTCGCTGTTACGTTTCATTTCTACAACTGATTGAGGGAAATTATTTAATCCACCACTAATTACAAAATTGAAACATTTTCCAGAAATATAACAACCATATTTATTAGCATGCTTTAATCTGCGGGAAAATGCAAATGCATACACACATACAAACTCCAATTTGCATTTCGTCAGAAACCCACATTAATAAGAGAATCGTCGAAAACCAAAGAGTGTTGAGGACTGTTCAGCAGTGAGTATACATGACCCCACGAAGGATCGAACCTAAGACCTTGATGTCACGAAGACAACCCATCCAGCCAGAATTTAGAGTTCACGGGTTATTGAATTCTAACGCCATGATTGGTCTCATAACCTGTGGAGGTCCCAGGTTCGATAACCTAGTGACATCATGGATACACACTGTTGAAGAGTTCCAAACTAGGACGAAACAGTCGTCCAGCACTCCTCTAGATGATGTCGGTTCGTCACGAGATCTACACTGAAATTGATCAAAGTCTTAAAAAAACCCAAAAACTTGAAAACAATTAACAACTTACATCAGATTCATTTTATTGTTTCCATTATATGGACATAGAAAATCAATAATTTGATATATCAACGATTGATGCATAGTGTCATTATTTGTTTTAGCCATTCGATGATTCTTTAGCACTGGATCATTTATAGAAGCGTGTAGAAGATAAATTAATGGTGAATGCTTGTTATAGAGATCAGAAGATGATGATGATGATAACCTTGACAATATTTTATCACCCAATATTTTGTCAAGAAATAATTTACCATCCAATAGACAAACCATTGAATGTTTTGTACACAGTTTAATGACACTTGAACATTGAAAGTTATTTAAATAAGGCGGGGGGAAATTTAAACCGATTTGTAGATGTTCAACCTACAAAAGAATAGGAAAAGAGACAAGAAAAGGGACTTATCAAAAAAAATTCACAACACAAATCTTTCATCAAGCCCAAAATACACAAACGAACATCCCGTTACGACCAATTGTATCACTCCCAGGAACCCCAACATACAATTTGTTCAGAGAACTATGCAGAAAATTGAAACATTTAACAGGATTCCTGCGATCACTCCATCAAATCTGCTATCCAATTTCTAGAGAAAATCAAAAGCACTCAAATAGATGAACAAAAAAATACTGGCTTCCTTCGATGTCACAGCACTATATACCTCAACTGGCAAAAGAGACCATGAAACGGTCATTCAGAAAAGACATAAATGCAACACACAAGTTTGATGGAATGCATAAACTTATGCCTAACAAAGTATTTCCAATTCAACAACCAAATACATATGAACAAGTTTAAGGAACACCCATAGGATAACCCATATCAGGTTTGCTTGCTGAAGCAGTGATGCAAAGACTCGAAAGCATAATCCAACCAAAGATCAAACCCAAAATTCGGATACGTTACGTAGATGAAAAATTCGAAATAATCAACAGAAACGAGCTGGACAAAGCTCACGACTTAATAAACAACATCTTCAAAGACATCAGATTCACAAGAGAAGAGGAATCCAAGGATAAAATCCCATTTTTGAACGTCTTAGTCAAGCGAACAACCAAAAAGAGTAGAAACGATGCTTCCCAGATAAGTGAAGGAGGCAATCTCTGTTAAATCTCTCCCACTGATGGTGACTGGTGCTGGTTGTTGCGACTCGTTGGTTATCTTCATCACCTCCGTCTTCTCTGTGTTCACTTGGAGTCCTGTCTTCGCTGCTTCTTCAGCCAGTTTGTTGGTTTTCACCTGCTTGCAAGTCTTCGAGTTTGTGTGACATTAGACATATATCATCTGCAAAATCCATATCTTCTAGATTCTTGTTGTGGGTCGTCCATCGTAATCGTGACTCCTCGCCCCCAACAGTCTGACGCATAATCCAGTCCACCACAATTAAGAATATCATCGGTGATACTAGGCAGTCTAGTCTTACTCCTGTGTGCACTTCGAACACCTCTCTGAGTTTTCCGTTGTGGATCACCTGACATGTGGCACTGTCATAAAGCTGTTGAATGAGGTTGATAAAGACTTGAGGTAAACTGTAGTGTTGAAGTAGTCTCCAAATTATGTCTCAGTCAACGCATATTTAGTTGAAAACCAAAGATCACTCGGACTAACAAATACGCAGATGTATGACTCCTACTTCTTACAGACCTTGTGACTTCATAATACGTAGGTGATATTGACTAAATTGACCGTACAACAAGAGGGAATAATTGCGATCTCATTCTTCTCAAATTAAAACTAATTCCTTTATTCATGTGATGAATAATCAATCAGTTTTTAAATATTCAACATAGTAAGTCATCAAGAGCGAAAAAATGAATGATTTATCTATGAGATGTCACCACTGAAACTGGAACACATCTGAAGAGACTAGTTGTTGTCTTCGACTTCAGATGTTTGCATTTTATCTCCCATAGTAAGTGATGCAATATAGTGAGTAACATTAAATTAAAGCGTAGAGTGTTATAGATGAGGAGGAAAAGTCAACCGACGGTTATACAAAGCTACATTAATAGATTCAGAAAACCAGGAAATATGTTACACATGCCAATCCACCAACCTTCATCGTCAAGCAATGTTAACGAACAGAGGATTGGGTTGGAAAGGAGTCAGACATCAGAACGTCCGGTTTTTCGTATACGCAGTGCAGAAGAAATTAGCACACTAAATTTCTGATTTGGAAATATATTTCATATTTTGGAAGATCAATGTGTTCTCTTGATTTGCCTCTGGAACAGTTGGTTGTTTTCGATTAAACAAGTACAAATGTAACCGTAGAAGACAAGAAACTTGGTAACGAAATGCCTATTAGGAATTTGATATGGACATATCGGGGAATTATGTACACCTTATATGAATATCGTCATTTGCACAGGACTTCTGTATTGTGTTACCTTGTCTTCTCTCATTTTTCACCGCAATACTGTTTTATTCCCACTCTCTGATGTCAAATCTATCGATGCGCTATTTGATATTTTTGTTTCGATGAACTTCCTGTTTATATACCACTGATAAGTCTTGTCAATAGCAGACACCACACTTTTGCAACCGTCAAACAGTTTCGAGCGGAGCAGCCCCGACGTTCTTGGTTCTACCCGTGTTCTTGTTGTGCCTTGGTCCTGGCCTTCTTATCCGACTGTTTCCATGTCTGCAGTTGGCTGACTTTAACCCGTTTTTGATAGTAAAAACGGGACCACGTCTCTCAGTTTTCGCGAACCTGATCCACATTTAACCGCGTCCTTTCTTCCTCTACACTTTACTTGACCACCAGCCTCAAAGGTTATGCATCCCATTTTTTCTCTCTGTTCAGATTTCCCGATGTTTTTCTCCTGTTAGCTCTTTGCATTCTAGACTGCCCTGTCGCTTGGTGTTCATTAAACTGCAGTTCCTCGGTAACAACATCAGCGAAATAGTAACACAGTGCCTGATGAATGCAATTAAAAGAGCTTGTAATGCAGCAGAGGTACGTTGTCTCTTCACTACCACCCCTATTCTACGTTCGAGAAATAAGGATAAACTACCTAAATTTGCCTCCTCTATGTGTATCTACCAGTTTGACTGCAGCTGCGGAGCCAGCTACATCGGGCGTACAGTTAGACAGGTTCATCATCGTTTTTTCGAACATCCTGCATCGTTAAGCAAGGGACAAACAAGATCTATTCGTAGCTCTATTTTAGCACACCTTGTAGATAGTGAGCATAAGATTAACGTTAATACAGCATTCACAATTATTTATCGCATTCCTAATAACGTTAATTTTGCTTTACGAGTTCGTCTTCTACATACAGCTGAAGCAATAGGAATCCACCTGAAAAAATCAAACCTGTGTGTTAAGAAGGAATTTCTACAGCCATTTTCCTTACCTTGGCCATCGTTACATGAATGTATAAACCGGACAATTTCGCCCCCTCCCCCTAAACCTTTAAAAATTATAATTGTCCAAATTAGTTTATTATTAGTCTGGCTACTTCATCTTTAGTTACAAGTTATCATTGTCCGAATCGTTTTATTTTTCTTTAACATTCTGTTACGTAATCAACTTCAGCACACACCTATTCCTTGACTACTCTTCATTTTTCCAAAATTATGCATTACGCAATCCATGTATTGCAACCATTTCTACCGTTTAATTGTGTGTATTAATTTTCCTCGTTGACATTGACATGTTGACACTGACTAATTATTGTTAACAAACATATCGCCACTTGATTGGTAAACTGTTGTGTATTGTAATAAAAATGTTATATATATCAGAGTAGAGCCAGAGATGAGAATCAATTGAAAAGTAAATATTTCTTCGTCGAATCTGTTTGCTTTTTAAATGAAACAGGAGTCATAAGTACACGGTAGTTAACATTGAAATAAGCAAACAAGTAGGGTTTATTCACACATGCTATATAGAAGTTTGGGACTCTTCATCAGTGCGCACCCACCGGGGTTCGAACCCAGGACCTTCTGGTTACAAGGCGAGCTAGCTCGTAGACCATTGAGCCACTGGGACCCGATCAAATAGCCAGCCCATGAATTCTAACATCTGCCAATTCAAGACATAGCGCGACAATTTCGCTAAGTAACTTCGATGAGTAACTGCCTCATCTTCAACCTGCTGTACCCCAGTGGTCACGACGCTGCGAAATGGTCACGCTATGTCGTGAATTGGCAGAAGTTAGAATTCACGGATTGGCCAGTGGATCGGGTCCCAGTGGCTCAATGGTCTATGAGCTAGCTCGCCTTGTAACCAGAAGGTCCTGGATTCGAGTCCCGGTGGGTGCGCACTGATGAAGAGTCCAAAACTAGGACGAAACAGCTGTCCAGTACTCCTAGGCTTTCCAGTGGTTCTCTAAATGATGTCAGCTCGTGATGAAATCCTCCATCCAATCAAACAAAATGCCTACAAAACCAGTACTTGAAAATATATAGAAGTGCCAGAATTTAGAGGAGGTGTACGTGATTGAGTGAGTGAGTCTGTGAATGAGTTAGTCAATTGATCCGTATATCAATCATTGTACAGAGCTTGATATTTAAAAAAAGGATCCTATCTACATTAATAAACTTACTATATATGCATCAATCTGGTTAGATTCAACAATTGTATTGATCATATCTTGATCTATTGAACTTCTTGTAGAATATTCATTATTCCCTGCTGAATATTTTGTTGAACACCATAACAGGATAAGACGAAGAAGACTTTTGAAAACTATATCCATCAATTGATGAGGTATCATAAATTTATGATCAATATGTCTTATTGATAACAGTTGATAATCACCTTCACGTCGAATACATAATTCAGTAGTATAATCCAGTATCTAAACAGTTTTTTCCAGAATGAAAAAGAAAATTATAAATGACGATTATTACCTTAAATGGAAAACACCTCAGGAGTACAAACAGAAGGATTCCTAGGGACGATGCTGAGAATTAACTGTAGGGTCCTGACCGATAGTTGCCACCTAATTATGGTGGTCGATCTTGCATATCCTAATGACCCGACGAGTTACACTGATTAAAACTAATGTTTCTGTAGGTCTTATCATTGCAGAAAGGTTGCTGGACTAAAAGCAGTTATCATCACAGTGTCGTACACCTTATATTAGAGGGTCTGAGAGAGACGTCGTACTGCTACTGAATAGGGATTGAACAAAAGTATGGTGTTTCCCCCACACCAGATGACTAGCAAGGCATATATGCTGCATTTCCGTTTCAGGAGGAAAATCAGACATCCCGACTTATCTGATGGTAGTGCATAACAAGTGGTAAGATCTCAAAAGGAACACAACTCTAAAAACAAACTAATGCAGGATGTGTTTGACCAAGTATTTCAAGAAAGCAAACCATAGTGAATGCAACTTAGAAGTGATAACCGCCATACACACACAGGAAGCTTTCCTAGTGTTGGAAATTACTTGGGCACATTAGGGCTAGTCAGATCGAATAGCTGTGTTGGCTAGTTTTGGAATCGAGCTCATTAGCAGTGTAACCCCGCATTAGACACACAGTGAAACAGAACAAAAACAGTTCAAACCATCCTCATTCTAATTAACTATTCGGGTGACTTTGTAGTATATGGAATATAAAAGTCGTCAGTAAAAAGTCTGAGCATTGTGGAATAGATCAAATAAAGTATAATTATATTTCAATGGTTTACACACAATGATAAGTTTTGTTATTGGTAATATTATTTCGAGCAAAATTACTACTGTCCGTGTTCACACCACTGTTGGAATTGTTTTGTTCACACATTTATGATTTGTACTCACATATATATATATAGCTCTTTTTTCATTCATTTTTGTGTATTCAGAATTATATTCCAGGTTGTCGACAGTTGTGCTGCTGAGTCACCCTTGTTACATGTATCCGGTGTGACCTTGATGAATATAGATTCTGTTATAAGTCTCTCTTTCCATTTGTTCATATTAGTTTTCAGAATACAAACATTGTCCCAATCGATATTGTGGTTTTTGTCCCATGCATGTGCAGCAATAGATGAATTTTTTTTCTGAATTCTTGTAAGCTTGTGTTCATGTGGGATAATGACCTTCTTTTGTGCAGGCGTTTATGTTCATTCACTCTTGTTTTGAGTGATCTGGACGTTTGACCCACATATTTAGTTGTACAAGATATTTTGTAAATCAAGTTGTTTTTACCCATCATTTTTATTGGATTTCTCAGTTGATTTATCTTATTTTTAATTAGGTTCGTCGGTTTAAACGTTGTGCGAATGCCAATATCTTTGAGGTTTCTTCAAATTGCCTCTGATGTACCATTTTTGTATGGTATTGTGACTGTTCTGTTTTGCATTCTTCCGTCTTGTCATTTAACCTCTTTTTTTTCTCTTTTTTATATTATCTTTGATAAATTCTTTTGGTTAGTTGTTGTCGAGTAACATTTTGAATAGGACGTTTATTTCTTTACGCTGGTCCTCTCTCTGGTGTTGTTGTAAGTCTACGTATTCTATCTGCAAGACCTTGTATTAGTCCTCGTTTCACCGTGAGTGGATGAGCTGAGTGATAATCAAGAAATTTTCAAGAGAGACTTATAACAGAATCTATATTCATCAAGGTCACACCGGATACATGTAACAAGGGTGACTCAGCAGCACAACTGTCGACAACCTGGAATATAATTCTGAATACACAAAAATGAATGAAAAAAGAGCTATGTATATCATAAATGTGTGAACAAAACAATTCCAACAGTGGTGTGAACACGGACAGTAGTAATTTTGCTCGAAATAATATTACCAATAACAAAACCTATCATTGTGTGTAAATCATTGAGATATAATTATACTTTATTTGATAAAAGTTGTCATTATTGCTAATGACACAGTTCACGATGAGAATCCAGCAAAGTTTCCTTTGGGAAATCAAATACACATTCAGATCACACACAAACACACATACATACAATGTGATCTGCTCGATAGCATCAGTGACAATCAAAGAAGAAAGAGACAGCGAAGTGTATCCGTGGTTCAATGGCAAAATACTCACCAACCACACACATGTGGTTCAAGGTTCGATTCCTGGACAACACACACACCCCCAAACCTTGCTTAGCCAGTAGTAAACCGGTTAGTAAAGAGGGAAGGCTGAGTATGCGGTTACCAACCCGCCCGCCTTAAAGTCAAACAACACCAAAGTATGAAAACAAAATGAAAAAGTAGAAACAATGCAATACAACAATGACAACTAACCGGTAATCCAAATAAATTCAATAAAAGATTACGTGTATTCCCCTCATATTGTTCTGTTGATGGTGATGACGATGATGATGATGATGACGCATACTGATTATATCGTGCATGATAACTTGTACATGGCGTTGTTCTTAGCGGAGGATAATCCTCGTTTAATAAGTATAAACTGTACGCCATTATTCTATACTGTGAAGAATTACTTTGACAAAAATCATGTATTATAGAGGCAGGCATTGCTTTGAACCAAGTAAAAAGATTTATCCTCCTTTCACCTAATTGACGACCTTTACTACTTGTGGAATGTTTATTTGATTTTAGACTTTCCATCATCAATGGAGAAGTTGTAACGACCTAAAGATTCAGAGGAGAGAAAAGAAAAGGAAAGGAAATAACGGATAACTAGGAAAGAAGTCATGTATACAACTAATATGTATGTAGATACCTTACAATGAATCACTTTTCTTTCTTTTTCTTTTTTTCCTTCACGTTCCCCAGTGGAACATAGGGCTTCAACCTAGTGGCCTGAAGTTTCTGTAGCAGTGTTTATTTTACAGGATGGGGTTGCTAGCCTCATGCCCAACCTTTCCTCTTCACCAGCATTATTTCTGGCTTAGCGAGGTAAAGGAGTGCGTCGGCCGGGGATCGAACCCCGGACCATGTGCATGGTCGGCGAGCGTCCTAACAGCTATGCCACCAACGCACAATGAATCACTGCTCAGTGTACAATTCAAGGATATGAAGTATCCAGTTATCTATAGATTATTATTACTATTTCGTCGGGTTCCAAATGGAATATGGTGCTGTAACAACACATCTTCATTTCATCCTGTTCTCTACACCCCCTTTTAGCTGAGTTCACGATTCCACATAAGCCTCTAGGCGACAGGATCTTGGTTGGTTGGTTGGTTGCTAATTCTTTCTGACTCTCTCTCTCTCATGTTCAGCATCGAGCTAACGAAGGCAGCTGTTAATGAAATCCTATAGACGGTTGGAAATGTTTTTTAGTGACCCGCGTTAAGTCTCTAAACCATAGTGTGTTATATCACAGAGGAGAACAATTATATTAATTGATTTCTAACGTTACAGATATAAAAAAGAGTAAATTTCGGTAAACTAATTGTCTGAAAAATCACTCCATAAAGAATCTATTTAACTTTGTAATTATTACCTGCTTCCCTTGACCTGTATTACACATTGCTCTAACATTTGCATATTTTCTTTCCACCTAATCCTTTTTCTATTCATTTACGTTCCCAGTGGAACTAAGGACTTAAAGCTAGAGCTATGGAGTTTCGGTAGTAGTGGTGTTTATTTTTACAGGATGGGGTTGCTAGCCTCATACCCAACCTTCACTCTTTACCAGTCTTATTACTGGCTTGGTGAGGTAAAGGAGTGCGTCAGTCAGGGATTGAACCCCTAGTCACGTGCGTGGTTGGCAAGCATTCTACCGCTGTGTCACCGACGCTACTTAATCCTTAGTATCTATCTTTACTATTGGTTGATTCTTATTTGTAATGCTTCTCACTTGGTATTTCTATGTTGGTATTGAGGATAATGTTCTGATAGTAGAGGTGGTTGAGTAATTCTTTTTTGTATGCACAGCTCCGGCTTCTCTGTGTGAATGACCAGAGCTTCAGCAATACACAGAAGACGAAACCGTATTCCCTTTGATAGGTTATTCTTGACCCTTGGACAGGATGCGCGTCGAACGATCGACGTACCTGACTCCACAGCAGCAGGCGAACTGACATATGTAAATATTGGTGGTCAGGTGCAGGATCTTGTCCATAAGGATTCCGCAGATCAGCGGGTGACTGGAGAACACTATTCTTAGCGTTTCTGCAAAGAATGTTCGTCTCGGAGATGATGCGATCCTTTTCTTGAGAATATCGCTTGTTAAAGCTCCCTTGAAATTCAAGTTCATGTAGAGTTTCTTTTTAAGCACAAGTGAAGTTTCATTTCTCCAAATTCTTGGTGTGATATTTTTACCAAAGAATCTTGGTGGGCATCTATTTTGGATGAAGATTTCTCGCAAGGATCTAATTCTGTTTCTGTTGTTTTATGAATGCAATTTTTTAGATGAATTCAAGACTACCCCAGGAAGTGACTGTCTGTCTGTTTCCAACATAGAACGTTGCACCGATGTGCAGCAGTTCAAGTCGCCACACTCCCTCCTTGTAGCACACAAAGCAAGAGAAGTAAGTGGAAGAAATGCATAATAGAGACAGTAGACAGGGATATGAGACAAAAGGAATAGTGATGACGAAGAACAATATAGTTTCATTGGAAATTATGTCACAAGGAGTGGATGCATCTGCGCTAGCCATTGAGAATGACTTTTAGCCATATCACCGATTGTTTCCAGCTACTCGTGTTTACCGTCCCGAGGACCCCAACCAGTCAGGAAGTCTACACCTTACTACGTGGTTGGCTGGCTTAAACTAACTGTTGTGGATTTATTCATTGACTGATGAAGCCATGTTTTGGTTTGACCACCACTAGCTCTTTTCCAGTCTGACCCTATGTCAGCTAACATTGACCGTCGAGGAAGGCGATGACTAAGCATACGTAACACATGTCCTAACCATCTCAATCGGTGTAACTTCAAAGCCTCGTCGATTCATTTCCCCTCCTTACCTAGCAGTCGACCGATGCCTAACCTCAATATTGCTCACCACATTATACCACTTGACACAGGAGATAGAACTCAGACACCTATGATCAAAGACAGCTAGCCAGGCTTTTCATGTATTCCACTCTCAATGGCCAGGCCTCACAGCCATAAAGGAGGATGGAGCGGACTGATAAGCAGTACACACGCCCTTTGGTCGATAGCCGGATATCATATCTACGCCAGAGACGGTGTAAACTGGTATATGCGCAACTAGCCTCTGTATCCGTGAAATGACTGCTTAACCACCTTCAACTGTTTATCACAATAAGCCGTGTTTTCATATGGTTGAAATATAACACTGCACTATGAGTTTTGCTTGCGAAAGTTTGGTTAGCTATACACAGAAAGAACGCAGTGATTGATTGGTTTCCTGCATTCCAATGAAAATACTTCGATCTTAGTCATTATGTTATTACAATATATTCAACTTCTTTAAGTAGTAATAGACCCTAGTAGGAAATCGGTGAACAACCTATTGCGCAACAAATATACTGAATGAACTGCAGGTGGATTGGACATACGCTAAGGAGATATTCAAGTGACATTAGACTCTTCACTGGAACTTGAAGAAAAAGTGCCTAGTTGGACGTTAGAGATTGAAGTCTGTGAGAAGCCGTGGAGCCGACTGAAGACAATAGCAGAGAACTGTGTGCAATAGACATGTGCTACTGAAATCCATTGTTCCCCTCAGAACACAAGAAACAAATAATAATAATAAAAGTAAGGTTTAACTATTTAATATATCAACTAGTAATATATCTTATCTAATTCAATTTTAGATTTTCCCATCGACTGATTTGACCGAAGTGCTCGGTCTCAGGTTGACATGTCGGCTACTTGTGCAGATGCTACGACGATGTTTGGGCATGTAATTAGAAGTTAATTGGTGGATAGCTCTCATGGCCCAAGCGGTCTAGTGGATAACGCTTTGGCGTTTGAAACAATGGGCACTAGGTTCGAGCCTCGGTGGGAACATCATCACTGACTGCAGAATGCAGGTACATCCAGATGACGAGTCCGAAATACGAAGAAATCCGCATCCTGGATTCCACTGCTAGTCACCATCCACCAATTAACTTCTAATACATCTTATCACTTAAATAAACTATTAGGAATTCATATACTAATTAGGGAACTATTAACAACAATAGCCGTTTCGAACTACTTCAGGACTCTTCATCAGTAGTTGAAGGGTAAATGTGACTCACAGAATTATTCCATTGGGATTTCAATCAATGGTTCTTGGGTTCAAGACATATAACAACTAAGTAATATTGTCACAGGTCACACATACACAATATATATAGAGAGAGAGAGCTTACATCACAGGGTTTGTGCCAGTGACCCATTGAATCCAAAAGTATTGGAAATTGTTTCACATAGGCCACCAAAGGACTTTCGGCCAACTCTTCAAATCCCCGTCTTCCAGACGATTTATTGACATTTCTAGTAAGCCATTTATCCTTTTCAGTATACCAATATTCTTCATGTATACAGTAATCTAATGCAGCATACCAATTGGCTAATCTCTTACCGAATTCATGAATTTCTTTATGGTTTCCATTCGCCTTGTTATACGCTGGTAGATTGGGTCGTAAAGAAAGGACTTCGTCAATTGATGAAGTTGTTGGTAACTATAATAGAAAAAAGTGAACTGATAACTTAACAATATATAATAATATACATAAAATAAGACATTGAGAATCCAGTCAGTATGCACCCATCTTCGTAGTGTGATTTCATATACTATTAGTCTCTCATGAAATTGCTGTCGGGAAACTGTCCAGACACGCAAACCTACGTAGGCGACCAGTCTTAAAGGACAACTCCTCAAGCGATTGACTTGAAGTCTGATCCACAAGATAGTGGAGAACCGGCGCCAGGAGCTACGTTCCCATGGTTTCCGGTGGCCACAACAGCCTCATACACTATTCGACCCTTTTAGATTCTGAAGCTAATGTGTACACTACAGGCTTGGAAACAGGGTTTTCTAGCTCCCTTAAGTTGTAGGCTCCAGAGGTTCATACTCACCCCTTCAATTGTGTGAGGAACAACCTGCCCTCATCCCACTTCATGAAGGTACTGAATAACACTTGTCTGGCAGAGGCTATGAACGCGTGGCCACAAGAGAGAGCATTTCAAGACGGAAACTGAAGTCTGCCTACTCCCTCAACCGTACCAGGTCGTCTATGAAATTCGTCAGTAAAGTGAAAAGTAGAATAGTCTTGCAGACTTAAAATGCAGTTACTTAAGACAGTAGTCAAAAACTATAAAATCAAGTTGCTTAGATGATCACCTATACTGGAAACTTTCTCCAAAGACTTCAATGAGTAGTATCAAGCTCTTGACAGCTACGTCAACAAACATCCAGTTGAAGTAATACAAAGGTACGATTTAGAAAAGTAGACTGTGAGATCAGTATTAGGGAAAACGTTTATGTTTTTATACTTCTGTACTTCGGAGTTGTTGTAGCTAGCAGGTTGATTTTCCAGGGTGAAGTAGCTAGCCTAGCACATCAATCCTTCTTCGTGTTTAGGATCGGTTAGTAAACTAGATGAGGAAGAAATAGAATGGAAATACACTGGGAGGACTGTTGAGTAATATCACAACCCAGGTACTCAACTGAGCGTCCAAGGATGACATGGAGGAGACCATGTGAGTAGGATAATGAAACCTTATGGATAACCGAGTGCGTCGGTGGCATAGCGGTTAGGACGCTCGCCGACTATGCACATGGTCCGGGGTTCGATCCCCGGCTGACGCACTCCTTCACCTATCTAAGCCAAAAATAATGCTGGTGAAGAGGGAAGGTTGGGCATGAGGCTAGCAACCCCATCCTGTAAAATAAACACTGCTACAGAGACTTCAAGCAACTAGCTTGAAGCCCTATGTTCCACTGGGGAATGTGAAGGAAAAAAAATGGATAACCGTGGAGTCAGCTAAAAGTGACCCCAGAGAAAACAGTGAAACGATAACATGCTGGTGAAGCACCCTATATTCAACTTGGAATCCAGGGAGTGATGGTGGTCTTCTCACTAATGTTTAAACCCACCATTTATCGTTTCAAAAGCCATAGTCTTATCCATTAGGTGACTGAGCGTTGGTGGCCACCTCTCATGTTCAACAGATATTCAAAATAATCTCAAAAAAGAATAGGTGACAGTACTTTCACAACATCATATGTAATTCAGAAAAATCAGTAGTAGAATGCCTATAAGCCTGCTGGTCGACACACATCCAAACCTTGCTTAAGCGTTATTAAACCTAGAAAAGGGGGAAGGTTGGACGCGTCAGGCTTGAAAATACATCGTGCCTAAATCAGACAACACCGCTGCTGAAACATCAAATCTTGGTCACAAAGAAACGAAAAAAATATGCTCAAGGTAGCGGAAATCAACTTACACCGATTAGATATATTACACAGTGAAACACTATTATTTAGAGGATGAAGTTCCGAACACAGTTTGCTATTCATAATCATATTATCAATTATAACACTACACAAACCTCGAAACTGTCGTTTTCAACTCGAAGGTAGAGGCAATTCAATTCACTTATCATTCGGAAAGTCAAGATGAGGAGCTTCCAATGTTAGATTGTTGCACAAAAAGGAATGAAGGTAGGAAGTTAAACACTAGTGCTTACAGAAAACCCACACATTCAAACCGATATTTGGATTTCCGATCATCCCACGCTATCTCAGTAAAAGTAGGATTGGTGAAATGTTTAAGTGATAGGGCACAAACACTAAGTAGAACCAAGGAGAATCTAAGGCAGGTAGTGAGGCATATAAGAGAATCTCTAAAACTCAATAATTACCCTGATAAATTAATCAACAAGTATGTAGGAAAATGTTGACAGAAGATTAATACTAATGACAGTGATAGTGATATAATAATAATTATATTAATGACGATATGCATGTCAAACATGAACAAGATCATGACAACACCAGTTATAGAGAATACAAAGGAGGAACCTCAGAAACCACCTTACGGAGAATTCTTAACAATGCTGGCAGGAATAAAAGTGGCTGGTATTCAAACCCACAAACTCAATCAGAAACAAGCTTTGTCGGTTGAAGGATAAATCCTGTGGAGCCAATTAAACAAAACAATTTAGTTCATCTAATACCCTGCCGGTGTGATTGTCAGGCGAAATACATAGGTCGAAGTAGTAGAACAGTGTCAGTCAGACTAGAAGAGCACAAAAACCTATCAAAATCTAGATTAGTTGACTCGGATGCGATAAGAAGTCTGGAGAATAGTTCAGCTATAGCATTACATGCAACTACACACAATCATACAATAGGATGGGATGAGAAGACAGTTTTAAAATCCAATGTAATAGCAGGGTGGAGGAAGAGGTTGATAATGGAAGCTTTATTGATCGAATCAACTGAGAATACTTGAAAATAGGAAGGATCAAGCACCTGCCACTGATAGCTGAATAACTCTATTACCTCTACATCGAATTAGAAGGAATAAAGAGACCTATAAAACGGAAGTTTTGAAGTTGTGTGACTACAATATGATTACAATAATATGATTATGAGCAATAAATTGTGTTCAAAACTTGATCATCCAGTAAATAATACTGTTTCACTGTATGATATATGTAAAAAAGAAATTAATATGGAATAACATACTATGATAATGCCCAAGTTTTACACATATATCAACTTACACCAAGTTGGTCAATAAAAATATGACGAGATGTTTCATCATAACACTGTGATAGACTAAAAATACGTGGATGTTGCACAGTTTTAACATTTAGACGTGATTCTCCCGTAGGCGGTGTAGAATATGAAAGTAAACAGTGTTGATGATTGAATTCATCTTCCTCCTCACAATCAACTTCTCCGTCGGCTTCATCATTATCGCCTGCTTCTTCTTCTCCTTTTTCTTTTCCTTCTTCGTTTGCATTCAACACAGCAGGAAACAGTGACACTGCATCAATACGCTGCCAACAAACTGAATCAATATCGACTAAGTGATAGGTAGGTGTAAGCCTTCTCTGTTCTACATGAGTATGCGTACGCTTTTTCTGTGAAGATGACTTGTTTGATGACTCCTTTTCAACAACACTATTACAACAAATAGGGCAATCGTTACTGATTTCATTGGATTCATCATTAAACTGACTATAGTCCACGATAGTTGTTTTACGTTGACGTTTACATGTTGATTTCGTTGAACTAGCTACTACTAGTGTTGGTGTTCTTGGACATTGAATTAGGATACATGGGTAAGCAGGATTAGCGAATATCGATTGAAGCCATTGATTTAAAGATTTTTCAAGGTTTGAATCAACAGCACTCAGAGAATGATATTGTTCACGTAGATAATATTGTATAGCAATACGATAAATCTCCAGCATAATATCTGGTGTTAAACAAGCAGGACAAGCTGAATTCGCCTTTTTAGCTCTATCACCCAAACGTTTCATTAACTTCTGTTAAGTTTTAAAAAGAAAAGTAAAGTAGAGCGAAAATTATATATATATATATATATATATACGTATTAGAGCGTCAGTGGCACAGCAGTTAGGACGCTCGCCGACCATGCACATGGTCCGGGGTTCGATCCCCGGTCGACGCACTCCTTTACCTCGCTAAGCCAGTAATAAGACTGGTAAAGAGGGAAGGTTGGGCATGAAGCTAGCAACCCCATCCCGTAAAAATAAACATCACTGCTACCGAAACCTCAAGCCTCTAGCTTGAAGCCCTATGTTCCACTGGGAACGTGTAGGAATACAAAAAAATACATATTAGAAACTGTTACAATTCAAGTAAGTCGAATTAGGTGGAGTGAGATTCGAACCCGGAACCAACAACCACCTTAAATTTGGGTGCTTAATTAAGCCAACGAACTACATCACCACCTGGAAAAAAGTGGAAGTCTACTAATCACCCTTCTTGATCATAGATGTCTACGATCTCTTTCTCACGTTAGGTGGTATAATAAGGTAAGTAATGTTGACATTAGGCGTAGAGTGTTGGGCAAAGAGGGAAAATCAATCGAAGAGGCTATAAAGTTACATAGATTGAGATGGCTAGGTCACGTGCCTAACCATCGCCTCCCCCGACGGGCATTACTAGCTGATATAGGTGCAGGTTGGAAAAGAGTAAGTGGTGGCCAAACAAAAACATGGCATCAATCCATGAAATCCTTGACAGTTAAACTGAGTCAGGTAGGGAGATGCAGACTTCCGGGTTGGGGCCCGTCCTCGGGACTCTAAGAATCAATGGCTGGAGACAATAGGCGACATGGCTCAAAATCGTTGTCAATGGCTTACGCAGATGTATTCAGTCTCTGTAATCTTTCATATTCCTTTCTACCATTACTCGTGCGTCGGTGGCACAGTGGTTAGGACTCTCGCCGACCATGCACATGGTCAGGGGTTCGATCCCCTGCCGGCGCACACCCGATATCTATGGTCGGCCTGAATTTGGGCTACCGATATCCATGCTGAAAATTCCACACTTGTACTGAAAATACGTGTAATCAAGCTGTAATCAAATATTCTGTTTCACTCTTATACTTGTCAAAACTCTATTGATTCCCTTCACTCATCTTCTTGTCTACCTTTGTGTGCTATTTGGAACGTGGCAACTCGAACTGGTGCACTTCGGTGCCAAGTTCTATGTTGAATCCAGACAGACAGACAGAGAGAGACTAATCACCCCGTAATAACACGTTGTATCTTACAATGTATTAAGTCATAATTGATAGAAAAATATCAATTCAAAGATTACCATTAACATACGACTGCATTACAAGTTGATTTCCTGTTTCATTCATTATTATTATGGTGTACAAAAAAGAAACATGCGTCAGTGGTTCAATGGTAGATGAAGGTCAACCGCGCACACGTGGTCATAGGTTCGAATCCCAGTCGACACACTTCTTAACTTCACTGATTAGATAAGTTTATTTAATATAACACTCTTTCTATTTTGCTCTCAGAGATACGCTTTGTTGGCTTAGGGACCCGATATATTATTATATTATATAAATTTTATTCCTTTACGTTCCCAGTGGAACATAGGGCTACTTCAAGCTAGAGGCTTGAAGTTTCGGTAGTAGTGGTGTTTACTTTTACGGAATGGGGTTGCTGACCTCATGCCCAACCTTCCCGCTTTACCAGTCTTATTACTAACTTAATGAGGTAAAGGGAATGAGTTGACCGGGAATCGAACCCCAAACCACCTGTGGTGTGGTTGGCAAGCATCCTACCTCTATGCCACCGACACACTAAGTAGTATCTGGTAGGCTCAGTTAAGAAAAATAATATAATTAACTAAATATTATGTAGTCCCTATGAGGCCAATTACACAGATCAAACTAGTAGATCTAGGTCTATTAGATTATCGGACATAGAGAAAAGCTCGGCCACTGAAATGTATTCACTTGCATGTATTCACACAATAGGGTGTTACAAAGTAAAACTATTAAAAAGTAAGATAATTAGGTGGAGATAGAAAGGTTAATCACTGAAGCTTTGTGCATCGAATCTACGTGAAACATGCTCAATCGAAAGGATGCAACGCCTATACCGGTTATATAGAAAATTGCATTAAAACAACAAGGGGGAGAATATATATATATACATAAATATAACGCAAATTATAAAGCCATGTGAATAAATGGATATAATTATGAGCAAAAGATTGTGTTCGAAACGTCACCTAGTTATTGATACTGTATCACTGTGTGTTGCATTAAATATTCTAAGTGAATTTGGAACTATACTCTAACACATTATCCAGATTCTACTCTTACATTGATAAGCCTCACTTAGCTGGTAGGAAACCCACTAAAGATCGTAGCTTGCGGCAATATCATTCATTTGCAACGCAAAAGAATGACAAAAAGAAGAAAAGAAGAAAGCGATTGCCTCTAACTATCTAATATCATCGAATCAATGTGCACAGTGATGGCGAGCTACCTAGAATGGTGGCCACATTGTAAAACCTGACTGATAGAATTCAGTCTGCACCAAAGAAAGGACTAGACACGTCACACTAGTTACTAGCGTCCAATCCAAATTCATAAACTGCTTTATGTTAGGTAATAACCCAATACTAGCCAAGATTTCTACATCCGTACCCCCATCCTTCTTGGCATCTATCAATTATATTTCACAAGTGATGAAGGGTTTTAACAGTTGAAAGAACGCAAATCAAATTCCCAGCTAACAAATTGAAGTGTGCGACAACCATCCCGGTGTTAAGATCTCACTTCGATATATGGCTGGCTAGCAAGCACTACTGACTCGTTGGTGTGAGTGGTGTACAACTACCACATCCCAGCCAATCAGTAGTATATACTTTCACTGAGTAAACAAATATCGCCAATTAATGCCGGCAAGCATGAATTCTACCTTCTCAGCTCCCCCCCTGTTAACTGAAGCCATTTGAAAAATCAATTGCATAGCCGAAACAAGTTAATACAGTACACTGAGTCGACTATGAGGACAGATGCCATCAATTGACGGTAATGTGATATGTAGCGAATCAACAGAAGTTAAAATTCATATATTATCGGATTCCACCTCAGTAGATGAATGGTCAATAGCCTTATCGCCTAACCTTAAGATCATGGCTTTGATCCTAAGTTAAAACATATATGAGTACTGTTGAAGAGTCCCAAACTAGGACGAAACAACTATCCATTACGCCCAGGCAGGCTTTAGGACAGGAAGAGGGTGTATTGATCATATCTTCACCCTTCGACAGATTCTAGAACATAGGCATTCCTACCGGCGTCCAACAATCATTATATTTCTTGACCTAAAGGCGGCATTCGATTCTGCCGACCGAGAGGTTCTCTGGCGATGCTTGGCTGTAAAGGGAACGCCGAGAAAATACATTGCACTGATTAAGGCACTCTACTCGTACTCATGCAGCCAGGTGAAGGCTTACGGCGAGTTGTCATCCGAAGTGGTGACGACTAGTGGCGTCCGTCAAGGATGCCCATTATCCCCATTCCTATTCAACTTCATCATAGACGTATTAATGGACTTAACTCTAACACACTTCAGCGACTCAGGGATTGACTTGCTACCAGGGAATAATCTCGTTGACTTAGAATATGCGGACGATATAGTCCTTCTAGGCGAGGACTCTGACAAAATGCAGAGTCTACTGAACACCTTGAGCAACAATCTTCGTATGTTTGGCATGCGATTCGCCCCTGTAAAATGTAAGATGATGCTGCAGGATTGGACTTCACCGACCCTTAGATTAGAAATAGGAAGTGAAGTGGTAGAGCACGTTGACCACTTCACTTACTTGGGAAGTACCATCAGCCCCAACGGGTTGATCTCAGACGAAATATCAGCACGAATACAGAGGGCTAGGTTCGCATACGCCAGTTTATGCCGTCTCTGGCGTAGACGCGATATCCGACTACCGACCAAAGGGCGTGTGTACTGCTCAACAGTTCGCTCCATCCTCCTTTATAGCTGTGAGACCTGGCTATTGAGAGCAGAAGACATGAAAAGATTAGCTGTCTTCGATCATAGGTGTCTGCGTTCTATCTCCCGCGTGAAGTGGTATAATAAGGTGAGCAATATTGAGGTTAGGCGTCGAGTGCTAGGTAAGGCGGGGAAATCAATCAACGAAACGGTGAAATTACTTCGACTGAGATGGTTAGGACATGTGCTACGTATGCCTAGTCATCGCCTTCCTCGACAGGCAATGTTAGCTGATATAGGGCCAGGCTGGAAAAGAGCTAGTGGTGGTCAAACGAAAACATGGCACCAGTCAATGAAATCCACAACAGTCAGTCTAAGCCACGTAGGAAGGTGCAGACTTCCTGGTTGGGGTCCTCGGGACGGTAAAAACCAATGGTTGGAAACAATTGGTGACATGGCTCAAAATCGTTCTCAGTGGCGCAGATGCATCCACTCCTTGTGACTTATGATTTCCAATCAAACTGTTTTGTTCTTCGTTATTACTATACCTTTGTCTCACACCTCTGTTTACTGTCTCTAATATGCATTTCTTCTCTTGCTTTGTGTGCTACATGGAGTGTGGCGACTTGAACTACCGCACATCGGTGCAAAAAGTTCTATGTCGAAAACAGACAGACAGACAGACATGTGGTTTTCAATGGTTCTCTAATTAATTGCATACCACTACACACTATAAACATGTCAATAGCATTAACCAGTAGTGCTTTCTAGCCAGATTGAAGTGATCTAAAAGCCGGAAGGTCGTTTAACTCGTTTGGAGGGGCGGGGGGGGGGGGTTGAGCTTATCACGATATCACAAGTTCACCCAAGTAGCTAACCAGAATTCTGGTGGTTTGAGCTGAGTCGAACCAAATACACCACTGATGAGGTCAGTGTCAAACGAGTAAGACAGTTATTCAGTGTGTTTACATCACTTTGATTTAATTGGGTGAATGACAAGCACCACTACTACTCGCTGATTTGAGTAGTATACAACTACTCATCTTAATCCATCAGTAGTATATAGTGTGATGAATTTACGCTTGGCATTTTTTTAATTACTACTTACGGTATCAAACAGATGAATCATTGTCAATGAACTGAATAATTCTAGACCACAAAAGCCGCCCATGCTTAGCGTCCCGAAAAAACTACTCTACATGAACCTTCAATTCAATGGAGATATATCTGCGGAAACACTAAAAAATCGACTGTCGCGCTCACTTAAAAAGACCTTCTTCGCAGCTGAACCACGACTAACCTTCTCCACAAAACCTATGATTCATGTGAACGTGAAGGATAAGCTACCACTGCTGGCCTCATCAATGTGTATTTATCAATTCACCTGCTCGTGTAGAGCCAGGTATGTCGGCCGTACCCAGCGCTCGCTTTCCAAACGTATCACCGAACACTTACCAACATGGTTTTACAAAGGAGAAAATCGATGCCCCCGCAGCTCCATCTTAGAACATCTGATAGAATCCGGACACCGCAAACAAACTTCAAAGTCGTCTACAGAGTAAGAAGTAGTCTTCCTAAAGGTGTACGAATCACACTTCTTCAAACTGCAGAAGCAATGGCGATTCACTTGCTAAGTCCTGAACTCTGCATACAGAAGAAGTTCGTTCAATCACTACACTTGCGATGGACGTAATCTATCTTATTACCCGACAAGTAAATTCTACCTAATCTTTTTTTTCTGTCTCTTCATTAGTATTATTTTGCTTTTTCAATTATAATATTTTACATTTTAAACTTCCTTGTTCTATATCCCTACCCGATTTAATTTTTACACCTCACTACCACTGTTACTGACTTGACCAATGCTCAATTTCTAGTCATTTATGTTACGTCATCCAACTTATTTGCTCAATTTCAGTTCTAATTTAAATGGCATTATTCTCTACCCCACTTCTACTTAGTCTCTACATGTAATTACCTCTATTGCTACCCTGACCTAAGTTGAAACATTTTAGTCAATTATATTGCGTCATCTAACTTACTAACTCAATCTTGCTTTAGTTGCTGTCTAATTAACCTTGTTTCTATATGAGATCATTCTTGTATTACCTGATCAATTATCTAAACTTGACAAACCCCATGTACACACACACACAAATAATTATATATAAATGCGATTGTACAGCTATGTGAATGAATTCGCCGTCGAGAAGAGTCTCTTCGTTGAGCGTCTTCTCTTTTTCAAATCACGGTTTCGTAGTGGAAAAAAAATTGAATTCAAGAAAAAGTACACAAAAAAGGCAACAACACTCACTTGAATTGTAGAACATCCTAAATTATTTGTTAAACCAATTGATTTCATAAAATGAAAATTTAAAGATTTTTTTACGATATGCGAACCAATGGACCAGATGTAAGAATTTTGTTTAAATAATTTAGCCAATTGTTTATTTTGCAATTCTAATTGATAAAATGCTGACGGGGAATAAACTCTTTGTGAATCTGTTGGAGGCTTGAGAAGTTGATAAGGCGAAGAGGTGAATTGGACAGTGTGTCCTTGTTCAACTGGCAACCATACAGTTTGTCTTAATTTATGAAACCATGATGAATAGGTTAAGTGATAAGTGGTATTCGAACTGATGATGGTAGTATGAGGTAAATGTGAAGATGAATACACCATTTGATGTGGATATGCAGGCATATTACTAGCATTGAATCTTGCATCTACGCATTTGTACGAAGCAAACGAATACCTGTTTGAAACAAATCGTTAAAAGATATAAAATAAGAACTTTTTTAAACAAACTATCAAAAGTAGACAAAATAATTTTGATTGGTTGGACGATTTCATCATGAGATGATTTCGGTTACAGGACTATTGGAAAACCTGCACGGAGTACTGCCAGACAGCTGTCTCATCCTATTTTGGGGCTCTTTAGCAGTACTTACCCAACGCCAGGGTTGAAACGCAGGACCTTCTGGTTACAAGACTGTCGAGCTCGTAGACCATTAGTCCACTGTGACTCGATCCAATATCCAGCCCATTAATGTAAACTTCTGCCAATTCACGACATAGAGCCACCACTTCGCAGTGTCCTCTTCGATGAGTTACTGCATCATCTTCAACCTGCTGTACTCTACTGGTCACGGATTCCAACTAGAACCCCAAGTAACTGCCTGAATACAGCCAGTCACTAGTGGGCATCAGATTAATTTTCAAGTATTGGTTTTGTAGGTAATTTTGTTTGATTAGTTGAAGGATTTCATGTTGAATGTGGGGCAGTAACTCATCGAAAAAGACACTGTGAAGTGGATGCGTTATGTCATGAATCGGTAGAAGTTAGAATTCATGGACTGGCTATTGGATCGGGTTCTAGTGGCTTAATGGTCTACGAGCTAGCTAGAATAAAGCTGCGAATAGATTTTGTTTGTCCTTTACTTAACCACGCAGTGTGATGTTCGAAAATTCGACGAGAAACACGCCTAATTGTACGGCCTATGTAACTGGCTCCACAGGAGCAGTTAATTTGGTAGATACACATGGAAGAGGCGAAATTAGGCAGTTTGTCTTTTACTCCCGAACGCAAAAGAGGAGTGGTTTTGAAGACACAGCGTAATTCAGCAGAAGGGAATGCTCTTTTTACCTCATTCCTAAGGCGCTGTGTTAGTATCTCGCTGATGTTGTCCCCAAGCAACTGCATTTGTAAGAATAAGACCTTTTTAGAACTGTTGGTAACTTGGGCTGCTTTGGTTTTAGATTCATATTCTTATCAATAAACTTTTCTGGATAACCATTTACACTTGGCACTGCGCTGACTTCTTCATAGACACAATGGAAAGTAACTTACGGTTCAACGAAGACACTAACTGTTTCAAACTTGATGGATAGAATTCAGACTGTACTGAACAGTATTCAATCTCTCTCCATCTACTTATACTACTTTTTAGAATTCTGACTCTACCCCACCCTATTGTGGTTGTATGTTAATCTATGCAGTGCGATTGCTGAGTTTTCCTCTAAATTACATATCTTTGTGGGATCAATCATTCTAACCTTAGCTGAATTCTTATGTTCTGATAATCTCACTACTCCTGATCTACTAGTTTGACCTATGTAGTTGACCTCACAGTCATTGCAAGGTATTTTGTAAATTATATTATTTTGTTTAATTGGATCAGTAGGGTCCTTTAGCCTACAGAGCTTGTCCTATCTGAGTGAGTTTGTAGGTTTAAATACCACTCATATTCCTGATTTACTAAGAATCCTACGTAGAGAAGGTCTCAGATGTTGCCTCCTTATAGGGTAAAACTACTGTAGATGCCTTATATTCTTTCTTATTTAGGTCATCATTATTAGCTTCTGAATGTACTTTATCTTCCATTCTGTTTCACGCAAATCTTACATTGATTTTATTCAAATGTCTGATCAATTTTTACTCATGTATCTAAGTGAAGCAAGCAAGTTGTGTGAGTGCCTCGATATGATTATGAGCAGTGTATAAATTGTGCCCGAAACGTAGTCATCAGTAAACATTTAATGTACAACACTGTGTGGTTTTATCAAAATAAAAATTTCATCCATAATGGAACTAACTGTTTCAAACTTCTGATTCCATATTAGATAAGTTTATTTTAGATATCACGCAGTGATGCTATATTAACAACTGGATGACATTTCGAGGATGAATTATTGCCATTCATAATAATATCAATTTTAGTCACACCATTTCACAATTTGTCTTACACACACCCCGCAAACTGTGTGCAAATTTCAAAATAAAATATAAACGAATGGGACGGCAATGGGACCACCAATATCCCCAATAGTGGCAGATATATTTATGGATAGCTGGAAACATTAAGCCCTTGGAACGTTTAATCCTGCTCCTAGGTTATTCCGGAGATATGTGGGTGACACATCAACTGTGTTTAAATCCGAACATATCCCTCAATTTTTCACACATAAACTCAGTATTATACGGAATCCAATTCACTTCTGAGTTAGAGAGTGGACAAGGTGAGTTGGAGATGCTAGACTGTAAAATAAAACGAAAACAAGATGCCGGGTGGTTAGATATTAGCATTTATAGGAAACCGATACACTCTAATAAATACTTAGACTGCAATTCATCCCATCCAGAATCCGTAAAGGAAGATAGGTTTAGTTAAATATCTATATAATCGGACCAGTAGCCTAACTAGTAACTGAGAAGATTTAAGAAACGAAATCAAACAAATAAAGGAAATACCACTAGTGAATAACTATCCACCAGAATTTATACAGAAATATACGAAAAACCATAGAAAAACTAATATTAGAAATAAAAATGACGAAAATAATATAGAATTCAAAGCCTCTTTAGTACTGCTGTATAAAGAAGGAAAAATAGAGGCCTTACGCTGGATTCTCAATACGGCTGAAATTAGGGTGGCATTTAAACCAACTAAACAATTCTCTCGGAGATAAACTTTGTCAGCTTAAGGATCTAATAGATCCATTTGAGAAGAATAATATAATTTACCAAATACCATGTGATGACTTCGAGTCAGGTTATTTACGTAGATCAAACTGGTAGATCGGGGTCAACTATATTATTGGAGCATAAAAATTTAGCTAGACCTAGAATAATTGACGCTGATAGATTAAATAACCTAGAAAAAAGCTCAGCCATTGCACTGCATGTAATCACACAGCGATAGGGTGGGACAAGGTAGAAGTATTAAAAAGTAATATAGTCAGGTGGAGAAAGAGGTTAATCACTGGGTCTTTGTTTATCGATTCAACACCTCACACGTGTAATTGGAACGACGCAACGCCTATACCAGAGATATGGAAAGTGGCAACAAACAACAAAGGGAAGTTGGAGAGACAGAAAAAGAAAAAATATATATATATATATGAGACAAAATGTGAAAACGTGTGACTTGAATTGATATGATTATGAGTGGCTATAATTCATGCCCAAAACCTTGTCAGCCAGTTGTGTTAATACTGCACCGCTATGTGATATTTAAAATAAACTTATCTACCACAGTGCCCAATTAATTGATAGAATTCAGACTGCACCGAACAGCAAGGACTAGGGCCATGACACTAGTTCCGTACTAACTAGTGTTTACTTAAAGTACATTAGCTGTTTGTTGAATACGTGCATATATCGAAGAAGTCAAAGGTAAACACACCGACACACACACACATAGAATGTTACAAACACAAATAACAACTTCAAAACACATCGAAACAGATGACCCAAGCTTTCTTTCTTACCACCATTACCTCATATAATAGGAAAACATGAATAAAGGCGACTTACGCTTCATATGTCAACCAATCATTATGCAGTATAGAGGCCAAGTATTGAGCAGCTTGTCTAGAGCATTGTTTATCTGATACACTAGCAGTAGCAGAGAACATAGTAATAGAGATACACTTCAACAGCAGTTCTATACCAGGTGCAGTATAATCTTCAATTAACCACATGGAATTTTCCGAGTTATTATTATTATTAGGCGTTTCAAAGAATGTTAGTCCTTTTTCTGATAAAGATTTATGAATACAACGATACAATCGATGATTTGGCGGTAAGGGTGTGACATCTCCCGAGGACGATAAGTTGGAGGTATTTTCATCTGACGATGATGTTGACAATGATGGTATCTTCGACGATTGATAAAGGTATTTAACTTTATGTATCGAAAATAGTGTGGAAACACCTAAAATACAAAAGCATGTGTATGAAAAAGAATAATGACAATAATGCTTATTGTCATACACTTCAAAACTTAGTGTTTAGAAGTAGTAAGATCAATTGTATTCCAAGTGGAATTTATGGGTTTCATCCTTTAACTTTTGAGCTTTCAATAACTCTTAGGTATTTTTTTACGTACACACACCAAAACCTGCCTCTTTTCCTAGCTTACTTACTACAGGATAGGCAAAGTTTAGAAGTACGCCGGCAAGGAAAAAAGCATGGATCAAGTATGTGGCTGGAAAGCTTTCCACCCGTGAACCGCCAATACACATATGCTTATTGAAGATGAATAAGGAGGCCGTGAAATGGCCCTCTATGCTTTACAATGACGAGTAACTATGGTGATTTTTCTGGAGGAACCTGGAATTCAAATGATTAACTGTCAGTCACCATAATGCATATACAATATCTTATCAGCTTGATACAATAAAGGTTAATCGGGAAAACTGGTATAACTGCATGAGATTGTATACCATTAGTCGATAAAAGTAATTGGAACCACCATCAGCTGTTCAAACCACTTCGATGTGACCAGCATGCACTACCTCTTAACACAAAGTGATTTCTGCCTACTCTCATATCAATCAGTAGTATATACCAGAATGTTCATTTAATAAAAAACGACAATTTTACGGAAATGAACTATGTACTACGGATAATTATTTCTACTTACTACTTATAAGTAGTACAAAGTAGAACACAAAAAGTAGCAAAACCTAGATGAAATAGTTGGCTGGCTGGCTGGCTGGCTAGCTGGATTCAACATAGAACTTGGCACCGAAGTGCAGCAGTTCGAGTTGCCACTGCAATAGTTAGGCAAAGAACAAACGGAATTCGAAGTTCATCGATGGTATCGGTTAAGGGTAGTGCTGTATCACAAACTGATAGAATTTCAAATTCACCAGTCACTGGATTGCAGCCAAGTGGCTGGATCGTCAACAAGCTTGGCCTCGTGTAACCTGTAGGTCCCAGTCCAATCCCTGGAGTCGTCGTAAGTGCACACTAATGAAGAGTTTCAGGACAGGACGAAGAAGCTGTCCAGTACATCCTGGAGGTGATTGGTAGTTAATACCTTTTCATGTGAAGTATAGTGGTTTCAGTGTCTCCATGGAATCAATATCATTACTCACTAAAAATGTAGGTATATTTAGTTCATCAGTCTTAAATTATGAGCATCAACTGGATTCTACTGATAGCCACCACACACGCAAAAAGAACGGTTTCCATGCATTCAGGGACGTTATCATCATCTGTATCTAGAGGATTAGATGAGCAGAAAAAATCTCGTAGAGTTTATTCATGAGAACACTGTTCATATCAAATTCACAATTTACTATTTCTATACACTTCGAAGTGAAATTTCATCACAGTTTCCATCACAAAATATGTGATCTGCTTAATATCATGAATGGCAACCACCATTAACGCATTACAATACTGTTCAATGAACATGATTCAACTCTCTGACCTGATTCAAAGCAGTTAAACTGTTGGTGAGTTTGGTCCTCAAAACAGTGAAACGGCCGTCTAGTATGTTTATATCACTTCAATATGGCTGTCCGGTTGGCAACCACTATTGGTTGACGTGAGTCGGTGAGTGAGTGAGTAGTATCTAACTACTTATCTCAATCAATTAGTAGCTTATAGAGACAAACACAAAAAGGAAAACCTTACTAATGAAGAAAAGACGATAAACATACATACCGGCTTTAGAGAAAAGATTCAGCCATCGTTGATGTCGCCTTGGATCAGATGATGAATAGTTCTCAAAATATTTTGGTGATATGACATAAAAACAGAAACGAGTAGAGGAAGAGGTAGAGGAATCAGAGGATTTCCTCCTTTTACAGTTTAATAAGAAATTAAATAATTCAATTTCTAACTTCAAAGTTGTCTCCTTCCACGATGATGATGATGATGACGTCGATGAAGCTGACGGTGTTAAATTTGTCGTCAGTGTATCTGGCGGAAGAAATATTGCCTCTTTACGTATACCTCCATTTTCATTGCATAGTGCTGGCATTACAATAGCAGACTTTTCATTCAACAAATTCTCACTAATACCACTGCCACTACCACTCTTTATAGTGATTATAGGTAGCATAGTTGGAAATTCATCATCACATAATGCTGATATATTAAACGATGAATTATTGTTATCAATCTTTTCAACACAGGCATAGAATTGACCGACAGTGATTAACCAATTCATTAGCTGTGTAGAAGAGATCTCCTTCAACTGATTAATCACTTTTAAATATGGTAGAATCCATTCTTTGAAGACAACATGAGGATAAGCAATTTGTAGGTTACAACCATTTGGTGATTTATTGATTAGCAATGAAGAATACTCGACTTTCATTCTGTCTTGTTGAGGTTGCTGCTGATATTGTTCAAGATTACGGTGTACAGAATTTGGTTTTATCAACGGTCCAAGCTTTTCAATGAGTTCAGTATATTCGTCTAAAGGAAGACAGAAAAATAAATATGAAAGTAGAAATAAGTTGACTAACTACCAGAGACGAATTATCAACAATAATGTATAACCGTCTGATTGAAAAAGTATTGAGAAATTATATGAGCATGAAACATCATCTACCGGGTGGTACCAAATAAATTGCCAGAAACATTAAAGTACCGCAGAGGCTATCTCAATTCACCTGAAACAGCCGGCACTCTGTGTGCAAAAGAAGCAAGTCCAGCCAGTACTACTGCCCTGGCCAGCCTTCAGTGGAGACTATAAATTCATGAATTTGTATTATTATCTTTCCTAATTTTTCTGATATTCAGTGTATTGTTATGTTGATGCTGTTGAACTGTAATCCATTGATATTATTATTATTGATTCGATGTTATTTAAACAACATTAATGCTGTTAATAACACTAATTCATTCACTATTATGTGTATATAAATGTAGAACCTGATGAAGTTATCTCAGAGAATATTCTTTGTTCAGGAACCATTCTTTCAAAAATGAAGTGACAAAAGATTGAAAAACTGGCAGATAAAGTAATCTTCATAAACAATAAGATTGTCTGACGACATTGTTACAGATTGTTAAAGTACTACTATGAATATGATAAGCCACCGTAAGATTTCATCACTAAAAGCATTTCAAACAGACTACTGTAGACTTTTATCAATAGCTGCCACCTTTGATCGCTATACTGAAGATCAGATAGGAGGTAGGATTAGCAACAAGGAATTCTGAAGTGCAACGAACTAACCAAAAAACCTGCTGCCCAATGAATATGCGAAAGGAAATGGAGGTGGATTGGACATATGTTGACAAGACGGTTGAGACACCATGCGCCAGGTATACCCTCGAGGGAACAATGAGTTGTGCGTGTGTCCGAAGGTGACATACAGATCATGTGAGGAGGAATCAACTCCGAAGGAGTACAGAGAACATAGAGAAATGCTTTATGTTGCACTCGGAACCCAAGAGAATAATAATTATAATAATACTATTTCTATCAATCAGCCTAATCATATTGAACCAGAAGAGGACACAGGTACTGACTGATGGTAAAACTACCTGAGATGGCTTTCGACTGACAGATGACTACAGGTATAAAAGCTGATGAATCAAAGAGTTATAAAACTCTGTATGATAAACGGAGAGTTAGGTAACACTGATTCCCATTAACACTCGACAATAACCTTCAAAGTGCAGTGAAATGATGACACCTGGTTAGCAGTTGAATTTTGTAGCTCATCTGGTGATAGAGTACTAGGCTAGCTTGTAACTTGGAAGCCGTTAATTTGGTCAATCGCAAATTTGTGCGAACGTGACAATGTCTTCCAAGTCAATGCAGCAATATCAAATATAACACTTAAATATGTACTACAATTTGTAAACTTTCTTCAATCAATATTTATTTTTAATTTAATTTACATCCCCGGTTGACTGATTATGTTGAACCGACGCACTCGACCTCTGTTGAAGCGTAGGCTTCACGTAAAGTCGCTTCAGAGCTGTGTCAGGATTAACATGATGTAACTAGCAGTGGAATGTTAAAATGTGCATCAAAACAGAACGAAATGCGCATTGTGGATTCTGCTACTAGTCATCATCAACTAAAATAACTCCACGTTAACTCCTTAGACGTCGTCGAAGCGTCCTTACTAGGAGTCGACAGGTCTATAGAGACCGAGCATATCGATTCAACTGAATCAAAGGGGAATTCGAATCAATCTGAAAATAGATTATAGGTAGCCCTTATAGTCCTAGTGAATAATGGGACATTGGCATTTGAAACAATCGGTGCAGGGTTTGGAACTCAGTGGGAACACTATCACTACTCAAGCAGTACACCAGTTGACGAGCCCCAAGTAGGGTGAGATGTGTAGAGAAATGGGACAAAACAGATTCAAAAGGAAACATAATGAGCGGAAATGCAACATGGAAAACCATGAGGGTTAAGTGGATATTGCACTGTTGGGAACGATTTTGAGCCATATCACCAATAGTCTCAGAGACCATTGATTCTTAGTATCCCAAGGACTCTAACCAGTCAATCTGAACCTCCATACACTTCTACCTCAAACCAAGTGTCAAAGATTCTATGGACTGATTCCAGGTTTTTGATTTGACCACTTCCTCCTTAAGCCTCTTGCAACCTAATCCTATGTCGGCTAACACTGTTCGTAGAGGAACGCGGTGGCTCGTCATATGTATAAAATGTGTCTTAGTCATTTAGATCGATGTAGCTTCACAAATTCATCGATTAACTTCCTATGCTTATCTAAAACACCACGCCTAACCTCATTATTACTCACCGTTTTATACCAAATACCAAGGGAGAAATAGGAGATCTTATCATTACTACTCAAGAATCGAAATGACCATTAGCAACTTACTCTTGTCGAGGTAAGAAATCAGCACAGTTTCATTTAGAAGACAAAAAATATTCAGAACACAATATGTGCTCTCTCTGAACTAAGTCAAACCAGTTAAACCGTTACTGAGCTTCGCCGTAAACGAATAAGACAACCATCTGTTTGATTTGGCTAGCAAGCATTGCACTTTGATGTGAATAATCTCTAACTACTCATATTAACCAATCAGTAGTATATAGCATAGTATCACGCTGGTTCCGTATTCTTCTAATCCAGTCGTGATTAGCGTCTTTGCTTTATTTCAAAAATTGAAGGAAAATAAAAAAATTAAACTCACTATATGTAATGCCAATTAATGCAGAAGCTATTTCAGATGGATGAGGAGGCAATAGGATTGGAAGAGGCAGTTGATTATTAGCCCAATTGTGAGTTTGTCTATCGCACAAGCGTACACAATTTCCGTTAGTTAAAGGAAATATAGGCAAATGTTGAAGTGCTTTGACTAGATGACATTTAGACATTGTTATCGATGTGGAATTAAAGGGCTGTGAATTCCATACAGAAGAAGAGGCGGATGCATTTTGAGTGGATAAACACGTGTCGAAAGCTGACATCAATACTGCTAAGAAGCCCGGACGAACAATGTCATCTGAAATTAGGAAAAGTAAAACAGAAAAAAATCAGGTTATGATAGAACTTCACCATGGATACATGGTACTCAGAAGTCAATTATGCAACCAAAAGTGTCACAACCTTTCGAAAAATTAAATTGACTTCGATTTAGGTCTGATCAGCAACCAACCATTGGAAAGCTACGGACAGTACACAAGGTCGTTTCACTTTGATTTAGGCCTCTTCCTTCAATAATACACACACCTCTACTAATAGTGGTATCAAACTCGAGGTAAATAAGTACATTAATATTCAACTTGTGAGTCAGAATCCAATGATCTTTGGAAGATACTTTCATTCAATAATAATCACTTTCAATATGTCTGTGTCCACACAGATTGAAGACTAGCCAGTGACTAATGTAGTGTGTCTAGTTACTGACCAGTCTCCAATCTAAGTACCCAATACAGTCCTACAGGAAGTCAGTCGTGAGCCCGAACAGCTCAGTGGTAACGTCTCTGACTGCAGCACTGGGCGATGCGGCTTCGAATCTCAGAAGGGACATGAGTTCCTTCAAGGTTTCAGATACACCTTGCTGACTAGGGAGTGTCAACTAGCACGAAACTTAGGTTCAATGCTTCCTGCCAACCGCCTTCAACCATCTAATGTCTGACACAGCTTGTTGACAGCATTACTCCATAAAAATCGATCATCAAAAGTAATCACTAAATAAGCAAGCATTTAAATGACATTCATTTGCTAGTTACGTAAAGATTTAATTAATATCAAGGTAGACTTCGGCAATAAAAGCGGTGATCTACACTTTCTATGCTTTGAAGTAACTCTAGTGATTTGGTTGATTTTCCAGGATAGGGTTGCTAGTCTCACGCCCAATCTTCCCTGTTTTTCCGAGCATAGGACCGTCTAGTAAACTAGTGAATTGAAGATCAAACGGCTAGAAGGGATTAGCTAGTAGGAACTCTGCAGTGAAACGAACCAACCAAGAACCTATAGCCCAACATATATACCGAAGAAAGTAGAGATGGATAGAACATGAGTGTCCCCACACGAGAGGTAGACCCTCAAGTGGAACGACGAGGTTAACATGGAACAGATCGTTTCAGGGAAGGGGAGGAATGAAAGCTTATGAGTTATTGTGAAGCCAGCTAAACAGGACTGCACAGAACAAAATGAAAGAGAAGTGTGCATTTGAAACCGTATTTTCCCTCAGGAACCCGAGGGGATAATAATAATAATACACTGACTGTAAGGCAATTCAAGAAACGCAGTACTTATCTCAATGTATTCGTTGATAGAAAGAACTCAATCCATGCTTATTCAAGCAGCATTTAATAGATGACTCTGAATACAGTTAGATTACTCATCCAGCACAATTGTTACTTGTTTCTTTTCCTTTTCTCTCTCTCTTTTTCCGTTATGTGCTACTTTGTTTTTTCTCTCGCTTACGCCAGTAAATATGACAGCACCTACTTTTCTAACACCTTCAAACACTGTTCAGCTTTACCTTTGCTACCGACATGCCAATATGTTGTTGTCATAATGAAGTGAGATTTCCTTCATCTATGTAAAATTCTATTTATTGATAATGTACTAACTGGATGCAATACTGTAGTAAAAATGCTGAGAATTCAATTCTGTATCACAAGTACTGTTTCGGAATAAAGCAAATTATTATTATTAAAAACTCTTGAAGTCCTAGTGATAAACCAAATAATAATAATAACGGGAAGGATCTATCGATTTCTGCAGGTCAAAGCTACAGTACACGTTCTAAAGAGGCTGCAAGACGAAATGAAATAAACTAACTCAATCGACTCCGGAAATAGATGCTTAACATCATCTATCGCAAAGCACATCATACATACTAGTCATACCGTTGACATCAACAGCGTTCTTAGACCAACATATAAAACATAAATTGGTTGAAGCCTTAGCTACAAAACGGCTTCAACGTGTTTTAGGCGTTCAAAAACTATTCCCTATCACATGTAACCTACTTTATTGATCCAGTTTTAAAATGTATTTTTTGAATTACACAACTTCAAAACTTCCGTTTTATAGGTCTCTTTATTCCTTCTAATTCGATGTAAGGGTAATAGAGTTTTTCAGATGTCAGTGACAGGTGCTTGATCCTTCCTATTTTCAAGTATTCTCAGTTGATTCGATCAATAAAGCTTCCATTATCAACCTCTCCCTCCACCCTGCTATTACATTAGATTTTAAAACTGTCATCTTATCCCATCCTATTGTATGCTTGTGTGTAGTTGCATGTAATGCTATAGCTGAACTATTCTCCAGACTTCTTATCGCATTCGAGTCAACTAATCTAGATTTTGATAGGTTTTTGTGCTCCACTAGTCTGACTGACCCTGTTCTACTACTTCGACCTATGTATTTCGCCTGACAATCACACCGACAGGGTATTAGATAAACTAAATTGTTTTGTTTAATTGGCTCCACAGGATTTATCCTTCAACCGACAAAGTTGTTTCAAATTGAGTTTGTGGTTTGAATACCAGCCACTTTTATTCCTGCCAGCATTGTTCAGAATTCTCCGTAAGGTGGTTTCCGAGGTTCCTTCTTTGTATGGAAGTACTACTGATGATTTGTATTCTCTATTACTGGTGTTGTGATTATCCTGTGCATATTTGACATGCATGTCGTCATTAATATAATTATTATGGTTATCACTATCACTGCCATTAGTATTAATCTTATTTTAACATTTTCCTACATACTTGTTGATTAATTTATCAGGGTAATTATTAAGTTTTAGAGATTCTCTTATATGCCTCACTACCTGTTTTAGATTCTCCTTGGTTCTACTTAGTTTTTGTGCCCTATCATTTAAACATTTCACCAATCCTACTTTTACTGAGATAGGGTGGGATGATCGGAAATCCAAATATCGGTTTGAATGTGTGGGTTTTCTGTAAGCACTAGTGTTTAACTTCCCACCTTCATTCCTTTTTGCGCAACAATCTAACATTGGAAGCTCCTTATCGTGACATTTCAAATCATAAGTGAATTGAATTGCCTCTACCTTCGAGTTGAAAACGACAGTTTCGAGGTTTGTGTAGTGTTATAATTGATAATGTGATTATGAACAATAAATTGTGTTCGAAACTTCATCCACATTACAGACAAGTCTTAATAAACCATGCATAGCAGAGCGTAGCGCAATCTATGACTAACTTTTCTTCCCATTTGAGACTTCTCACACACATATATACATACCTGAATATACCTGCATTCCTAGTGAGTGATGGTGATTCTGGAATCCACTGACACACACACACACCTCCTGTCATCAATATCAAACAATTAAATCAAAAACAGTGGAATAATACATCAACCGAAAATACAAAAAAATAAACAGAATAAATCAAACCGACCAGGTTTCAAAACAGCTGCTAAATTCAATAATGATCTTGTTGATATTGACTGTGCTCCCAAACAAGTCAATGATTCCATTCGCATATAATTAATGACAGAATAATCTTGCCATTGATCAGTAGGCAAAATAAAGGCATTGTCGTCATCGATAGATTCAGTGCATTGTTCCTGCACAAATAAATCTGGATGTGGTTCAAACACTTGAAGACTATCGATTAAAAGATGTATTAAATCTTTGTTTGCATTAGACGACTTGACCTTGAAGTACACAATTCAAATTTAAAAAAGACACACAAATAATTGATTAGGAAAGAGTATAGTTAAATAAGTAAACGACAATTGATGACCACATTGCGAACGACACAGATAGACTTCAGTTAACATATAAAGTAATAGACAATACAACTAATCGAAGTGTCGATAACTGTTCTACAGGTGGTCAACCACAGTTCGAGTAGCTCAGTGCTAACGAATCTCCCGGTAGCAGTGAGAGATGCTTGTTCGAACTTATAAATACGCTCTACTAACAGGTGACAATAAGCATGTGTAGGTGGCTCAGTGGTAAAATGCTCGGCAACCACGCCACAGGTGGTTCGGGGTTCGATCCATGGCCACAGACGCACTGCTTTACCTCGCCAAGCCAGTAATAAGACTGGTAAAGAGGGAAGGTTGGGCATGAGGCTACCAACCCGATCCCGTTAAAATAAACACCACTGCTACCGAAACTTCAAGGCTCTAGCTTGAAGCTCTGTGTTCCACTGGGAACGTAAAGGAAAAAAATATTATTTTAAATATAAAAAGCATGAAATTTAGATCTAAAACATCCTCTCCGCTGTCTCTAACTATCCAACACCAATTATAAGAGCATCACGTATGAGGTTGTAGCTTGGTGACCCCACATTGCAAAACTTGATTGACAGTATTCATTAGAGAACTCAATTTAAGTAAATGCATATCTCCCATAACTTTTTCATCGGGCTTTAGAATGAAGTTCAAGTTTACGAATTTGTGGATTCAGAGGTGCTTATTGCGGCTGAATTTCGGTTAACTAATTTTTCTCTAAATAACTTGTTGTGTACTAGATACTTATTTAGCCTGTATAGCTGTCTAATGGCACTAGAGGTTTTGATGTCATTCTTGTTGAATAGAAACACATAGATCTATAGATGAACAATCCTCTTTTTGCTATCTTTGGAACGTTTTGGGACTATGCGCATCTCATAGAAATTTCGGAAAGCTATGCTGGTTTATTGTTTACAAATGTTCCACTAACTGAAACAATTTGTCACAAATGCCAGCTCATCCACTCAAAAGGAGTAAACATCGGCATACCCACCGACCAACTAAAAGAACTTCCGCTGAGATGCACCCTAAACGTCCAGTTCTCGTCAAAAGTATGGTATAGCTATGGGCTCACCACTAGGCCCTCTGCTTGCGGATTTCTTTATGTTAAAACTCGAAAACACTTGCCTAAAGAATATGATTGAGAACTTTGAACTCTACAAGAGATACGTCAACGACACCTTCATCATCTCCAACAACGAAGAGAATTTAGAAGATATCTTGAAGTTCTTCAACAACTGCCACCCTGCGATTCAGTTCACACTAGAGAAAGAGTCTAACTCAACGATATCTTTTCTTGACGTTCAACTAACGAGATGCCAACAAAACGGAACATTAAAAAGATCCATCTACAGAAAGCCAATGTGGAACGGACAGCTCACTAACTTCCTCTATATACTAAACGAAACCTAATTCGTTCACTAAGCCACAGAATACGTAGAATTCGCAGTCAGGACGCCATAGAAGATGAAATGAACTCTTAAGAAAATCCTCCTTGAAAATGGCTATCCAGAAAGATTTATCACAAAATCAATGAAACCCAGACCAGAGAAGCCGCCCACACCCAGTGCTCCAAAAAGACTTCTCTATATGAACCTACAGTTCAATGGAGACCAATCTACAGAAATACTGAGAAATCGGCTCTCCCGCCCATTGAAGAAAACCTTCGTTGCAGCTGAATTACGACTGACGTTCTTCACGAGACCAATGACTCGCACGAACGTGAAGGATAAGCTACCGCTGTTGGCCTCATCTATGCACATCTACCAATTCACCTGCTCGTGTGGAACCAGGTATATCGGCCGTACTCAGCGTTCGCTATCCAAACACGTCAACGAACATTTACCTTCATGGTTTTATAAAGGAGAAAACCGATGCCCCTGCAGCTCGATCCTTGAACATTTGATCGATTCTGGACACCAAGTCAAACCACAAATAAACTTCAAAGTTATGTACAGAATACAAGTCAATTTTGCCAAAAGTGTACGGATCAAACTTCTCCACATCGCCGAAGCAATGGCAATTCCTCTGCTAAATCCTGAACTCTGCATACAAAAGAAATTCGTTCATTCATTAAATCTACAATGGACCTAATCTTTCTTAATTTCAGTCTTACTAATTGTATTATTTTGTCTTTTGCATTTTATTATTTCACATCTTCATTTATATTATTATCTACCCCACCCTTTTGTAATCTCTACCCTCATTAACAATGTTGCTAACTCGACCCACGTCCAATTTCTAGTCAACTATGTTACGTCATCCGATAAACTTACTTATTTTCAACTGTTTTATTCTCTACCCCCACCCTTATTTAATTCTAACCACCACTCATTGACACTGTTGCCAACCTGACCTATTCTGAATTCTACTCAATTGTATTACGTCATCCAATTCACTTAGTCAATTTTATTTTCTATCTAATTAACGTTTGTTTCCGAGCCAAATAATACTTATATTGCGTAATTATCTAAACTTTATAAATCTAATGCACACACACAAACAAAATTGTATATAAATGCGATTGTACAGCTCAGTGAATAAATTCGCCGAAAAGAGTTTCTTCGCTGAACGCCTTTTTTTATGACTGAATGGGGATTTTCAAGTTACTTAAACGTTGCAAGCCAGTTTTAGTCGTCATAACTACTGTCTCATGGTAATTAGGTGTAATAGGATGTTCGACTTTATAACAAATTGTGAAACTAAGATTAAAATATGCAATTACAATACAGTATGATAATGATTACGACGATATTACTTATTATTATTTACTTAAACACAAGAAGCTTGATATAATATGGCACCAAGAAGATGCGCCACACAATAATAATAAAACAACATACACTAAAAGTAAAAATATAGGTGGAGAACAGATAAAGAACTTCATCTGGAAGGAAAACAGTCATATTTAACAAGTTCAAACAGCATTCGTCAATTATTGTCGGAAAGGGAAGAAAGAAGGAAACTGCAGAACGTTCGCCATCAATGATTGCGATTCTTGCCCATATCTGATATCATTTCGAGCTATCACTCAGACTCCAACCAAGGAGTCGTGACACATCAACCGATGCTAACCTAACACAAATATCCTTCATCCCACAATACCACTTCATTGGTTAACCACCTCTCCGCTTTTTCTGTCCAGTCCCAGGGCTAGCCAACAGACACCCGCACGGAAGCCTCTGGGGCGAAACTCGCAGCAAATGTCCAAGACACCAAAGTTGGTGTTTCCAGATGACAACACTCAACTAATGCTGATCTCGATTACGACGATAAAGACTGATAGCACAATTAAAGATAATATTTACAGTTGTCCTGTGTCACTGGGAGAGAAATCTATTCTAATTTGGGAATTGAGGCCACAACAAATATTTTCTGAACACATAAATTAGGTCAGAAAAACTCCGATGTCAACTAATTCAATGATGCTTACAAAATCGAAAGTGTATAAACCCATAGGAACTGAGGTGGCACTTTGCGTAGAATGGTAAAAGCTGAATTGTTGTTAGAAGGTTGCAGGTGGTAGTCGACAGGAAGCATGAAACCTACACACCCAAGGCTTCCTGCCGATAGCTTCCAACCATCTAATATCAATAACTGAGAATTCACCATAATAGCAAACCACCTAGTATGGTGGTGGTCACATTACCAGCTTGACTGATAGAATTCAGTCTTCACCAACAGAAGGACTATACGCATGACATTAGTTACCAACTAGTGTCCAATCACAAAAGCTGAATGACTAGCAGTGGAATCAATAACACGTGTTCCTGTCTGTTTGGGACTCCAACTGCTACACACGTACCTCCCCATCCCCAGGAAAGGATGCTATTCCCATTGAGAATCGCCCCCAGCATCCGTCAATTTAAGCACCAAAACATCATGCATCCCCCCTATCGCCACCCACCAAGTATCATCAGATAATACAAATACCGAATAAGCTTTAGATTTTTATCAACAGTTGCTTTCACTCCATACTGGAGATCAGATAACCAGTCAGAAAAGATTAGCAACAAAGAACTCTGCAATTCGACGAACCAATCAAGAACTGCCAACTAAAGAAAAATATGCCGGAAACAATGAAAATGGATTGGACACACACTGAGGGAACTATTGAGTGATACATCACGCGACAGGCTCTCGAGCAGAACCCCATTCTGAAACAACAAATCAAGTGTTGATAAGAGTATCAAACAGGGAAGATCATGTGGGGATGAAATGAGAGCTTACAGGGATAATTGTGAAGCCAGATGAAGAGGACTGTAGAGAACCGAATGAGATGGAGATGTACTTACTGTTGAAGCCCTATGTTCCACTCGGAATTTAAAGGAAGTATAATAGTACACAAAATGTATCACACATTTACAAACACTATATATACATAAATAACTTACAGTATTATTATTATCTCTGTCATTTTCTTCATAATACGACGAAGGTACAACTAACAATTGTGATGCGCATACATACTTGACATTTTCATGATCCAATATATTTTCAGAGCGTTTAATACCTGGTAACCATGACAACTGAGATAATTTTAATAATAATTTATTTGATAAATTAGAAAATACATCGCCTTTTGCTATTGTCGTCGATTTCTGCTGTTGAATGTCATTATTGCTTATGAATGTAGAAGATGGAAACGATGATAGATTATACGGTAGACACGAGATGATACGCCCAATTAACTGAACACGTGTACAACCCATAGTATTCAAATCACTTGCCCTGGCTTTTTTATCATCACTTGTTATGAAACATGATGATGGTAACTTTAATGGTAAAGATAAAACGTAAATTATTAGTAAGTAAATATGAACAAACAATGCATGAAATGACAATTTGAACAACATGAAGTAATACTTTCAAGTTTAGAGAACCATTGATAATCACTAGCATGTACTAAACGGTTGTTTCGTCCTAGTTTTGGAGTCTTCAATAGTACGCAACCATGACCAATCCATTGACTGTACAGCCAGTGGGACGGAATTTAATGGCTGGTCCATGAATTCAAACTTCTTTCAATTCGCGATATATAGCGCCATCCTCCAACCAACGCCATCAATGCGTATTAGTCATTACACCCGACCTCGCGGACCCCAGTGGTCACAGCTTCTCAATAAAACTACTGTAGTCAGTCAACTAGAAACATTATATTTGATCGAAATGGGTGTCTGTCCTGTTCGTTGTTGCACCCAAAAATATAAACTAGCTACCAAAAGACACGAGAATCATTCTCTCATATTAGTACTTGATGTAGTGAACTTGGGACACTAATTCAATTTGTAAAATGCAAAAAATCTTTGACAAAAAAAACACCAAGCAAGCCTGGAAACTACTTCTTCTAAAAGCCTACTACTTAGATCAGTCTGCAATTTACAGACGCATTGATACATAGATTAGATTTATTAAGTGATGAAAGAAGGGGGAGGTCACATGGACAAAACCTCGAATATCAGTGAACAAGAGGGTAAGAAAATATCTAGCGACAACCTATAACGTCCAAAATAAATCAAGGGAGAAAGATTACTATAAGCTGACTCCATCAGGAAGTTAGCGCACTGAAGAGGTTTTCTAGAAAGATAATAAAAGCTACGTAATTTAAACCATCCAGTTTAGAATAGATGACTACATCAATATAATATCACTACTATTATAGCCATACGACAAAATCCCGCTAAAAAATTGAGAATGAATGAACGCCGAAAATTTGAAAATAAAGTTTACGACTACTTTTATTGGTAATTACTTAAACAACTCATAAAAGTGATGATGATAATAGTAATAATATGAATGCAGGGCGTCACTCCAACTTTGGTCAAGCACGAAGACCAAGTTTAATGCAGTTTGAAGTAGTGGCATTCGATAGATTGTAGTAAGTAGTAGGATTTAGCAAGTGCATTGTAGACCGCATAAGAAGCTTTTTGGGTCAACCAACTACTTATCGATGAAATGGTTAATGACTGAAGGTGAGATAAGATTCCGGGCTACCACCACCATAGGCATAGAACCAGAGGTCACTACTACTACAGGCAGCCAGTGTCATGATAACCGCAAAGTTATGCAAAATAAATTCACGTGAAATCCAGGCTATATACGTGCGGTCTCGTAGTCCAGCTGGTAGCAATCTGGAGGTCATTAGTTCGAATCTTGCCGCGATCCGGATTTTCATTTCACCTTAAATAATAGCAATATTTTTAAAAAGGCCTTATTCGTAAAACTTCAGTTCCTCGGGGATAACATCAGTGAGATATTAACACAACGCCTAAGGAATACGGCGGTGCTGAATTACGCTGTGTCTTCAAAACCACCCCTATTTTGCGTTCGGGAGTTGAAGACAAACTGTCTAATTTCGCCTCTTCTATGTGTATCTACCAGTTTGACTGCTTCTGTGAAGCCAGTGACATAGGCCATACAATTAGGCGTGTTTATCGTCGGATTTCCGAACATCATCCTGCGTGGGTATGAAAAGGCCAAACAAAATCCATTCATAACTCTATTCTAACTCATTTCATGGATACAGAACATAAGATTGATGTTAACGAGGCGGCTTTCAAAGTCTCCTATTGCATACCAGCTAATCTTAACCTTACCTTAAGATTTCGCCGAGGCCGTTGGGATCCAAATTTTTTTTTTTATTCTTCACGTTCCCCAGTGGAACATAGGGCTTCAAGCTAGTGGCTTGAAGTTTCTGTAGCAGTGTTTATTTTACAGGATGGGGTTGCTAGCCTCATGCCCAACCTTTCCTCTTCACCAGCATTATATCTGGTTTAGCGAGGTAAAGGAGTGCGTCGGCCGGGGTTCGAACCCCGGGCCATGTGCATGGTCGGCGAGCGTCCTAACCGCTATGCCACCGACGCACAATTAAAAAACCTAACTTACGTATCCAAAAGAAGCTGGTTCAGATACTGCCCTTACCTTGGCCATCTAGTTTCGAATAATCCTCAATTTGTTGTGGAAATTTCCTTAATTTTATTTGATATACTATTTACTATTATATATTTATGCTTATTATAATTTGTGTATCTTTAGTGAACTGTAATTCCACTGAGCTTACTTAACAAGTCGATAGTTCTTAAAAACACCAATATTGTTAGTGACGACTATTCTAGAATATTGTATTTATATAAACATATATACATAATTGTAGAGCCAGAAGAGGAGGAAATTATCGAAAAGAATATTCTTTAATCTATTATTTCTTTTTTCTAAATGTCTGAAGAAATATTGTTAAACACCTCCTTCAGTGCGTCGTTGATTCAAAGATAGAATGTTCACCAGACACGCACACATAGTACGGATTTGATTCCCGGCCGACGGACACCTAAACCTTGCTTAGACGATAAGTAGGCTTGATAAATAGGGAAGGATGGGTGTGAAGATAGCAACTTCAACCCTGTAGAAGAAACGAGAAGCCAACGCTGCTGAAACTTTAAAGGTTAAAACTTGAAGTTCAATGTTCCATTCAGAATGCAAAGCAATCAGAAGTAAATAAAAAAGCACCTTCCTTCAGACAAAATGAACATAGCTATCACTTACCTTTCCAATACATTCAATCATATCTGCAAACACGTTTGGAATTTTATCAACAAGCCAACAATTCCAAAGACTTTTAGAATTAATATCTTCACGAGATGATGTTAAATCAAAGTCGGCTAGAAGAAAGAAGACACAAAAAAAGAAAACTTAAAAGTAATGTGTGTTTTTGACTCAACTAATTGTAACTGTAGTTGTGGTAGGCATTTTAATTCTTCCTAACAGTTAGCTAAAGTCATCTTGTCTGATACTGAACAATCGCCTATCTATTCGCAACTTTTTCATTCTATCTCTTTAGTTAAAACCAGAAGAAATTTCATAAAAATTTATGCTCGTACAACTGTCAAACTATAAAAACCATGGCTTGGAATAAAGTGATCATTATTTTTTATTTTTATTATTTCCCATGGATTAATTCTATTGGAGCCGAATACTCGGTCTCTACTTTGACTTTCGAAACAGTAGGCGTAAGGTTCGAGTCCAAGTGGAATTGTTATCATTTGTTGGCGATGCAAGTATATCAGTTGATGAGTCCCACAAAGGACGAAATGTAAATTCTAGATTTCAAACGCTAACTACCATGAACCATGAATTTTCAGTATGTGATATCGGTAGCCCAAATTTTGCAGGCCAACCATAGATATCAGGTGTGCGTCGGCAGGGGATCGAACCCCGGACCATGTGCATGATCGGTGAGAGTCCTAACCACTGTGCCACCGACGTATACTTGAAACACAAAAAGCATTAGTACTGAGTGACCTCAGAGCCCAGGGGACAACTGCCTGACGCCAATCCCCCACGGTGTATTTGAGTTATTCCTCGGAGTAGTAACCGTACGAAGACCTTACTGCCGGCTGTGGAGAGCCTCAGTGTAATTCTTTGGGACTAAAGTTTTCTAACCCTCTTGCTCACCAGAGCAGAAGGGCAGTATACCTGACTTTCTGGTTGTCCGAAAGAAACACCTTACTGCTGTTGCATCACTATTCACCAGCAATACGATTTCGCCATCAGACTCCCCCCGCCCACATAATGTGAGTGACTTACACTATGGTGGTTTCCGTTTCCAATCCAACCACTACCCAATCGACCTATGTGGCATGGTATAACGACCCGCAGGAACATCCGTACCAGGCAGTGTAGTACACGTGAAAGTGGCAGTTAACGTTTGGGTGTCGCAACAGTAATTCCATAGGATGATACCACTCCACTATCTGATTACCAATAGCCACACTTAACCATTGAAGGATAGGAACAGAGGTGAATAAACGCGATGAAGGCTAACAAAGTGATCAAATGAGTCACATTTTCCACTGAAAACTGCCATAAATGATTTTTCTCTCTGTTTGATTAATGATCCGCAGAGGGAAAGAGAAAAATAAAGCAAAAGCAATTTCAATCTGGATAACTAAGTGGTAGCATATCTGACTGCAGCACTAAGTGAAGCAAAGCTTCGGACCAATTCCTCCGAGGTTGTAGATAAGCCTTGCTGACAATTGCCGATAAGCAAAAAACACCAGGTTCAAGGGGTTCCTGTGCATTGCCTTCAATCACCAAACAGACTAAATATCATCAAGGTATAGTCAAATTCAAAAAAAGCTCAATTGTGATACTCACCGTTAATACAAAATCGAAAACCAACACTCAACACAGGTAGATAGGCAAAAATTGGACATGACTGAAGAGGTTCTGAATCTGTTAATGATATTGCAATAGATATTGCTGTTTCTCTAGGAAGATTCTGTGCATTAAAAGTATATGGTGAAGAAAAACACAAAACAAAAAGCAACCATTAAGTGGTAGAATGTTCGCCAACGAGGTTCAGGTTCGACTCCTGACCGACGAAAATCCTAAACCTCGATTAGCCAATAAAGAGAGAAGGTGAGGTGTGAGGCTAGCAAGCTTCACCCCGTTAAGACAACACCAACGCTACTAAAACATTCAACTTCAGGCTATAAGCTCTATGTTCCACCCAGAATTCAAGGAATGAAGAAAACGTTTGTAGACAAAATGATTGGATAAGGCATATAATGATGTGGGAAAAAAGGTCAATACTATCTACAATAAGATTCTGGATACAAGGCGAGTTCGTAGACCATTGAGCCACTAGGACTCGATCCAATAGTCCTTGAATTCTAACTTCTGCCAATTCACAACAGAGCGCGACCATTTCGCAATGTCTTCTTCGATGAGTAACTGCCCCATCTTCAACCTGCTGTACCCTACTGGTCACGGCTTCCCACTAGAACCACAGGTTAACTGCAGAAGTTAGAATTCAAAGACCATTGGGTCGGGTCCCAGTGGTTCAATGGTCTACGAGCTCGCCTTGTAACCAGAAAGTCCTGGGTTCGAACTCCGACAGTTGTGCGTACTGCTGAAGAGTCACAAAGTACGACGAAACAGCTGTCCATTACTCCCAAGTTAGCTCATGATGAAATCCTCCTTAATTATATGTTGACACACACACATAACCTTCCACTCTATTTTCCTTCACTGGTTTTGATATTATCATCCATCCATATCAAGTTTAGAATCCCTCAACGTAAAATTCAATATCACCATTAGTCATAAGTAGTCACTACGACCATATACTTTGATTGGACACAAGTAAGTAACTTTTTTATTCCTTTACGTTCCTAGTGGAACATAGGGCTTCAAGCTACAGGCTTGAAGTTTCGGTAGCAGTGGTATTTATTTTTACGGGATCGGGTTGCTGGGTCTCATGCCCAACCTCCCCCCTTCATCAATCTCATTACCAGCTTAGGAGTGCGTCGGCCGGGGATCGAACCCCAAACCACCTATGGCGTGGTTGGCGAGCATTCTACCACTGTGCCACCGACGACAAATTAGTAACTCGTACCATGTATCTAGTCGTTTGTTTCGTGCAGACTGAATTCTATCAGTCAAGTTTGCCAGATGGCCACCATACTAGTTGGCTCGACATCAGTCAAACTTGACTGACAGAATTCAGTCTGCATCAAACATAGGACTAGACACACGATACCAATTACTAACTAGTGTCCAATCAAAGTATCTAATGCAGTTCTACAGAAGGTCAATCGCCAGCCGAAATAGCTCGCTCAGTGGTAACATCTCTGACTTCAGAACTGAGTGACATGGGTTCGAATCTCAGGAAGCACATAATTTCCTTCAAGTTTTCAGATACGCCTTGCTGATCGGTGAGTGCTAACAAGCACGGAACCCCTAGGTCAAGCATGGCTTCCTGTCGATTGCCTCCAACCACCTTACAACTACTACTGTATGTCCGTTGTTGTTATTCATGATCACTTACTTCGGAAATCTGATGATCAGCTCAATCTAGTTTTACATTTATACGTAATATGACATACACGCATGCTTTGAACTATAATCCATTAACAGTTTATTTGGAATTTAGATGTCAGTGATTCGATGCTATTCACAAAACAACACATTAATCTTGCCAATAAAAATTACTCCTTATCTATTATGGATAGACAATTGTAGAATATGATAAATAAGAAGTTATCTAATAGGATGCTCCATCAAGATTGATCTGGCTGGCTGGCTGGATTCAACATAGAACTTGGCACTGAAGTGCACCAGTTCGAGTTGCCACGTTCCAAAGAGCACACATAGGTAGACAGGAAAATGAGTGAAGAGAATCAATAGAGTTTTGACAAGTATAAGAGTGAAACAGAATGAGTAATAGTAGAAAGGAATATGAAAGTTTACAGAGACTGAATACATCTGCGCCACTGACAACGATTTTGAGCCATGTCACTTATTGTCTCCAGCCATTTATTCTTAGAGTCCCGAGATATCAAGATCGATCACTAGTTGACTTCATTAAGAGAACCACTGAAAACCAGAGAGTGCTGAGGAGCTGCTTCGCCCTTGTTTGGGACTCTTCATCCGTGCATACTCATCACCTAATCAACGATTGAACCCAAAGTCTTCCGATTACAAGACAAGCTCGTAGACCATTCAGTCGACTGGGATCCAACTCAATGGCTAGCACATGAATTCTAACTTCTATTAATTCTTGATTTTAGGGCGACTGGCACCAGTCAATATCATCAGTGAGTATTTGTCCTCGTAACGGTAGAAGACGAAAGAGTTGGCAAACGAATGTTTATTTGCTATTCGGTATCTCTATATAGCCAAATTATGTACATCCTATCTTCAACGCACAGATCCTCCGTGTTGTGCTACTTCTGGCCCTCCTTCATATTGTGTTTCTTTGTGTTCCTTTCACGTCTCCCATGTATCTCCGCAACACTGTATCATTTGCTTTCTCTGACATCAAATCTATCAAATGTTATCAGTAGCATACGCCACATCCTCACACCCAACCGGGTGGACCCCAACAAGTAAGAACTTCTGCCTAGAACTCAAGGCAACTTCATCCTACATCGTGTGCTATCCAGTCACTAGTGAGCATTAAATTAATTTTTAAGCATGCATTTAGCACAGATTTGATTGATTTCAAGTTCTGATCACAGATTAATATCATATTCACATATTACTGAAACAAAACGTTTTTAACTAACCTTTTTAGGATCTTTTATATCATCATCAACTGGAATTGATTCTTTAAAACAGAACCATTTGTGCAGAGTGGTCTTTTGCTTTTCCATAGATGAATGACGTTCAGTTTCAGAGACAGTAATTAATTCTGCATAACACTTGGCAGTGCTAGATAAAGACAGAGCCCATGTTTTACAAGTACGTTTTACACTCCAATATATATTTGGCTATTATTTTTTTTTGTTGTCATATACAAAAGAAAAGATGAAATTAAATATTTAGAAAAACAATCAAAATTTTCTAGCTAAGTGTAACACAATTAGAAAAGACAGTCTGATCCAGATCTTGGAGATTATTAAAAATCTATGATTAGAGACTCAATCACTAGTGATATGGTTATAAATCAATTGCTTGTATTATTCTCTCCCACCTACCCAGCCACCCAACCCCCACATACCAAAATGACTTTATCCAAACTACTAGTACCTATTCGGCCTTTATGTGCCAAGATGGACTAATGCAAGGGCTTGTGTGGATCTCTGCGTTACTCAATAATAATAATAGCAGCTTTATTTTTGACAAGATGTTTACACAGTGTATGGAATTCTCAGCGTAAATTATTGCGTAACATTCTCTCATTATCCAGGATATTCAAATAAAGTAACAACTAATATGGTGCATTGTGACTAGTATTGGAGTCCAAAATGCGTATTTCGTCCTATTTGGGACTCTTCAACTAACTGGGTGTGCCGGCTCGAACTCAGTATCCAATGTTTCAAACGCCAAAGCCTTATCCACTAGATCACTGGGTTCCAGACTCAGCTGGAACACCATAACTCACTGGAGAATGCTTGCACATCCAACTAGTTCACGAGTCCCTAAAAGGAAGAAATGCGCACGCTGGATTCCACTGATAGTCACCAGACATTGTTGAAGCATCCACACAAGGAGCCAACATGTCAACAGAGGCCAAACACTTCAGTCCAATCAATATCAACGGGGAAATCCAAAATGAATTGAATGAAATAGCAATTCATGGTTTATCACGTAACGCAATGCTGTTCAACCTCAGGCAAAGGGCAAAGTTAAAGTTTAAGCACCACTAACTACCAATCAGCGAATGATCTCGAACGCACCAATCATATGAAGGAGGCATTTGTGTGTATGGAATACATATATTTATGAAAAAATTGCATAGAAACTGTATAAAAGTGTTACAGAGGATACCTTTCCTTTCATATGTGATAAGAACAGTTCTATTTTAGGTTGCAGTATCAACAGAGTATAATTCCATTGTGGGTAAAAATTATTTTGATAAAGTTCCATAGTGTTATACAGTAATATTTACTGAACAATAAATTGTGCTCGAAACATCATCAGTAAATGTCACTGTACAACAATGTGAAACTTTATGAAAATAAATGTTACCCATAATGGAATTATACTCTACCACAGTGCACAAGTACTATTCTTATATCAACAGAGAAATTTAACCACATTCTATGCATGTAATTATTTGGGTCTTCTAACCCTAACAATAACCCTAATCTTTCCTGAACCTAACCCTAACGTGAAAATATCCCTAAACTAACTGTAATCTAAACTCGAACCAAACCTACTGTCGCCTCCCAACCTAACAATTGTTAGGTCAACGTAACCCCAACTTGTCCTTGGCTTAAAGAGTAACTTAATCTTTCCCAAACCTGAGCTGAAACTTGCCAGATATCCCATTTAATAGTATAACACTTCGATTAGCATATTTTATTGATGATAACAATCTTATTTGCCAGATTTCACTAACTTGCTCAATCGGCGTTTCAAGGTCATTGGTGCGGTTGCACTCCATTGGTAGTTAGTGGTGCTTAAAGTTTAACTTGGCCACGCAAAGACTAGTCCCTTATAATATTTCTTCTTCATCTCTGAGTGAGTAATGAGCACCGGTTGTTCGAAAGTCAGTGAAAAATGTGCGTGCGACTCAAGGACAGAACTGAATGGTTAAAAACACAGAAATCAGAAAAAATATGACGATGCATTGTGTTGGATGGAGATTCAGGTAGTCAGTCCAGTGATTCAAACAGGTTGCCGTGAGATAGGCAATGGGTCGCATCTGTTTTGTCAAACCAAATGATACCACCCTGGTGATGCAAACATCAATAGGTGTGACAGCGTCCGAATCCATGACCCAGTGGATCACACACACTCTGTCAAGAAGGACTGAAGTTACAGAGAAATAAGTGGTCAGATGATCATTTAAAAGATAATAAAGTATCTATCCAACTAGAACACTATATGAACAAACAACACACGTGAAATAACTGACTCTGACTTATGGATCAGCTAAAGAACATAGAGAATACAGCCTGTACAAGTATACTAAACTAACTGAATGCCAAAGACAAACATAAACGTAACTGACTGACTGAGTTTCAACATAAAACTTTGCACAGAAGTGGGACATTTCAAGTTGTTAAACTCTATTTTGATGTAGTCGTGTTCTTTGGCCTGGATGGTTTACTTGTGAAGCCTTCATTGCCTGACTAGGCAACAAACATCTTCAGCGCATCCTTCAATTTGAAGTGAGCTTTTAAATTTCTCCACGAGTTTATTAGTCATCTCTCCTGGTGACCTTGAACAGACATCAATTTGACTGAGACAATGTTTAAGTGTCAGACAGAGGAAACACAAAAATGTCAGTGTATTTTTGGGAGCATGGTATGAATCGGTAATTTACAGGCACACTGACATAGATAAAATTTACCAATCCATAACAGGTCAAAGAAACAATCGATAGCAATACAAGTAGACTAGAGATTATGAAACCAGACAAAATCAACCAATCACGATAAAGGTCACCAGGGGAAATGACCAATAAACTCATCGTGAAATTTAAAAACTCACTTCAAACTGAAGTATGCGCTGAAAATGTCTGTTGTCTAGTCAGGCAATGAAGGCTTCACAAGTAAACCATCCAGGCCAAAGAACACAACTACATCAAAATCATCCACCTGAGATACAAATCTCCATTATGTTACACCATGTATATATATATATTTCATGAATCAAGGGGAGATTACAAAGACTGAATGTATCTGCGCCATTGACAACAATTTTGAACCACACTACCAATAGTCTCCAACCACAGAATCGTAACCCCCCGCGGTGCCCAACCAGGCAGTCTACACCCCCTACCTGGCTAGCTCAAAGTAACAGTCAAAGACTTCGTAGACTGATTCCAAGTTGTTGATTTGATCACCACCTCCATAACAACACTTATCCAACCTATTCCTATGTCAATTGAATCGGTTGATGGGGGAGGGAGGTGTCCTCACACTGTTAAATAACGGTTACAAGGATTACACAGTCATCTACCGATAAACCAAAAGAAAACTAAAACAATGAACCAATGAATACCATTAATATTTCTTCCACATAACTTACTTCATCGGATGAAAAGGTAAGACAACGAAGACGTCTTAAGAAAAGTAATAAATTTGGCTTTAATGTGGTTTGAATTAGCTGAATAAGTTGAAGTGCTGGAGATTGAATAAGTGAATTATACGTGATTCTTTGAGATAATGGAAGGATAAATAATGTTCGACACCAAGATGGTATTTCACTATTCATCATCTTATCAGATGCTTCATATTCTTCACACCATTCAGGAAGTAACAGTAAAGGTTTCTGTAGAATAGATTGTTGTTGTTGATGTTGGTTGTCAGTATTTTGACGTCGAAAACGAATATGAAAACCATTTGAATGTACTTCAGCAGTGTCAGTTATGTTGAACACAGACTTGAAACCTATCCCTTTACGACCTGTATAGAGAAGTGTGTAGAAAGAAAGATAGTAGAAGACGGTGGAAATTATTCTTTAGAAATTTAATAGAGGCAACTAAAATTTATGTGACATGATACTGAGCAACAGTTGCTTTATACTATGCATACTTCTATGGTATACTGTTCAATACATCATCACAATATTATCCTGCAGATGAAGCCGATCGATAGTTGCTACCTCGAACTGGGATCAGGATTGCATATCTCACAACGAATCAACAAGATACACTGGCTGGGACGAACTCCTTGTGTGTCTTACCATGCGAGAAAAGTCGTTTGGATAGAGATTAGGCTAAAAGCACTTACCATCATAGTGTAAGCAATATACACATTAAGTTTGGAGTATGTGGGAGAAGTCGTACTGGTGATGAATAGGGATGTAACAGCAGTAACGTATTTTCCCCAGCTGACCAGCAAGTCGGCTATGCTGCTTCTCTACTCTGAGGATGGGGCTTAAAAAAGATTGACACTTAAAATTCTACATTCCTATTCACCTTGTGGCGGTCCGACTCCAAGAACTACATCAAACAGGCCGTCTGTGACCGACCCCAGACATTTGTCCCCTGGGCTCCACTGTCACCAAACATTACTGCTTCTTCTGCTACGAGTATTTGAGGGAGAAAACAACTTCCAGGATGTAGACAGTCAGGAAGTAATTACCACCCAAACACACTTGCATAAACACACATAGCCTTCCTGACCAACCACCATCACTTTAACCACCTTGCTTTCCTCCTACAGTTAACACTATCCCACAGGCAGTTCTCTCATCTTCTCTTGAATCTGCGACTACTAAAAGACACGACGGCCAGAAAAGCACTACCGATAGCCTCTTAAAACCACGCTGCCAACTTCATATTGTGGAGCATTTAACACCAGGTCCCTTTGCCAAATCGGATATTGCAGAGTACGACAATTAGAACCACTGCACTTTCGTGCACAGTTTTATTATGATTATTACTATTATTATTATAATTATTGTTTCCTTTAATTCCTACAGGAACATAGGGCTTCAGCCGTGCGTCTCCATTGCGTTCGGTTCTCTGCTAGAGTCTTCATCTGGCTCCAAGTCTGCCCACACGTTTTCATCTCCTCTTCGCATGACCTCCTCCAAGTCGCCCTTGCACTGACGACCAACTCGCCGCTTCCCTTTCGGGTTCCACTCGAGCGATGGATTGTCTAGTGATGTCACTTGATGGTTTCCTCAGAGTATGGCCAGCCAATCCATCTCCATTTCTTCCTGCCTATTTGTTTCACAATCGGTTCCTGGTTGGTTCGCTCCCAAAGATCCCTGTTGCTGATCTTTTCTGGCCGGCCATCTCATCTTGAGTATTGAGCGAAGACTGGTGTTGATGAAGGTCTGTAGTTTGTTTGAGATGCTCTTTATGACGCGCAGTGCAAGTCTCAGATCCATCCGTATAGTAGCACTGACTGACTTCACATTGGAGTTGAAAATCCGGATCTTATTTTTGACACTGAGTGCTGTTGACCTCCACACAGGCTTGAGAGTAGTGAAAGCTTGTCTTGTTTTCCCAATTCTCGCTTTGATATCCGCATCAGTTCCGCCTGTAGTTGAGACTATGCTTCCCAGGTAGGTAAAAGAGGTCGTTTCTTTCAGGTTCCTCCCACTTATGCTGATCGTTTTCTGTTGTTGTTGTTGTTCTTGTCCAGGAATCTTCATTACCTCTGTTTTCTCTATGTTCACCTGAAGGCCTGTCTTTGATGCTTCTTCTGACAACTTGTTGCTTTTCACTTGCATGTCTTCCAGTTTGTGGGAAATCAGACATATATCATCGACGAAGTTCAGATCCTCCAAGTTTTTTGTGTGAGTCCATTTTATGTCTGTTTGCTCATTGCCCGCTGTTTGTCGCATTATCCAATCTGCTGCAATCAGGAAAATCATTAGCGATAGTAGGCAGCCTTGTCTTACTCCTGTCCTCACTTCGAAGTTCTATGTTGAAACTCGATCAATCAGTCATGCAGATGGAAGATATATGCAGTACTGAAATGTAAGTGTAGAACTTGGACACTGTGGTGGAATGTAACCCCATATTAGATAAGTTTATTTCAAATATCAGACGCCATCAGATGTAAGAAATTATATGCATTGTAATACTATCAGAGAAAAGACATTTTTAGCAAAAAGGCAACGGTCAAAATCGCAATTGTTAGATAACTCGGGAAATAGTTAAAGGCAGTCGGACTAAAACGAGACACTATGCAGTGGAGCTTATCACTTTTAATCTGAATTACGTAGATAAGGGTAAGTTGTATTGATGAAATTCATGAAATGTTAAGAACTAATGACTGTGGAACAAAAAGCGATTGGTACCATAGCTCAGTATCATTTATTAGCACAGGTGTATTTGGCCTTTATCATTTTACAGACTCTAAGCGCTTTTTATTAATGCTCATTCTAATTCTTTTTTGTTCGAACATTCATGTAAGTTCACTTCAACATTATCCTTCCACCCGTTCTTCTGAGCCTACTTCTTCTTTACTCCTTTTGTTCTAAATGGAATACAGGGCTTCAAATTTTGAAGTTTCAGTAGCAGTGACGCTGTTTTCACGACGTGTGGTTAGTACTAGCTTCACAAGCCACCTTTCATTCGTTCCGAGCTTACTACCAGCTATTAAGCTAAACAACGTGATGTTTAAGAGTTGGTCGACCGGAAGTCGGAATTCCAGACCATGTGCGTATTTCACCAGCATCGTATCACTGAACGACCGACTAACAAACTAAGGAAGAACAGGCAGCTGTTTCATCCTAGTTTGGCAAACTTCAAAAGTACGACCCAACCGAGGACTGAACTACGGACCTTCAGGTTACCAGGCAAGCTCATTGATCAATCAGTTACTGGGTGGATGAAACCCAGTTGTCCATGAATTCTAACTGCTGCCAATTCGCGATACACAACGACTATTAGAAATTCTAATATATAACTTAAAATTATAAAAATTAATCTGATGCTCACTAGCGACTCAGAACAAGACGAAGCTGCCTGAATTTCCACTGAGGAGTCGTGACCAATGGCATCTGCCAAGTTCGATATGAAGACAAATAATCACCGATGACATTAGCTGATGCTCGAGCTGTAGTATATTGCGAATTGAAAGAATTTAGAGTTTATGGACCATTCGACTCTGTCCTGATGGCTTAGTGGTCAATGGACTCGCTTTGTAACCTGGATGTCCTGGATTTGATCCACGACGGTAATCATGAGTACATACTGCTGAAGAGCCGCAAACTAGGACGAAACAGTTGTCCGGTACTTCCTAGATTTCAATGGTTCTCTAAGTGATAACAATCCGTAATTCAAATGGAAACCAATCAAGTTTTAACAAAGTAACTATAAAAACCAAACCAAATAAAGCACGTGGTTAATTTGCAAAAATGTTTAAGGATAATTCTCGACTAACTAACCTATTTTCATATCACGTTGAGTTAATTTTGTACTCTGACCAATATCGCATAAAGCAGCAATATCGGATTGTGTAAATCCAACAGACTCATTATTCATAACATAAAGGGAGAAATTTTTATTCCCCATACTATCTGTACTATGATTGGATGACAAGTGAAACTCCAGTGTGGGTGGCATCTCATCATCACCATCGCCACCTTCACCATCATTAGAATAGGTATTATCATCAGCATTTTGAATCAATTCTAGTAGAAAGTGTCCTGGCAAGCCATAGATTTCTTCTGATAATTGAGTTAAACTTCGGGATAATTTTCCTTCAACTCTCTGTTAAAAAAAATGGGAAATGGGGAAAAGGGTTATAACACGACTTTTTGTCATTAGGAGCAATTCGCTATTTCCCGTAGCAATATGCTGCTTATGGAGCAGGATTAGGATAACTGCCTACTATACTCTACACAGAACCATCACAAGGTGAGTAAAGTCAGCATTACATTCTATGCAAAAGTGATCGACGTTTAGGATCTACTATACACACGCCAACTCATCATATTAGTTGCTGGACGAAGATATGTTACCGGTCCATGAAGGCATCGATCGTCAACATGAACAGTGAAGGTTGTTCGGATTGAGCTCGGGTGACCACGAGAATCACATCAACCGGTAGTGTCTGCTAGACAGATCAAAGCGATTTATGCACAGGACAGCCAATCCGCTCAAACGGCACTGAGGTCATCATCAGTATACCCAGTTTGACTCAGTTCACAGAGTCGAATCAGTTCAAACCAACTGAATTAGGGTTAGCAGTCTGGGTGAACCCGTAATAATATTGAATGAAATTCGTATTTTGCAATTTAAACATTTACTTTCATTTCTTAATTTATTTCTTTGCGTTCCTAGTGGAACATAAGGCTTCAAGCTGGAGATTTGAAGTTTCAGTAGCAGTGGAGTTTTAACGAGATGGAGTAGCTAGCCTCACACCCAACCTCCCCTCTTCACCTGGCCTACTACCCACTAAGTGAGGTAAAGCGGTGCGTCGGTTGAACCCCGGACCACTTGCGTGGTATGAAAGTGTTTCGTCCTAGTGTCTGGGACTCCTCACCAGTATGCATCCACTGAGGTTCGAACCCAGGACCTTCTGGTTACAAGGCTGGCGAGCTCGCAGACCATTAATCCACTGGGACCCGATTCAATGATCCATGAATTCCAACTTTTACCAACACGTTAATTAAGATGTAAATACCCACAACCATTAGTTAGTTAGTCACGGATTGGCTATAGTGTTGGCTACATGTACAGAATGTACTACTTGCGAGAATATGACTAGCTGAAATTGACACATAACAAAAGAATATCTAAATGAAATACTTACTACAGATAGAGTTTAATTAGCTGATACTATAAACCAGTGTGATACGATGTCGAAAGTACAAATGCGATTCACTGGCTGCTAAAGCACTCAACATTTTGCCAACGAGCCTCAGGTTCGAATCCGTCCCCAGGGAAACTAAGAAATACCATCCATAAGCCCTCACAACACAATAAGTGTTTGGCTCATAGACTTACATACATCTAACTTAGTCCCAACTAAACTAAGAATACCAACATTACACAGTCAACTTGATTGATAGAACTTAACACCCAAAACTATGGACTGGGTGTATATTCCATGAATAATTCGCATATGATGAATATGCTTATGAAATATAATTGTAATTCAACGCTGAATCACCTGTAGTAAATCCACAGCTTCTTCGCTCAAATCAGCACCCACGCCAAATTCTCGACGTCTTAAATCTTCAATAAACTGACGAGGAGATGATGATGATGATAAAGTATCAAGCGTCCCCTTATGCACTACTGACGCTTTATTATAGTCAGCAATACATTGCTTTGTAATAGCAGTACTCTGAAAATTAAAAAATAAAATATACAATAATGAATAGAATAAGATGGAAAACCATAAACAGTACAATGAAACACTTAAGACTCATCCGGTAACCGATTCATACACAAAGCCTAATCCGACAGAAGTGGAGACCTGTATACCAAGTGACTCCGACACTAAAATACAACAAATTCAAATTACACAAGGAATACCAATCTCCATTAGATGAATAGGAAAAAACATCCGACTGATAACTGCTACCACTGACGTGATGGTTGGCAGCTGCATGTCGTAACGCCCCAGTAACCTACACTGGTTAGAAATGATGTTTGTGCAGGTCGTATCATGCCAGAAAGGTTGTTTGGATGGCGGGTAGACTAAAAGCAGTTGGGGATCTGTGGTCAAAGTTGTACTGCTGGGGAATAGGGGTGCACTAGCAATCGGATGTTTCCCTCAAATCCGAGGAATCCAGCTGGTGTTTAGGAAAGGTCGATCCTGAAATCTGCACATCTCACCTTACTTTGCAGCAGTCCATAGGTGGCGGCAAGATCTTGATACGAGCACAACTTCAAAGAATCAATTCAAGCAGTTATCCCTTGGGTTCTGCAGTCACGAAACATTAGTGTGCCTCCAAGAAGAAACCAATTTCCACAGTGTGGGCAGCCTGGGAGACCACAAAGAGTGACAAAGATTTTGAGCCATGAACACAAACAGCTTTTAGGCATTTATGTTCACTATCTCGAGAACCTCAGTCAGACAATATACAGATCTCAAATCAACATCATAGATTGATGCCATAAGTCATTTTGAACCAATCCTATACCATCAAACAGTTTCCGTCAAAATAATAATATACATTTAACAAGTTGAAACAATGAGTCTTTCGTCTTTCTCTATCGAACCAAATCATCCTTTTTATGGGTAGTCTGGAACAAACAAGGCTGAAATCTGCAGTCAGTCAGACCAACTTCTATACCAGGTATGTCGACGACACTTTCGTTATTTGTAATTCTTTTGATGATGCATCTCAAGTACTAAAAGTCTTGAACAGCTCCCATCCTAATATTAAGTTTACAATGGAGCATGAAAAAGAGGAGAAGTTCCATTTTCTTGACCTGGGTATCCAACGAGATATAGACGGCAAAATCATAAGATATGTACACAGAAAAGAGACCTGGAGGGCGGTTTATCTTAACTTCAAAAGTTTCTGCCCTATAAGTTACAAAAAAGGATTGGTGAGAACATTATTTGATTGTGTAAGGAAGCTGTGTTCAGAAAAAAAGATTGAGGAAGAGCTATCCATTGTGGAGAAATGCCTACGCGACAACGGTTACCCACAAAAGTTCATCGACAAGTATGGGAGACGTCATGTTGAAAAAGTGAAAAGCAGCACAATAGAGAAAAAGCCTATCTTTCAGCAGCTTGCATTCAAAGGTGATTATACTGCTAGTAGAATAAGATGCAGACTGAACACTGCCCTGAAAAGAACATATCCAGCCGCCAAGCTTGTATGTGTTTATCAAACAACTAGTTGTTTGAGACAATCAAAAGTGGACAAATACCCACCTCATGTTACCTCCAACTGTGTCTACCAATTTACATGTACGTGCCAAAGCACATACATCGGAAGAACAGAGAGAAGGGTTATTGTCCGCATTTCTGAACACATACCAAAGAACCTGAGACTGAAAGGTCCACAAGTATTAAACAGTGCAATTGCGCGTCATCTATTAGACACTGGTCATAATGTAGACAACTTGAAGTCATTCAAAATAATCAACAAGCAAAAGAAACCTAACTTGCTACGCTTTGCTGAAGCAATTGCTATCAGACGACTTAAACCAAATCTATGTACGCAGAAAGAGACAGTGGTGAATCTTGCACTGCCCTGGTGACAACAAAAAAATATACAACAGCTTGTTTTTGTTTCCAAGCCTAATTGCCTAATTATTCTATAAATATTTATAAACTGTCAAATATTGATCACAGTTCATTTGAATTATTCTATAAATAGTCAGTGTTTGTAACTCTTAATTAGTTAAATCATTCCGGACTAATGTTACTTTTACTTCCTACTAATTACTCCTTGTGATCGTGGAAAAGTATGTTCAAATCTTTAATGTAATGTAATTCATATTTTTCATCGTTCAGGTTGTAACCAGTTGAGAAGAATCCTCGAAATAATAAAAGATGAGCTCATATTATCCTGGTACAATTGTTGTTCTTGCTTTGTTCATCCTTATGAGTTGAAAAATTCGAAAATCACAAGAACAAAGTTAAATAAAATTACTTGATTGTTAACAGAACATAGGAAAGGCATTTCATCACTATTCAGAACTATCCCTATTTACGTATACCAGATCTATCTAGAATAAAATCAATAATTAAGAAAGAAAACTTGCAGCTCACCTCATCATCCACTCCATTATCTAATTCTTCACAGTTTTTAACACTACCCTCTTCAGATGATGACCGCAATAAAGTCTTTTGACACGATGACTCATTACTACCACTAACAGCGTCTTTGCTATGATTAATTTGAAAACGTTTCTCTTCAAAACATTGAATATATGCAGGCCATTTCAACTGATAACCAATATTACCAATAGCTGAGATTAGTAGGATTTCCTGAGTTTGTCGATCCAGTGACGGTGATGACAATGACGATAAAGTGAAACGCTTTGACACTGGTAGAAGAATATCATCAAAGAGAATTTGTAAAAGACTATAAGCAGATGATGGTGAATTCTTCAATGATATATCAGCATTATCTAACGGCCACGACTGAGCTGATCTTATATTGGCTAATTCTAAAGTTGGAATGATTATCTGAAATATAAAAATATATATATGAGAATATAAAAAGCTAATGACTACTTTTAATTGAAAATAAAGTTCTACATTAAATACTCTTCAGGTAGGTTATCTGAGCTCAGTTACCCGGAATAGGTTTTTATAGGTACCAATGCGTTCCAGCTTAGTATTTGGCACAGAAGGGCAGCACTCCAAGTCACCAAGCACCATGTACCACACATTGGATCTTAATATGTGGAGAAGCTCAACTGGGCAATCTACAACTCCCTACAGAGGTAATTCAAAACCAACAGTAAAAACAAATTAGTCAAATGATTCCAGGTTTTGACTTGACCGTTGTACAATTGACTTCGTCAGGCAGCGTTGACCGGGAAGTAATTTGGAAACTACTCAAGTACTACGGCCTACCCCAAATATTCACCAACCTTATTCAACAGCTGTACGACAACGGCACATGTCAAGTAATCCACAACGGAAAACTCAGCGAGGCGTTTGGAGTAAACACATGAGTCAGACAAGGGTGCTTATTATCACCAATGATATTCCTAATCGTGGTGGATTGGATTATACGTCAGACAGTAGGAAACGACAAGACAGGGATATCCTGGACCGACGTGAAGAATCTAGAAGACCTGGATTTCGCGCGTGGATGATTTATGTCTCATGTCACACAAAATCGAAGATTTACAAGCAAAAACCGACAAACTGGTCGAAGAAGCAGCAAAGACAGGACTCCAGGTGAACATATACAAGACGGAGGTTATGAAAATAACCAACCAACAACAACAACAGCAGCAACATCCAGCGCCAATCACCATCAACGGGAGGGATTTGAAAGAGGTTACTCCATTCACTTATCTAGGGAGCATTGTCTCAACTATAGGAGGAATGGACAAGCATGTCAAATCGAGAATCAGGAAGGCGAGAAACACATTCATCAACCTGAAACCAATCTGGAAATCTTCGTTACTCAACATCAACAACAAAATTTGGATTTTCAATACAAACGTCAAGTCAGTCAGTTCTTCTATACGGATCAGAAACTTGGTGGGTCACAAAGAATATTTCCAACAGCATGTTGCAGACGTTTATCAACAACTGTCTTCGCTCTATACTGAAGATCAGATGGCCGGAAAGAATCACAAACAAGAAGCTATGGGAACAAACAAATCAGGAACCAATCGCCCAACAAATATGCAGGAGAAAGTGGAGATGGATTGGACACTCGCTGAGGAGGCCGTTGGATGACATCGCGCTTCAGGCCCTCAAGTGGAACCCAAAATGGAAGCGGTGAGTGGGACGTCCAAGGGTGACATGGGGGAGATCGTGTGAACAGGAACTGAAACAGTATGGATTAACATGGATGCAAGTGGAAAATACAGCAGATGACAGAAGCAAGTGGAGGCGTGCAGTTGAAGCCCTATGTTCTACTAGGAACCCAAAGAACAATAATAATAATGCTACGTTCCAGCCTAGTATTTGGCACAGAAGTGCAGCACTCCAAGTCACCAAGCTCCATGTAACACACATTGGATATAAATACCTGGAGAAGCTCAACCGGGCAATCTACACCTCCCTACAGAGGTAATTCAAACCAACAGTCAAAACAAATTAGTGAAATGATTCCAGGTTTTGGCTTGACCACCCTTAACTCTATTACAACCTAATCTTATGTTAGGTAACATTGGTCAGAGACGAATACGGTGGTTCGGCATGAGCAACACGTGTCCTAGCCACCTCAATCAATGCAGTTTCACAACCTTATCGATTGACTTCCCATCCTTACCTAACACTGTACGCCTAACCTCTAATATTACTTTGAATTACTTGTACGGTACTCTGAAGGATTCGACAATGCACAAGTGATTATATGTCACATATCATACGTATACCAACTTACATATATGTGTGTGTGTCATTACACACATTATTACAGAAAGTTTGGAAGGAAAGGTACCTACCTACCGATTCGGAGAAAGGCTACCTTATCAAACTACCAAAAAGGCACGAGTGAAGCCTTTACAAAAACTCATGCGGAATCTCCGTCTTGTCCATGCCAAACGAAATATTAAATCGCATCATTCTGGAGAGATTGAAATAAACTGTGAGTGCAAAACCCTGTGTGGAATAAGGTGCATTCAGTAAAAGCAATTCATGTGCAGATCAAATCGCATCATTATGGAACAGATTACGGAATGGCAGTCAAATCTTCACTTAAATTTCATCGACTTTGAGAAAGCCTTAGACAGCTTTGACTGTGAAATAATTTGGAAACTGCTTCAACTCTACGAAGTGCCCTAAACCTTCATCAAACTCATTCAACAGTATATATATATATATATATATATATAAATTGGAGAGAACTAAGAAGAAACCTTCGGTATACAGAAAAATCAACCAATCACTGAAAGGTAACCTACAAGACACCCAATCACCATTCACATGTCAGTCACACACCCACGCATTCGCACAGCACAACCAATCAGTTTCAACACAAGAATAAAAATAGTAGCAATAAATAAATGTTCTCAAGAGATATCAGTCGGAATTATCTCCAACCTACCCTGATAAAAAAACCACTAGGAAGACGAATTTATCAAAAATCAATACGTGAACTGTTTACACAGACAAAAAAATATCAACTATTTAGAAAACTTACAGATGAAAATACTAATCCAGACAAACTAAACGGTAGACTGATCAAAAGACAGTGAACTAAGTAAATCCACTGATCTGAATCTACAGAAGACAAAGGTAATAAATTTACAAGTTAATCACTGTACATACACACATCATTACCTGTGTCAGCAGTAGTACTAGTAGTCAGATTCTCTTTAAGAATTGAACAAACTTGTTCAACAGACAAACTGTTAGCATTGATTGCAGTACCAATTAGATAATCACACAGGAGATTAATCGCCGGTTGAGTGCAATTCAACTGCCATTGTTTAAATGCATATGACACATCGTCCGGTGAAGGATGCGCAGTAAGGCGTAACAGTTGGCCACCACTTTCAACACCAGCAGAACCATATGGTGGTAACAGACGGATAGCAAATAGATTAAATTGATTACAAACTAAAACAAAGGATTCAAATGGAAGAATAATACAGTTTTGTTATGTAAGTAATATATTAGTTGTGGTACGATGCAAATGATATTATGGTTATAAAACTCTGTACACTACTGATTTTTTAACATGAATGGATGGACACCATGAACATCGCAACCAGCCAGACGACTAGCCAACATCAGGTAACCGTTTAACTAGTTTGAAGCAGAGTCCATCAGCCGTTTTCCATTTTGCCTCAGATCAGAGAGTTGAAACAGTTCAAACCACCCAATTTCTGACTGTGGCCCAACTGGTCTAGTGAATGACGCTCTGGCGTTTGAAACTATGGGCACTGGGTTCAACCTCTCTGTGGGAACACCACCACTGGCTCACTGGGGAATTCAGGTATATCCAGCTAACTAGTGCAAAATAGGACGAAATGCGCACCCTGGATTCCACTGCTAGTCACCATCCACCGATTAGCTTCTAATTAGTCTACCAGTGTGTCGGTGGCACAGTGGTTAGGACGCTCGCCAACCATGCACATGGTCCAGGGTTCGATTCCCGGTCGACGCACTCCTTTACCTCACTAAGCCAGTAATAAGACTGGTAAAGAGGTGACGTTGGGCATGGGGTTAGCAACCCCACACTGTAAAAATAAACACTAATACAGAAACTTCAAGTCTCCAGCTTGAATTCCTGTTCCACCGGGAACGTGAAGGAATAAAAAAAAGAATTCTGAGTAGCTACTTAGGGAAGCTGATAATACGCTAAGTCCCGTTCGTAGTCTGCAAGTTAATTTGCAGATTACATATAGTGATCTGAATAATATCGGTTTCTACAGTAAACCATGGTGAAATTTTACCATGAACTATGAAAATTGCAAATTACAAATATGATTCAATCTATTACCAGTACATGCATGTAGCTACACAGAATGCCAATAGTTTGGACTGATTCCTTTCCCTAAGCTAAGTCAAATCGAGTTCACTGTTGATGATGATCTCGGCCCTAAAACGAACTGAACTGCCGTCTAGCGCTCATATCACTTTGATCAGTCTGGCTAGGAAGCACTATTGAGTCATGTGAGTAGTGCCCAACTATTCATGTCAAACAATGAGTAGTACACAATATAATGAATCTATACCTCCTTACATTGACTGTTATATAACATAAGACACTTTGTTTTATGCAGAAAGTAAAAACAACACAAGTAGTCCAGCGAAGAGACTCTTTCCCGCTGAGGCGTACGCTACTGATAAGATTTATCAGTAGTATACACATATAAAAACATGAAGAGATGTTCATCGGCATAAAAACATCATAGATTAAGGAGATACATTTGATGTCAGAGAAAGCAAACAATACAGTGTTGCGGAGATATATGGGAGACGTGAAAGGAACACAAAGAAATACACGCAATATGAAGGAAAGCCAGAAGCAGCACAAAATGGAAGATCCGTGCAAATAGTGTGTTGAAGATAAGGTGTACATAATTTGGCTATACAGAGATACAAGGTCTTTCATCTTCCACCGTTACGCGGTGGATTCATTTTCCTCTTTAGCTGTACAATCGAATTTACATACAATCTCCTTTTGTCATGAAAGAGAGTAGTAACAAAAGTGACAAGTTGTCACAAACAGTTGTTAATATTAGTGAATGCGTGAAAGAAGTTGAATAAGTGTATTAGAGTTACGTATTCAGATGAATAATCTAATACATGAGTTGTAATCAGGATGCATATAAAAACGAAGGCAAATATAAAATTATGTAAGAGTTCTGAAAGAATACAAGAGTTATAAGGAGTTCGAAAAACAAGGCTGTTTGTTTGCCTTTGCAGATTGCTTTGAAGGAGGCGTTTGTTGATATGGAATGACCAGTGTTGACGAGGTATTCGATTATCGCACTCCTTATACAGCCATTACTACCTTTTTGAAACCATGCGGAATAGTGCTCGAGAACCCTTTTAGACAGGATACACGTCGAAAGACCAGTGTACCTGGCTCCACAGCAACAGGTAAACTGATATACACATATAGAAGTGGTCAGATGCGAGATCTTGTCCTTTGAGCTTTAGCAGATATATGCCTATGAACCTAGGCGGAAAACCATTTTCCATCAGGGTTCCTCGGAGATTCTTCGTCAATTACTTCCTCGCAATATCCAATAGACAAATTTCTATGGAGTTAAATTCGAATTTACTGTTTAAAAGATTTATGTTGTACGAAAACTCTCAGTCTTTACCAACATGTTATCTTCAAGTACGGACGCTTTCATGATGTCTGAAGATTAATGTGATGTGATTATTGTTTAATGGGGTGACTAGTAGCAGAATCCACCAGGCGCATTTCATCCTATCTTGGACTCTACATTTGGACGTACCTGCATTTCTACCGGGTAGTGTTGTAATAATTGCCTAAATAAATTATGATTTGTATTCACACACGCACAAACACAGAAAAGATGTCACTAACCTTGATCTGTGCCACATTCGTTGAGAAATGATTCCAAAGTGCCCCAACGATCTAAGAGTAAACCGTTCAGTTGACACCATTGACACCATACTTTCAGATCTTCTAATGAAGGACATGCTGACAATAGTTGGAGTACGCAGTCTCGTTGAGTTAACAAATGAGAAGAAATAACATCACACGATGACGACGATGTCGATTGGTAATCAATCGATTGATGGGGATTTATGAAAATACCCTGCAAATTGATAAAATCACTACGACAAAAAAAAGAAAAAGAAAAACAATGAGCTTAAAACTAATATTGTAACGACAGAAGACAACGGCCAGACAACAGGTTGTTTATAGAGAAAATCAAGAGGTATTTATAGATTTTTATGTGCACTATTATTATTAGCGTTATTGTTAGCGGATAAGCAACCTCTTCTGATTGGTTGTTATCTTGCTGAAGGCTATTCTGTTATCTCTTTGAGGTCGTTTCTCAGAAAATTAAGCCATACATCTGTGAATCATATTTCTACACTTTAACTCCACTGTGATTGGCTGGTGAATTTCTCAAGGTTAAGCTTTGTTATTGTTTTCCTCATGACCCTGATTCGAGACGTAAAAATTGACGTAAATTGTTGTCTACATTTTTTGGCTTTCAGTCAGCTCTCATCACAATATCATCGATTACAAAACGTGTAAAGCCCCCATAAATTCCCTGATACGGCTGAAAGTAGGTAGACTTCGGCTTTCTTTGAGAAATGCTCTCACGTGGCCACGAGTTCATAGACTCTGACAGGTAAATCCTATTCACTACCTTCAGAGGTAGGCGGTGTTCCTCACAAGAGTGAGAGGGTGAATGAGAATGTTTGGTGCTTACAAGCAGATTGGTGGACATGAAAGTCTACTCATGGGACCTGTAAAATCCTGATTTCAAACCTATGGTGTACGCGGGTTCCAGATTCCTAAAGGGCTAAATGACCTTATGAAGCTGTTTTGGTCACAGGAAACCATGAGAACATGACTCAAGTCAAAAGCTTGGTTGCGGGTGGTCCCCTAAGACAACCACCTGCTTCGGTCTGAAGGTTTGGGAAGAGTATCACAGCCCTTACACAAACTGAGGTTTCGTGTGGTGAATCTCTTGTGATTACTTTACGGAACCAAACCTCGAGCGTTTGACTTAAAGTCAGGTCCATATGACAACAGAGCAGAATCAGGAACTGCGTTTCCATGATTACCAGTAGTTAAAATAGGGTCGTAGAGCATTTGTTCCTTTCGGATTTTGGAGCCCTTGTACACTACAAGTTTGGATTCAGGGTTCTCCGACTCTTCTAAACGGACATCCATGTACACTATCTCGGGGATAAGCGCTGGACATTCAAATTTACCCTCTTACTTTTGTTAGAACCTCTTCCACCACTGCATGGAGATACTAAAGGGGACTTACATGACAGAGGTTATAAACTCATAGAAATATGGGAGCATTTCGGGAAGAAGTTTGGTGTCTATCCAGCCCCGAGCTGTATCAGGTTATTTTTTGAAGGTCAATATATACAATCAACACATGTGGATTATACTGGTGATCATAATGTGGGAATTATAACTCAACGACATCACTACTTGACTCTCAATAAACGGGATAGTGAGGTTAAACATCGAGTCACCTATTTCGAATTGAATAACCGGAGATAATACTGAGTATATTGTCAATAATTGAACATGAAATCCCAAATCCTAGTTTAAACTCAATTACCTGTAACAAATGTTTGATATGCTAAGTGAGCTATAAGTCACACATATTGTGCATGAGAGGAGACAGAGCTGAAACAAGCGGAGTCGACGCTGGACCTGGATTCGGTAGACTAACAGTTGAATGCTTCTGCCAAACAACCACACTCTAACTAGTTAAGAAGTAATGGACTTCTACAGCGAAGCACACCTATTCCATCTAGGACTGTATTATTAACTTCTAGTTCGCTCATCTAGTGTGACTGCAGCACAAAAAACAACTTTCTTGTGACAATTCAACCAAAAGCCATACTCGAATCTAACTGTTGACAAATACGTAACCATTATCTGAATTCAAATGAAGATTTCAACACGAACCGACATAGCTGAAATAGGGCGTTATAGACCAGAAAAAAAAACAGGACGACTAATCTGTCTACTTCACACCCACTAAATATAAAGAATCTATACAGCACAATCTCAAACATATCATAGTCTGTGTATTCAACAAGGTTTCAATCAAAACCCTGCAAGGCTAGCTCAAATCAATTATCAAAGACTTCGAGGATACATGCTTGGTTTTGATTTGACGACACACACACCCATAACTCTTTTCTAACCTAATCCTATGTCAGCTAACATTGTTCGACGAGGAAGGCGATGGCTCGACACATGAGTAACACCTGTCTTAGCCATCTCAATCGATATAGCTTTCTCTCCTTACCTGGCAGTCTACGCCAAATCTCAATATTATTCACTATGTTAAACCACTTCGCTTCACCTTCCACTTTCAATGGTCATGGTCTCACAGCCATAAAGAAGTATAAAGTCAAAAATTCGCTAAGCGTATTAATTTAAAGAAAAAGAGCATCATAGAAATGCATATTAATAATTAACTTACTGATAAATTAACGCCTTCTGTTGATGCCTGTTTAACTCATCACTAGTGATTAGTTTAGGTAAAATAGATGTGATGAAATTATCTAATTTTGTAGAAGGGATAATATCCTGTAGATTTTCACACACAAGTTTGCATACTTCCTAAAATGTTTGAAAAAAAATCAAAGTAATAATTCCAATACTAAGAATAATAATAATAACCGTCATGTGGTGTGTAGTGGTTATCATTCTGGATCATTCTGAACCCAGTGACACAAGTTCGAGTCTCGACAAGGCCTCGGGCCAAGCACTTAATCTCGACTAGTTTCTTAGTTCACCAGCCGATCCTAAGCTTTGAAAAGGAGAACAGGTTTGACAAAGAACTAATAACCCTACCACGAAAGTGAATCCCAATTACCCACCATTACATCAATAATAGTGACGAATCAACGCACATGTTAATCCATAAAAGCTCTATATGTGATCAATGGTGAGCTCGAATACAGCAGCATTTGAGTGAAGCTACGCTTTGCTGACAAGTACCAACCCAATCCTAAGTCAGCTGACACGACTTGGCCTGTGCAACACGTAACACCTAGTCATCTCAATCGGTGTATTTTCACAACCTCATCGATTGACTTGCCCTCCACACCAAGCACTCTGACTACAGACGTTGGTGTCCTATCTGCCGTGTTGTGGTATAATATGGTGAGTCGTATTGAGATTAGGTGTTAAGACAGCCAGACTTTACCTATCTTCGACCTACAATGGTCATGTCTTACAGCCATAGAGAAAGATATAAGGAATTAATACGCAGTATACAAGTCCTTTGATAGATAGCCGGATATAATGCCCACATCAAAAAAAATAATGTACATACCGAACTAGCCTTTTGTATCCATCATAAGACTCTGTCATCAATCAGTAGATTGGGGTCGACGCAAGCTCATAAAGAAGTAAAGTGGTCAACACGTTCTACCCTCTCACTCCCTATCTTTAAGCTAGGAGTAAGTGTAGTCCAGCCGTGCAGTATCATCTTATATATGACAGGGGTAAATCGTATGCAAAACATACTAAGATCACTTTGACTGGACGCTAGTCTGTAAGTAGCTAATGTCATGCGTCTAATTGTTGCTGTTTGGTGTAGACTGAATTCTAACAGTCATCACGATACACTCTAAAAGGGTTGTCAATAGATAGATAGTTGGAGGTAATCAGCAGGAAGCCTTGGACCTGAGTTTCGTGCTAGTTGGTTATATCTCATCAATAAGGCAAACTTGGCTGACTATGTCGATGTCAGTTGAGCAAACTACCATCCGCACAGATAAAAATATTTTTTAAAAATTACACAGTATGAAACTATACAACTTACATCTTTGCTTCGTAGTGAAATACAGCTTAATTTCTGTATAAATTGTAAAATTATATGAGGATTAAAGTTTTCTATTGAATGCATTTCATCGACTTCAGTGGACAAATTATTAATCTCTTTTTCATATTGATATAAGTTCCCTTCACTGTGAATATTTGATGCGTGTACCAACATCTAAAATAAGAAGAAGAAGAAGAAAGTATGATAGGTATAATCTAATAGTAATACAACGAGATTCATATTTATCATTAGAATTGGCCCTATTCAGCCAGGCAGTTAACCTCGGGTTCTAGTGGGAAATCGTGACCAGTAAAGTACAGCAGGTTGAAGGTGAGGCAGTAACTCATCGAAAAAGACATTGCAAAGTGGTCGTGCTATTGGCAGAAGTTGAAATTCATGGTTTGTTTGTTTGTCTGTTTCCGACATAGAACTTTGCACCGATGTGCAGCAGTTCAAGTCGCCACACTCCCTCCTTGTAGCACACAAAAGCAAGAGAAGAAAGTACAAGAAATGCATAATAGAGACAGTAGACAGGGATATGAGAAAAAAGGAATAGTGATAACGAAGAACAATATAGTTTCATTGGAAATTTTAACTCACAAGGAGTGGATGCATCTGCGCAATTGAGAACGATTTTGAGCCATATCACCGATTGTTTCCAGCCATTGGTGTTTACCGTCCCGAGGACCCGAACCAGTCAGGAAGTCTACACCTTACTACGTGGCTGGCTTAAACGAACTGTTGTGCATTTCATTGACTGATGGAGCCATGTTTTGGTTTGACTGCCGCTAGCTCTTTTCCACTCTGGCCCACTGTATGTCAGCTAACATTGCCCATTGTCAAGGAAGGCGATGACTAGGCATACGTAACACATGTCCTAACCATCTCAATCGGTGTAACTTCACAGCCTCGTCGATTGATTTCCCCTCCTTACCTAGCACTCTACAGAAGCTTAACCTCAATATTGCTCACCATATTATACAACTTCACAAGGGAGATAGAACGCAGGCACCTATGATCAAAGACAGCCAGTCTTTTCATGTCTTCCGCTCTCTATGACTAGGTCTCACAGATAACAGGTAAGAGAACTGAAGGGGTTACGAAAATATTATTATTATGTAAAATAAATGTTGGTTCTTAAATCGGATGTCCAATGTAGGTTCAAAGCAGGAATAAATAATTATTGAACACATAAACATAAAGTTTAAGCGGTCTTACGGCTAAGACCACCTTTTTTCCTACCTCAATTTCCTACCCCTGATTATATTAATCTGTGATCATGACCCGTAAACATTTTGACCTATATTGATAAAAATAATGATCCTTTATGCTCTGCTGCCTTCGTATACAAATATGTATGGTAAGTACCAGTGTGTGTGTGATCAGTATATCCGAAATGTATTACGCAAATAAATTACGCAATTCAGACAAAGTTCGCCTTCTTATCGTTTTGTCAAAACTCATATAGGTAACCAGTTACTTTAATTAAGTCGGATTGAATATTCTCCTCGTGTAGAACTGTAGCAGTTCAAGTTGTCGTACTGCATAAACTAAACAATCGCTTCTTTTATCCCCTACATTTCGAGTGGAATATAAGGCTTCTAGCTTATAAACTTTTCAGGAAAACGGTGCTGATTTTTACAGAGTGGAGTTCCTTACCTCACACCCAACCTTCTCCGATTTCCGTGCTTACTACTATCGCATAGGCAAGGTTTAGGAGTACGTCCGGCAGGAATCGAAAGTCGGACCACATGCATGGTTAGTGACGGCGGAGGGAGAGGATTCTACCGCTGAACTACTGGCACATTTATTTTTTAATGTTTTAATTTAATCCTTTACGTTCCAAGTGGAAGCTAGAGGGTTGAAGTTTCGATAACAGTGGTGATTATTTTTACAGCATGGAGTTGCTAGTCTCATGCCCAACTTTCCCCATTTAACAGTCTTATTACTGGCTTAGCGAGGTAAAGCAGTGTGTCGGCCGGGGATCGAACCCCGTACCACCTATGGCGTGGTTGGCGAGCATTCTATCGCTGTGCTACTGACACACTGACGCATTTAACCGACACTAATCAAGTGAAAAAGCCCACAAAACACACTTGAGCAAACAATATTTAATTTGGATGGAGGATTACATCATGAGGTGACATCAGTTATATAACCACTGGAAAACTTGGGAGTACTGGACAGGTGTTTCGTCCCAGTTTGGGGCTCTTCATCAGTACGCACCCACCGATTGGCCCTATTCAGGCAGCTAACCTGGAGTTCTAGTGAGGTAAGCCGTGACCAGTAGGATGCAGCAAGTTGAAGGTGAGGCAATAGCTCATCAAAGAAGACATTGCGAAGTGGTTGAGATATATCGCGGATTGGCAGAAGTAAGAATTCATGGGCTGGCCATTGGATCGGGTCCCAGCTGCTTAATGGTCTACGAGCTCGCCAGTCTTATAACCAGAAGGTCCTGGAGTCGAACCCTATCGGTGGGCGCGTACTGATGAAGAATCCCAAACTAGGACGAAACAGCTGTCCAGTACTCCCAGGTTTTCTAGTGGTTCTCTGACTGATGTCAGCTCAGGATGAAATCCTCCATCCAAACAAACAAAATCCCTGCAAAACCAATATTGAAAATATTTAATTTATCAAATCTGCATTGCACTTACATTCTTGTCTACTGCTTCAGATAAATAACTTAATAGAGTTTTAATGACGGGTTGTTTCTTATTATTTTCTTTATTAGCACCATCATTGTTTCCCAATAATTCTTCTTCCAAGGTAGCAAGTAATGTCCAAATACTTTTACTACTTTGCATCTCCTGTTCAATATATTCATGCAATAATTGGTTGACTCGATTTGTAATCAATGTCAATTCAGAAGTATCTGAAAACAAACCACAGGAAAAGGATATATATATATATACTAAAGGGTGCCTCCAAAGCCTCAGGATGGTCGGGGGTGGGTACCTTGCGCTGCGGGTTGGCCACCCTTCCGCACACCTCTTGAAATGCTCCCATATGACCGGGCGTCTTACATAGCCTCTCCTGAGGAAGTCCTACTCGCTGCCTTCACGTGGCGGAGGTGTTTTTCACCAAAGTGAGAGGGCGAAAGCGGATGCCCGGCGCTCTTCACCGGGTTGACTGTCCATTGGATGACAGTCTAGGGGAGATGGCTAAACCCTGATTCCAAACCTCCAACGACTGGTGTATGAAGCTCACTGGAGCTCACCGGCAGACGTATGGACAAAGGGCTTGTTGGATGTCCTGGATGTCTGGCCCCATTCAAAAAGGCGTATGAACCGAGCTCCGGTCACCGGCTGCCAATGGATAGTGGACTCCCTACTCCACTCCTACTGCCTTGTAGGTCACACTTGGTTGTGTAAAGACTAGAGCTGCACTCTCAAACAAAAGGCCGAGCGATTCTGGGGACATCACTCGTACCAAATTCCCATGAAACTTCATGAACTCTCTCCAACAACGTCGCCTTCAGTGGTTTGGCCATGTTCTGCGCCACCCAGATGACGATCTGGTCAAATCAGTTCTAAATCCCTTGCCATTACCATCTTGGCGATGCCGCAGGAGTGGACAGCTGAAAACATGGCTTGGTACAGTCAAGGCTGATATGGAGTGCCTGGGGCTACAAACCGTCTACGGACTCCGTCTGTGGAACAAGAATTGGATAACGCTGTCGCAAAACCTTGCATTAGATCGCCGCGCCTGGGCAGCGATGGTTCGAGATGTTCATGAAGCCGGCTCATCCTCCCGTAGGGGATAGCCGAAGTAAAGTAAAAGTAAAGTATACTGAAGGGTGTTCTAAAGACTCTGATCTAGTTATATCTTGGTGAACTTACATCAAAGCTGAACATTAGTAAGGGAAGTTGAGATGAGAGTCAATTGTATATTAATAATGCATTAACCAAGAAAGTTACTGAAATAGTACACACATAACTTGAGAGTCTTAAACAATGATTAATTTTCAACTGTCATTCTTGTAGACAAGCCCAGTCCCCTAACTTCGTATTGCTTATTGAGACTGAAGTCCCCCTCAGGGTGTTGCTTCCTTTCCCCTCCTTCGGATGAAATCAGTTTTGTTAAACACGCTGATAATCTGACTGTCTCACTGCCAGATACGTCCCGATCTGACTGTCCCAAAATTAATAACGTCAGCCGAGGGTGTAAAGTAAATGATCTTATATTAAATCCTTCTAAAAATTAGATAGTTAACTTCACCTTGAGGCATCAACGTGATCTACACAAACTGGTTTATTTACGAGATACTTGTAGCATAAAGGGCATTGAAATAGAACCCAAATCAAGCATAAAATACCTTGAAATAGTTCTCTTCTCCCACCTTTCTTGGTCATCCCATATCTTGTCGGTTTCCAAGGAAATGTTCCCTCTAGCCTACTACATTAAGATATTAAGACAATCAGGAATCACTCAAACTCTACTTTTACAACTTGTTAACTCTTACATCTTACCTATTATTCTTTATTGCTCCCCCTTAGTCTCTCCTGGGTTACTCAAAAAGGACTACATCATATTGCGAATGGTGTTAAAGGTTTTCAGCAGGGTAAGTTGTGTGCCACTTAGTCAGCTCGTTACTATCATATTCAAAAGTCATCTGAGAAATGGTCTAAATTCATGTTGTCTGACCCGTCTATATTCACAACTCTCCCTGCCTTGCATCTCTCCAGGTAGGAGTAGAAGTCATTAAAAAAGATCATATGCTCTCTCACACAGCCAAGTACAGAAAATCAACGATGCTTTATTTGGCCCGCCTGCGTTCTATGTGATACAGATAGTGTACAGTCTGAAACCTACAATTTACTATGTCATTAGCAAAAAAAATAAGGGAGTATATTTGAAATCTATAGTGACACTGTGGTGAGAGCTGTCTGCAGCCAGCCCCAAGCCCAAGTAAAGAGGGAGGGTTGGTTGTGGAGCTAGCAACCCTACACACCACAAAAGCTATCAAACTGCTAGAGAAACTTCAGTGCCCAAAAAATAACAAAACAATAGTTGAAAAATATATCCACATAGCTTACCATCAGTACAGTCTTTATGATTATCATCGCCATTATCTGAATCACCGGTCAAATCAATTACATTCGATGATGATGATGAAGAAGTATGAATAGACGATAAAAGCTGGCTGACTAAATCTGTTAGCTTCAATGAACTTGTATCACAAACCATAATCAGCATACAAAATATTCTACATAATGCCTTAGAAAAAAATCAATAAAAGACAACAGAAATTAAGATAATTAGTACAGTAAAGTAATTATATATATATATATATATATATATCCTGGCTCAAAATGCATCACCCGACACGTTTCATGAAGAGAAATATGATACCAAAGCTAAAAAGAGAAGAATGCACTTCAGTAAAGAACTAGCTGCAGATATCCTTAAAAGAGGGGAATCTCCAGTTCTCTGGAAAAGATCGTTTCTGCAGCAATTCTAGGAGTGATATTCACTAGTCGCCCACTGCTTCTAGGCAGCGTGAAAGACAAACTTCCGCATATAACCACTCCAACGTGCATGAGTGAACACCTCGTCAACTCCTGTTACAGCCTCTCAACTGACTCATCCATCATTCAGAGTCATTTACAAAGTAAACCAAAATCGACTAAAGTAAGTGTGTTTCCGACTTCTCTGTACTGCAGAAGCCCTCACCATATGAATTGAAAAGCTGGAGCTATGTGTTCAAAAGAAACTAGTCCAACCTCTATATTTTGTCATGGATCTATTTCGGTTTGACTCCTTAGTTTTGAGTCCTTGTTTTTCCATTCCCTTCATTTTTTTATTTTCAGTTATCAAGACTTATTATCTCAGTTTGTTTGCATGCTCATTCTGTGTATTTTTTTGTTTATAAGCCCCTTTTGTAATCCATATCCACACCTTGAAACTTTCATATCAAGTTGAAAATTATTATCACACCTTTGATCACCGAAAAGACAGTTGTCTTTGCTGAACTTTTTGTTCTTCTCTTTCAAACGTCCTGATGGGTATGATCAACGATTTGAAAATCAGTTTATAGTGAATTGGCACAAGTTGGAATTTATAGGTCATTTTGGATCGATTCTCAGTAGTTGAGTGGTCTACGAATACTCCTGGTCACTGGAAGATCTTGGATTCGAACCCCAGTGGGCACGTTCTAATGAAGAGCCCCAGGATAGGACGAAACAGCTGTCCAGTATTCCTTACTGGTTTTCTAATGGTTCTCTAACTAATTTCAGCTCGTAATCAAATCTGTATACATATATATATAGATATATATATATAAAACAACAGAACAAAGATATCTTACTTACCTCAAGGGGAACAACATTATCAATAAACTCAGAAAATACTAACAATGTGTTTAAATGATTTTTAGGCCATTTAACATACACAGGATATTCAAATTATTCATATTTGTCAGTACAGCATGCAGTCTTAGCGTAAGTTTCTTTAAACCTTTTAGAATAATATTTGGTTTTCTTGGATAACAACGGCCTAAAATATGAAAATACAATATTTGAAAAAAAAAAACAACACAGGAATAAGAAGGAAATATTACAAACCATTAAATAAATACTTAGCTAGTTTAGTCAGTAGACAATGAAACTCTCAGTCATAAGGTCCCTAGGTTCGAATCCGACATCGACCCACCGCGCACTGGGTTCGGGGATCGATTTTTAGCCACCGACGCACTCCTAAACCTCTTTCAGCCGCTAGAAAGCCCGGTAATGAAGTATGCTTTGGCATGAGGCTAGCAACCCAACCCTCGTGAAAAAAGAGAACATTGGCGCTACTGAACCTTCAAAGATAAAGCTTCAAGCGCTATTTGGCAGCCGGAACGCAAATGTTCCGAGTAGAACATATGGCTTCAAGCTTTACTAGGTGAGACTGCTTAGTCTCACGCTTAACCAACCTTCTTTTCAGGACTAATCATCAGCTGGGTAGTTCAGTAGCACGTCAGCTGGAAGTTGATACTTGACCACGTACACGTGTGGGTGGCAAGCTAACTAAAATACTCAGTGAATTCAAAAACAAAGAAACTTTTTGGTTAATACTCAGATTGTTTGCATCTGGTGAAAGCACACAAAAAATAACAGTCTTCATTTCACTTTGCAAACACTGTTGTGACAATTTTATCTAAGTTCAGGAGGCAGTTTGTTACGTAATTACCGCTTTTTTTGCACAGTTGATATTTTCCTGGTCGATATGTTAGATTTATTTTATTACCATTATAAGTATTATTACTATTAGTCCCATTGGGTTCCTCGTGGAACATAGGAAACTTTAGCAGCATATTACCATTTCACACTCCTCTCTGATGTCCTCTTTTTTTAGCTGGCTTCACAATTGCCCAGAAGCTTTCATTCCCTATTCATCCTTGACCCAACGGCACAACTCCCTGTTTCTTACCTGAATTCCACTTGAGGGTTTACATGAAGTGTAAAGTCATTCAACAGTCTTCTCAGTGTTTATCCATTTCTTCTCATATATTTGTTGAGTGATAGGTACCTGGTTGGTTCGTTGAAAAAGTTTATGGGGGTTAATCTCTTTTGACCACTTGTGGTTCAATATCAACCGAAGGCATATATATATATATATTCATAGTAGACTGTGAGGGTTGGCTGGATTCAACATAGAACTTGGCACCGAAGTGCAGCAGTTCGAGTTGCCACGTTCCAAATAGCACACAAAGGTAGACAAGAAAATGAGTGAAGAGAATCAATGGAGTTTTGATAAGTATAAGAGTGAAACAGAATGAGTAATGGTAGAAAGGAATATGAAAGATTACAGAGACTGAATACATCTGCGCCATTGACAACGATTTTGAGCCATGTCACCTATTGTCTCCAGTTATTGATTCTTAGAGTACCGAGGGCCCCGACCAGGAAGTCTGCATCTCCCTACCTGACTCAATTTAACTGTCAAGGATTTCATGGATTGATGAGGCCATGTTTTTGTTTGGCCACCGCTTACTCTTTTCCAACCTGCACCTGTGAGGGGCGAGAAGACGGGAATACTTTAGACTCATAAGAAGACTCTAGAAGCTCTGGACTTCGCAGATGTCCAGTGCCACATAAACTCGAAGACCAACAGGCGAAAACCAACATGCTGGCAGAAGTAGTAGCAAAGACAAGACTTTAACTGAACACACAGAAGACAGATGTGATGAAGATAACCAATCAACCAACAACACCAATCCCTATCAACGAAAGACATCTGGACAAGGTCACTTCCTTCACTTACTTGAGCAGTGTTATTTTAACTTCACAAGTGGCACATACGAGGAAGTCGAAACCAGAATCAGGAAAGTAATAAAACAGACCACAACATATTCTGAAATCAGTGTGGAAATCGTCTGCACTCCACAGAGTAAAGTAAAAAAAATTAAGATTTCGAACACCACTGTTAACTCAGTTCTTCTATACATGGGTTAAAAAAAACTTTGCTCACGACGAGCCAGCGAAAAGCAGTTCCAACAGGCTACTGCCGACTTCCAAAAAAAGCTGTTCCCTTCATTCCCTACTGCAGATCAGATGGTCAAAGTGAATTAACAATAAGAAATTATGAGAACAAACCAATCATGAACCTATTGTTCAATAAATATGCCAAAGGAAATGGGGACAGGATCGGGGACACACTGAGATCATTGGGTGACACTTCGTACCAGACCCTCGAGTAGAACGCTAATGGTAGCAGAAGAGTTAGGCGTTCAACGGTGACAATGAGAAGATCATGTGAGACAAAAGCTTATGGGCAATCATGAAGCTAGTTGACGACGACTTCAGAGGATAGGAGAAAACGAAAGTGTGCTGTTGAAGCCCTATGCTCGATTCACTGAGTTCCAAGTGGAGCATAAGGCTTCAATCTTTGAAGTTCTAGTAGCTCTAGTGTTGTTTTTACCTGATTAAATCACTAGCCTCAGACCCAACATTCTCTGTTTATCAGGCTTACTATTAGTTAGTAAAAAATAAACTAGGCAAGATGTAGCAGTGCATCGGGTCGGCTGGCAGTTCAACCCTGATATCACGAATGGTTGGAGAGTATTCTAACATTGAACCACTTTAAGCGCATATATATATATATAATAGCCAAATAGATAGCAGCTAACCTAAGTAAGTTTTCTTTGAGCAATCTTGAATTGTACTCCATATTTCGTTTATTCTATTTCTTATCTTTTCTTGGGCTGCTGTTGATACACGAAGAATATTTTCTTGTTGTTTCTTCTTTTGAAGAGCCTATACGGTAAAGGGAAATTGTAAAAGATATTAAAAGAATACTAACAATAATAATCATCAGTTGAATTGGAGAAGGATGATTTTCTGTCTGTTGAACTGATTTCTGTCATTTTACAAGAATAAACTGATCAATCCCTGTTAGCACTGAAGCAATATTGTCTAGAAGGATAGTAAAAAGCTTAACCGATTAAAAACCCTTCAGCACGGAGGACAACACAAAAACATGTCGTTGATTCAATGGTGGAATGCTTGCTAGGCATGCAGGAGGCGAGGATTTGACATTTCCCACACGATGTACTCCTAAACTCCACTAAGCCAGTAATAAGCTTGAAAAAGAGGGAAGGATGCGGTGAGATGCTAATAACTCCAACCTCGTAAAAAGTAAACAACATCATCACTGTTGAATCTTTATGTTTCACTCGGAACGCAATAATAGTCAGATTTAAAATGATTCTAAAGTATAATGAACATATTCAAGGCATTTCCAACCAGTTACAAAAAACTCTCATGAATATTTGGCCTTACTGGAGAGTAGAGGCAGAAGTTGACCGATCAGAAAGGATAAAAAACAACTGTAGTGTTTATGAGTTAATCAAACATCCACCAATCAAGTGAGAATATTGAGGGCCCGCAATAAAGGCTTTATTCGTTTTATAATTCCAGTATAGAATCTGGTTTAAACAAAAATGAAAGATGTGAATAGTGTATAATATAAATGCTAAACGTTTATGAAGATGTTCACACCACATTCTTCTCCCCTTTTGTTTGAGAATACAGAGCATAAGGAGTCAAGACTTTTAAAGTTGTTTAGACTTCGCGGCTTCTCAGATTGTATGGACGAACCCTTCGTTGTTTCTCTAGTAAAGAAGATGGGTTCGGATCAATTTTGACATTTTCACTTAAATTGTCCGTCAAAATAGGAGTTTCAGCATCTGTAGAACGGGTGGATATGTCGTCTTCAGTAAGTTGATTTTGAAGGCATTCTGGTACTGCGTCTGGAATCGGCATGCGATTGGGCGATTGAAATATATGTTCTTTTGGTGCAAGATGATGAATAGATACTGTTTCCTCACGTCCATCTGGAAGTCTCACATGAGCATACTTGGAATTACATTCAATCAGTTCAACTTCATCAATTGGAGATTCATATTTAGAACGTACATTACGGCGCATCAAGACCCGTCCAGGAATAGTTAACCAACTGGGAAGAGAAACACCAGACGTTGATTTTCGATTGTACCTGAACATCCGTTCGTGTGGAGTAGTATTTGTGGCAGTACATAAAAGAGAACGGATAGAATGAAGAGCGTCGGGGAGAACAACCTCCCACTCACAGATTGGTATGGACCTAGATTTAGCAGCTAGTGATATACATCGCCAGAGAGTGCCGTTGAGACGTTCAATCTGTCCATTTGATTGGGGGTTGTATGCTGTTGTTCTACTGGTAACTATTCCTTTATCGTGGAGAAAATGTTTTAATTCTGCAGACATAAACGACGATCCTCTGTCTGAATGCATGTAGGATGGCATACCAAACAGGGAAAACAACTGGCACAGGCAATTAATAATAGTTGATGCTGTCATATCCTGGCAAGGAAAAGCGAACGGAAATCTAGAGTACTCATCAATTATCGTAAGAAGATATTTGTTCCGGGAGTTTGAAGGAAGAGGTCCTTTGAAATCAATATTTAGACGTTCAAAAGGAGAAGTCGCTTTAATAAGATTTCCCGTGGATACTTTGCAAAACCTGGGTTTCAGCTCAGCACAAACTGCACAACTAGATATCGTCCTCTTCACATCATCAACAGAAAAAGGTAGGTTCTTAGAACGCACAAAGTGAAGAAGGCGAACAACTCCTGGATGGCACAGAGAGTTATGTAGGTCTTTCAGATTAGTTTCACCCATGACAGAAGCAAAATATCCGCGAGATAATGCATCGGCGACTTTGTTTTCTTTGCCACAACGGTAGATTATATCAAAACTGTAACAAGAAAGTTCTATTCGCCAACGCTGAATCTTGTCATTCTTTATTTTCCCATGGTGGTTCATATCGTACATGAAAGAAACTGATCGTTGGTCTGTAATGAGTTGGAAATGAGTACCAAGTAAATAATGACGCCATTTTCTAATAGCTTCGACGATGGCATAAGCTTCTTTCTCCACCGCTGAGTGATGCCGTTCACTTGGTGATAGTGTTCTGGAAAAAAATGCAACGGGTCTACCATTTTGTGTTAACGTGGCAGCTATAGCAGTATCCGAAGCGTCGGTTTCAACTATAAGGGGCAAGTCGAGATCCACAGTAGTCATCACAGATTGAGCAAGTTCATTTTTTAATGCTGCATATGAGCTTACAATAGTACCTGGTAATGGAAAGATTTTATTTTGTATAAGGGGTTGAATTTTATCGGAGAAATGAGATATCCATTGTGAATAATACGCAAAGAGACCAATGACTCGCTGTTAGGATTTAAGATCTCGTGGAGGTGATAAATTCCATAATGCTTGAAGTCTATCGGGATCAGGTTTGATCATTTTATGAGAAACTTCATAGCCTAGAAGTTTTACTTGTTTAACGCCAATAACACTTTTATTCTCATTGAATGTTAGCCCATATTTTCTGGATGCTTCATAGAACCGGGCAAGATTTTTTGCATGTTGTTCTGTGTTTTCACCACAAATAGTTATATTATCTAAATAAGCAAATGTAGCTTGAAGATTTTCATTTCTGATAATCTGACTGATAACTCTCTGAAAACACGAAACACCGTTTGTGACACCAAAGGGAATACGACGGAACTGATAGAGGTTGCCGCAAGCTTCAAAAGCTGTGAAGATTTTCTCTTCTTCTTTGATGGGTATTTGATGGTAAGCACTCTTTAAATCCAAAGTGCTAAATACAGTATATTTTGAAATCTTTTCAATCATCTCATCAATTTTTGGGAGTGGATAGGCATCCAATAATGTGAAACGATTTATCGTTTGGCTGTAATCAATCACCATTCTACGCTTGTGGCATTCATTAGTAGTGACCAAAACTTGGGCGCGCCAAGGGGAGTTAGATGGCTTGATGATCTGCTCACTGAGTAAATTTTCGATTTCCAGCTTGATGAAATGTTCATCTGAAGTGGAATGTCTTCGTGATTTTGTAGCGATCGGAACACATTTGGGTGTTAGGTTATGAAACAAGGGAGGTGGATCAATATGTGCGGCAACAAGATTACACAGTGAAAATGGATTGTTTTTACCTTCAAATGGAATTTCGAGTTTATTATGCAAGCGTAAAAAATCATGACCTAATAGCACATCAGCACACAGATTTGGCAACACTGAAAGTTTGATATGTGAGTAACTCGAGTCTTTATAACGTAGATTTACATAACAGTGACCATGAGTATGAGTTGTCAGACTTGTGGAAGCCATTGTGATTGAAGTGCGAGAATGCTCTACCTTTATATGTTGTTTTTGAACGACTGCACAAGAAATATAACTGTCTGAGCTCCCAGTATCTACGAGGGCTTGTAGGGGAATGTCATTTACAAAAAGCTGCACAACCGCATTGGAGAGAGACTGTGGAGCGGCGGCTAGAGTCATGGAAGACAACAAAGAACCAGTAACTGATGTAGTTTTGGTGTACGATTTTGACCGGCAGACCTTCTGATAATGCCCCTTCTTACCACAGAGTTTGCATACTGCATCCCTTGCAGGACATTTAGAGCGAGGATGTCTAGTAAATCCACAGAAGTAGCATTTCTCATTTATTGAAGCAGTCAATCCTGTTTCACCCACATAAGAGTTTAGTTCATTTGATGTATCACTGTTTGATATTGCAGCAGAATTGGAGAATTCGGAAGGATGAAACGAATGTGATTGTTGATAAGCCATTTCTAGGGATCGAGCTTGTTCATAAGCAGTATCAAGATCAAGTAATTTGTTTTCCAGAAGACGTTGTCGTATATTATTAGATTGCATTCCACTTAAGAATGCGTCACGTATTGCATCATTCTGATTTTGTTCAGCCGAGACAGGTTTGAATGAACAATCTTTTGCCAGAGATTTCAGTTTTTGTAAAAATTGGTCGAGGCTCTGTCCAGTTTCTTGTTTGCATGTGGATAATAGATGTCGAGCAAAAATCTCGTTCTTTGGTTTGACATACAGTTTCTCAAGAGTACTAAGAGCGCCGTCAAATGTTTTACATTCAGCAATGTATTCATATACAGTAGGTGAGATATAGTTGATGAGAACATCAAGTTTGTCTGAATCTGGAGTTGAAGATTTAGTGATAAAAGTATTGAATGTACGAAACCAATGATTCCAAATCTTCGAAGATGTTTGGCAATTGGAATCAGCATCAAAGCGTTCAGGACGTAATATCTTGTCCATAATAAAACGAATAAATTGTAGTGTTTATGAGTTAATCAAACATCCACCGATCAAGTGAGAATATTGAGGGCCCGCAATAAAGGCTTTATTCGTTTTATAATTCCAGTATAGAATCTGGTTTAAACAAAAATGAAAGATGTGAATAGTGTATAATATAAATGCTAAACGTTTATGAAAATGTTCACACCACAACAACAAGAGACTCCAGCAGTGCAGCCAACGAGGCATCAACCTATTATCCAATAACCCGACCGAAAGCTGCTACCTTGACGTGGTGGTCGGGCTTGAACACCGCAATGACCCAACAAGCTATACTGGCTGGAACTTATGTTCCTGCAGGTCTTACCATGCCAGAAAGGTTGTTTGGATAGCGGTTAGACTAAAAGCAGTTACCCAATCCAATCCTATGACTTCAAACAAATCACAAAATTTCATGCCGGATCGGTCGGGGCCCGGATTAACAACGACCGCGCTTTCTGCTGCCGTGTCACAGGGCAGAAGTGATAAATACGCTACTGAGACACACCAAATAAAAAAGAACAAACAAAAACAGGCCGTGTGTGACCGGCCTCAAGCAGTTGTCCCCTGGGCTCTGCGGTCACGCAACCAACTTCCACGGTGTGGGCAGCCGGGAAGTAACAATCGCCCTCACAACCCGAAGAGCATGCGAAACCTCTCTATTCCTCACTCACCTTTGTCTTCATCTTCATCTCTATTATCTTACCTTCCTTCTACTAATGCAACTCCTCTACTTAGTGGCCCTTCACTTCCTCTTCACTCTGTGTGCACTGATAACGATGGAAGCCAAAAAGCCACCATCGATAGTCTCCTAAAGCCACGTCACCAATTTCATATAGGGGCATTTAATGTTAGGACACTTTGCCAAATAGGACAACAGGCATCATTAGCCAAGACTCTGGCATCCCGAGACATTGATGTATGTTGTGTTTCAGAAACACGCATACAGGACCCAAGTGTGGTTATTCACCTAACCCCACCTGGCCAAAAGGATGAATCTGCAAAATTCACCTTGAGGGTGTCAGGGGATGCGACGGCTAGCTCACGAGGTTTAGCTGGTGTTGGGATAGCTTTAAGTACTAGAGCAGAAAAGACATTACTTGACTGGATACCGGTAGATAGCCGAATGTGTGCTGTCCGCCTGAACGGATCAGTGAAAAGGAGAAAGGACTGCACTACCCGCCGATGCCTTTTCGTAATCTCCGCCTACGCCCCCACTGACTGCAGTTCGGATGAAACGAAAGATGAGTTCTACCAAAAGCTGTCTAGTTTGCTGCGAAAGGCTAAACGCTCAGATATAGTCATTTTAGCTGGTGACTTTAATGCTCAAGTGGGGAAACTGTGTCAATCTGAGAAGAATGTCGGTGGCACATACGGAATTCCGTGCCAACGAACCGACAACGGTGACCGTCTCCTACAGTTCTGTTAAGATAATCACTTGTTTCTTGTAAGCACTAACTTCAAACACAAGGAGAGACACTGTCTTACCTGGCGACCTCCATCATCAAACCAACGCTGGACACAAATAGACCACATAGCAATAAGCTATCGTTGGCGTGGGTCGGTAGGGGATTGTCGCTCCTTCTGGAACACTTGTGTAGATACCGATCACGCACTGGTCCGCGCTCGTGTGTGCTTACGATTGAACGGACGTAGGAAACAGCTGGCGGTAAACCCATCACGTCCTCAGCTCGATCAGGAAACTAAGTCCCTATTTGAGGAAGAACTAGCTAAACACATATCTGAGTTCGACAGCTGCGCTCATCCTGAAGAAGCCTGGAAAAATATTCAGTCAGCCGTAGATACAGCTGTAAAAGCTGTGAATAAGGTAAATCCAAAGGTGAGTAAAAACCATTGGATTTCGACTGCCTCATCCGAACTGATAGATGCTAGAAGACTTATTCCGGCGAGCTCCGAATTCAATGAGGAGCGAAAGCTGCACAAAAGAAAACTTACGAAAAGTCTCCGCAAGGACCGTGAACAGTGGTGGTTGGCAAAGGCGAAAGAGATGGAAAAAGCATCGGCGATAGGCAACACTAGGCAACTCTTTAGACTCATCAGGGAAACGGGTGGGAGAAGGCAAATCATAAGTGAGACTATTTGTGAGAAAAATGGCTCCTTAATTAGCTCTCAGGATAGACGCCTCGAACGCTGGAAAGAACACTTCGAGGAACAGTTTAACTTGCCTACAGCCACACTGAGCCTCCCCGCCATCCAGCACACACCCGAATGGGACATAGACACTGACCCGCCGTCTGTAAGTGAGGTCACCAAAGCTATCTGTAAGTTGAAACGAGGCAAAGCGGCAGGACCCGACGGAATTATTCCGGAGGTGTTTAAATATGGGGGTGACATGCTAGTATATAGTTTAACTAAGGTACTAGGTAACGTCTGGGAATCAGAGACGGTTCCATCAGACTGGGGTAAGTCACTTATCATACCAGTATTCAAGAAGGGAGATAAGTCCTCATGTGATAATCATAGAGGAATCAGCCTAACGAACATAGTCTCTAAAATCCTAGGCTCAGTAATCATGAACAGACTAAGCCGAACTAGGGAGGAACAAACGAGGGAAAATCAAGCGGGCTTTAGGCCAGGTAGAGGGTGCATAGATCATATCTTCACTCTCCGACAGATCCTAGAACATAGGCACACTTTTAGGCGTCCAACAATTGCCATATTTCTTGACTTGAAGGCGGCCTTCGACTCCGTGGATCGAGAGGTTCTATGGCAATGTTTGACTGTGAAGGGAGTGCCAAGAAAGTACATTGCACTAATCAAGGCACTCTACTCAAACTCACGTAGCTGTGTAAGGGCTTATGGGGAATTGTCATCTGAATTGATAACAACCAGTGGTGTCCGTCAAGGATGTCCACTTTCCCCTTTTCTGTTTAACTTCATCATAGATATGCTAATGGAAGTATCCTTAACTGAACTTAACGACTTAGGAATCGACTTGTTACCAGGGAATAGTCTTATAGACTTAGAATACGCAGACGACATAGTCCTGTTAGGGGAGGACGCTGACAAAATGCAGAGTCTTCTGAACACCTTGAGCAGCAATCTTCGTATGTTTGGCATGCGATTCGCCCCTGTGAAATGTTAGATGCTGCTACAGGACTGGACTACGTCAACTCCAAGCTTAGTGATAGGGAGTGAAGTGATAGAACATGTTGACCACTTCACCTATTTGGGAAGTTGTATCAGCACCAACGGATTGATTGGTGACGAAATCACTGCACGGATCCAGAAAGCTCGGGCTGCTTTCGCTAACTTACACCGTCTCTGGCGTAGGCGTGACATCCGGCTGTCAACCAAGGGACGTGTATACTGCTCACCAGTTCGCTCCGTCCTTCTCTATGGCGGTGAGACGTGGCCATTGAGAGCGGAAGACATGAAGAGATTGTCTGTTTTTGACCACAGATGTTTACGATCTCTTTCTCGCGTTAGGTGGTATAATAAGGTAAGTAATGTTGACGTTAGGCGTAGAGTGTTGGGCAAAGAGGGAAAATCACTCGAAGAGGCTATGAAGTTACATAGATTGAGATGGTTAGGCCACGTGCTGCGCATGCCTAACCATCGTCTCCCCCGACGGGCATTACTAGCTGACATAGGTGCAGGTTGGAAAAGAGTAAGTGGTGGCCAAACAAAAACATGGCATCAGTCCATGAAATCCTTGACAGTTAAACTGAGTCAGGTAGGGAGATGCAGACTTCCGGGTTGGGGCCCTCGGGACTCTAAGAATCAATGGCTGGAGACAATAGATGACATGGCTCAAAATCGTTGTCAATGGCGCAGATGTATTCAGTCTCTTTAACCTTCATACTCCTTTCTACCATTACTCATTCTGTTTCACTCTTATACTTGTCAAAACTCTATTGATTCTCTTCACTCATTTTCTTGTCTACCTTCGTGTGCTATTTGGAACGTGGCAACTCGAACTGCTGCACTTCGGTGCGAAGTTCTATGTTGAATCCAGACAGACAGACAGAGATTATCCAATAAATACACAGAAACAAAATGCAGATGGATCGGAAATATGCTGAGATCATTCAAGTGACATCATACACCAAGCCAACCATCGAATGGAACCTGAAGAGGAAGCGATAAGTTGATTGGGTTCAAGGGTGACAGAGTGGTCGTATGCAGAGGAATTGAAAGCCTTGTGAACAGTTGTGGAGTTAAGTGAAAATGATAGCAGAGAATAAAGTATAGTGGAGATGCTCTGAGGGTGGGGAGGCGGAGCCTTCGGAACGCAAAGAACGAATAACCATAATAATATACATTCAAAGAAGATGACAAGACTTACTTTAGGCTGAGAAATTCGTTTAATTCTAATCCCAAACTTAAACAATGACTCAAATCTATCCTTTTTATTTTGAGAAGATACGTCTTCACCAAATAAGTCTTGCATATATTTCATAAATGATGATTTCTTTTGTTTCTCTGAACGACGAGCACGTTTACGACGACCAGGTTTACGAACATCAGGTTTACGACAAGCGAATTCTCTGTAAATATCGCTAGCAGACATTCTCATATTTTTATGACTTTCTTTGCATTTTAATACAGTGAAACTATTTTCTACACATTCAGCAAACTGTTTGACTTTAAATATTTTTAATACAACTGGTAACTTTGTAACTGGTCCAAGAAGGTGGTAATCATTTGGTGATACTTCCTATTTTTTGAAGGATAAAAAAGAAAGAAGAGGAAGTGAGAGGAAACCTTGAAAATAACACTTTTTTTAAAAAAACATTTAGGTAAACATACCAAGCAAACTAAGCAGCCTTGACAGTTTTAAACATAATGCGAACATTCCATTCACTGTATGCATACCATTACCTACAACGAAAGTAGACTTCTAGACTCATTTACTGAAAGTTGAGTGCTGGCAGTAGGTAAACAACTGTTGAGAAGAAAAGCTTTAGCTTTAGAGCTTATGGTAACACCAATATCAGTTGGGCTGAAGGCTGACGCCACAAAATTGCTGGATAATTGTCTATAGAAGGTACTTCCTGTACTTTTAAAGTGTCAGTTTGCAAGAATCTTATTGATTCTAGGTTTGCTAAAAGCATTTGTATCACAAAAAAGAGAACTATTGAAAATCACGAAACACTGGACAGCTACTTTACCATGATTTGAGACTATTCAGCAGCACATACATATCATGACCCTACTGAGGATAGAACCCGGGACCTACAGGTTACGAGGCGAGTTTATTGACCATTCACCATTGATGGTAGTTAGAATTCATGGGCTATTGGATTCCGTCACAGCGGCTGAATGTTTACTGAGCCGGTTTTGTTATGTAAATATCATCTTATTGAAGCTTGATCCACAAGACAGTTCAACAGAGTCAGCAGTTATGTGACCGTGACCGAAACAGGTTTATACGCCATTTGATCCTTTGCAAATTCAGCAGTCAATCTACACCAAAGCTGTGGAATCACAGTTCCCCAGCTCCTTTACAGTAGATCTTCATGTCTACCAGTCTGGTTGCAGGAGCCAGACGTTCGTATTCACACTTTCACCTTTATTAGGAGCACCCTGGCAGAGATTATGAACGCGTAGCCACATGAAAGCATTTCAAGAGGAAGGCCAAAGTTTGTTCACACCTTCAGTCATACTAGCTCGTTTAAGGGGGGCTACTAAGTCTCGCAATTAAACTTCATCCCACCTATTCAGTTTTCACCAATGAAGTAATTTTACAAATCTTTACAGAAATAAGTGTAGCTGATATAGTATAGTAAACCGAAAAAAATGGGAAGTGAAGAATGAAAATAGAACTTACACGTATAAGTCTTGAAATATCCTCTAAAGTCAAAACATCACTCAATAGCGCATACACTAGTATTTTCAAGTTAACATGTTGTATTAATCTTGAATGCTCATTAAGACGTGGAATATTCCCCACATTAAGCTTTGCTCTCTTAAGGTATTCTTGAACATTTGGATATTTCTGAATTTAAATTTATATATATACATAGAAGTGTGAAAAAGAAAGCTTACCTGAAGTAATTCTTCTTGAACAACGGCAGGATTTGTGTATTGATGCTGTTCAGCAAGCTTTAACAAGATTGACTGAACAACATTATGGACATCTTTTAAAGAATTAAATTGATGTTCAGGCGTTGTCGATGAATTTGAACTTGATGGAAGTTGTGGTAATGACATAATTCACATTAATTTTTTATGACTGTTTAATCGATATATGTTACGGAAAAATTAGTAGTTGCAGTCGACAAGACTGGACAGAAAATGAAATTAGAAAAAGTAATTATTTTCATAAGTACATGTTAACAATTATATGAATACTCATGTGCCTAACTGAAAATTCCAAAGGGTATAATCACGCGTTGGAAAAAATGGTATAACACCACCATAACAGAGTTTGATATACCTAACACTGCTAGTTGGAGTTCATTAATGCCAAAACTTATAGGTCGAAGTATTTTTGGCACCGGCTAAGTGAACATTATTTATGGAATCAGGGTAATACACTCACACTTTGCATTTAGTCACACTTTTTCGATACACGAGACAATAGAGGTTCACAAACGCTCAGCAAGGCTTTTATGGCTCTGTAAAGGTCTTGTCATCAAGCCGTCAATTGACACTGCTTCAACTTAACGAAATAATGAGGCGTTCAAATTACTCCAATACTTTGTCAACTAGTTAACTAAAACTTCATGAGGTTTCTCAAGATACACATAATCGATCTTTCTACCGTTTAGACCTAGAGAGGATTATATCATCTATGCTTTAAATCGACCAGGTTCTTCATATGTAGGAAGTAGAGTTCTGAGAAGTCAGAAACACACCTAGTTACTTCAACTACGGAAAATAGTGTCAATACATCCTTTGTAGAGAAAACTGATTGTCATCCATTGACGTGATGCATACCCAGAAACCTTTAAACGGATATGTGAATCACAGCACACAGGTTTGGTAAGAATAATAAAATATAACCGTAAGGCTTCCACACTGAAAAAGCGCTCCATAAAATTAATTGCTAATCTGAGGTAGACGTTCCATTTGCGCATTACATAAAATTGCTCCTCCTCTTTCAAGTACCACAAGAGGAAAGCAACTTACATAGTGTGTATCCAAGACATACCAACCACCCTCACGCTCTCATCAGTACACAAAATCATTCTGCCTATAATCTACAATCGTCTTCATTTTATTTTTCCATACATTTACTTACTCCCATACAAAATAAAATGTCCTATGGTCCCTTCACCCACAGCCATCTAAAAATACTGGATAAGGAAGGCTAAACGCAAATGGAAGACTATACAAAGCTTCAACGTCGATTAGGCACTGTAAGTGTGGCTAGTACATTTCTTCACATTTCTCTTAAATTTGCCGACTTCGATAGCATTAAGCGGCCAAAAAATGCCTTGAAACACAAAAATTTCACCAAAGAGACTTCGCTTGAAGTGAAAACCGAAATCTCCTGCATATGATAAACGCAGGTGAAAAAGATGGGGAAAAAACAGCACTCAGTAATCTCGATTAGATATCCCAGCCAGCCGAATTTTCATGGCCACCGCAGCAAGTGCTCAAAAATTCGGCCGGCTGGAATGCGAAGTTTGCTACTACGTTTCTGCAGTGCGCCCAAAGTGTCCTGAAGTTTCTGCAGTGAAAACCGACGGAAATTTCAGCTAGGACACTAACAAAACATTTTCCGGAAACTCGCCCAGTCGGTGAATATTTTTGGGACTTGGGACATATAGGTAAAAACGTGGACAGTTTTCCGTTCAAATTTGAGAAGAATGGGAAAAGGTGGGCTGTCTTCGGTTGTAACATGAGTAAATTGAGAAAAGGTGGGCTATTTTAGAAAATGACATGGATAAACTGGGAAAAAGTGGAACAATAAAAATTTTCGAGACATGGCCCAAGCCTACTATAATGCTGAATTAAGTTTCACTAATTCTGAAATAATTCTAACATTCTGTAGTGAGTATACTCACTAGACCCACGTTTTCACCCACTTATCCCATGTGCATAAATTTAAAATATACCTACTTTTTCCCTATCCGCCCATTCTTTCAACGAACAGTTTAGAAAAAAGCCCACTTTTTCCCACTTTGCCCACATCTGAAAGGAAAACCGCCCACGTTTTTACCCACATATCCCAGATCCAAAAAAAGAAACCGACTGGGGAGTTTCGAATTGTTGTAAGCTTGGGGTAATACTTATCAAGGTCTTTACTAGGTGGTTTCCTTTTTGGCTGCTATGGTTTAGAGACACTGAAACCAGATATTGGTCCCTGCGAATGATACAATAACAAAAAGTCATCGAGAATACAACACAACCACGAAAGATATCGACACATGCTTTTCAAGGTCATAAAAGTCGAATTAAATAATGCTTCTAGGTCTCGCTTCGACATCTAGTACATTTGAAGCAAGCTCATTAAAACAAATGGATTTCTTGTTGCTAATCCGTCGATGTTATCAATCGCCCTTGAGGGTTTTGATGTAAATATAAGAAAAAGAGGGTGGATGTCGGTTCATTTGGTGAAAAGTTTAATGTCTCCCAAATTACTGTCGCTCCCCATAATGGACTGTTGCCACTTAACTAAATAGTCCTGAATACTAATCGCTAAGAAACTGAAGAAAGAGTTGCTAGAAGGCGAAGAAGTAGAGGGTTTGCAATGTGGTAGCAACATAGGTTAAACCATAGAGATGGGATAGTGACAAGTTGTGTTTTTCAGTGACATTTTAGTGAATTGACACGCCTTTTTTGCCGCATTGTCATTTGAATTCTCTTAAACTCATTGAGTAATGAGCGATTTACGAAATAAGCAACCCAGGTAGCTGGAGGTAAGACAGACAACTGGAAAAGGTCCCAAGTTCTACATCTGCCTCCAGTAGCTCTGCTTTATCTCTTTCCGGAAAGTTAAAGGAATAAAATATATGTAAAATAATATCATATTTTGGCATGTGCTACTGATAAAACTTATCAGAAGAATATGGAGAGGTGTTCATTGGCATGAAAACATCAATTAGCATGGAGGTAGAAACACAAACGCAGAGCTAAAAGGAGATATTGTACTCGCATCGGCTTGGGAGTTAATTGGATTCGGAGTGTCATTTATTTCTGCCAGTCCCGAAGCTAGTTTCAGATAGAAAATGCTTTCTCTGTTGGCAGCATTTTTTACATACAGGAATACTGTTAAAGTACACAGACTGGCAAACATGCCTTCAGAAATTGGATCCGTCCGGACACGTGAAGTACGAATGTAGGTCAATGTTATCCTCAAATTTACTTTTTCGATGTAACCAGAGAAAAATTAAGATCCCAAAACATACGTACTACAGGACGTGTTTCGGAGTAAGTAACATTGGACACTAAGAATCGTGGTCGAGTGGCCAGCTGGTACTCGGCAGCATTTAAAATGATGAAGGTAACTGATGGCGTACCTTCAATTCAGCCTGTCGATATGAGCAGTGAAGATCAGTATCTAAGGCGAAACGGCGAAGTCTATGAGCTGATAATTTTGCAAACTTATTCATTGCTATAGACCATTCCCCAAGTGAGATCTTAAGGACCTTATAGCGACATCAGTCAGCAACAAACAGCCCGAAATTGCGCCATTAGTAAAAACTTCTTGATATGCGCTATGGCAATGGGTCGATCACTGATCGTTTTATTATTCTAACAAGATTCTTGCTCACATATTAGTTTTATATTCGCCGTTGCACCCCTACGCTTTCATGGGGTACTAAATATGATTCGGATAATTATACTATAGTACATCCACGTTTTCACGTTCCACGATAAGCTAACAATGTAGACGGTCAAAGACGAACAACGTTGAATCAGTAAGTTCAAGTGAAAACTTCAAAAGACATATTGCTAACGAAACGAAAGAAAAAGTATGCAACCATGTAATATATATATATACAACAAAAGGACATATTGGCAAATATCCTACAATCATATTAAAAATTTGTTTTTGTGAAAGTACATGAATTACTTTTATGAGCGTACGGTTAATCAATATGGGGCTCCACACTTTGTCAAACAGGACGCAGCAAACCTGAGAACTTTGTTTACGGTTAGCTACCACAAAGTGGTTGTATTTTTCTAATACACTTACAATACTGATCGAGGAACACCCAAGAAACAGTGTTTCATTTGTAAACTCAATGAACACAGTCCCTGTGAGGTAATGAAAATACACTTAATTAAGTTAACAAAGCTCCACTCTTACAGAATAACTAGAGAGCTTTCCACCCTTTTCTCACAGAAAGAGAACAATTAATCAAGACCAATTATCAGCTATCTACACCTAAACCGATAACAAGACGTGCACCATAAGGTAGCTTTCTCGGTCTTGTTCTATTCCTTTTGAACAAACATGACAACCTCCGTAATTGTCTAAATATAAACAAATATAATACTTTTCCCTCCAGTATCAACAATTCTACCCAGTTTTAGTGTCAACATGCGACCCAGTGAGCCCTCTTTAGATCTGTGAGGAATCCTACGAGACAGTATTTCTAACATATTCTACTTATTCGGGTCTTTCGAGCCACTTCCGACCAAATTATAACTTATACACTTCACAGTAATTTTACTTGAGCACCACTTTACTCTGCCATATTCAAACTATACAATCTCCTTGTGATGCTGAAACTTACCCGTCTCATCCACATTCTTCGCTCTCTTGAAGCCTCGTTGTGCCGAAGGATAAAACGACAGTTCGTTTGGCAAGACGTTGATTCGCATCGAAAACATCATAGTTTCGACAGCTAAACTAATATGGTTAGAATTACAAGTTGCAGTTGTAGGTTATCACTCCTAGAACTGCATAGTACCTTCCTTCGTATCTTTCTCAAATGTATTTCTAATCGTATATTACTCCAACTTGTGTTTTATTCCACTTTACAGTCTCCTAGAAGGTTCCTTTCCCCCTGAGATTGCCTTCAGTCACACGTGGACACAGCAACTACCTAAATATTTATCGTTCACCCGTTCACTTTAGACACAACTGGTTTTCAAGTAATTTTCTAAATCCTAATCAGCTTACGCATACAGACTACAACGCAGTTGCAAGGGGCGGTAATGGCTGACATCAGAAAATTATCATCAATTTGATTTGTTAATGCGAAGACAATACTTCTGTATTTCCTGTTGTGTTGCACTCACTGACAATCTAG